TCATGTCTCAATAGGTTTATTTTGTTCATTTAGATTTAAATGGTTCTTCATGAATTCTGCAACAAAAATATCTCTTGTCCCTGGATAAATTAGTTTTTTAAAATTTTATTGAATCGATTATCTCTTTATAATTCAATTTTTCGATTCAATAAGAATTGAATGTTAGATTCAACAAATAAGGCCATTTAAACAAACGAGAAGAATGAAATAAATAAAACTCAGTAATGTACATTCTATCATAGTAAAACATAATAGAATGAAGTGGTTAAATGAATTAAATAGTTTAGCTTTAAAGAAGGAACGAATCGAGCGAAGAAATTCCTGCTCAATTAGTTTTTCATCATGACTACACTGATATATATATATATATATATATATATATATATATATATATATATATATATATATATATATATATATATATATATATGAATTAGAATTATGAATTAATAATCATTGGGTGAAAACGTTACGTAAGAATTACGCAATGACATTTTGATCGTAAATTTGAACAGTCTCCACATAAACCCCTTCTGATACTAATCAACGTATGCTCACTAGTGACTGGCTTCAAGAGATATATCCTGGAGTTCTAGTGAGAAGCAGTGACCAGTGGAGTTCAACCGGGTCAGTTGTGAGGTGGTAACTCACTGATGACAATGGTAGATTTGTCGCTCAATTTTGTGGATTAGTTGAAGTTAGACATTAACACCGTTAGATGCCGGCTCAGTGGTCTAGTTGGTTAAGCGCCTGGTGCGAGACTGATAGGTTCTGGGTTCGAATCCCGCGAGGTGGGGTCGTAGATGCGCACTGCTGAGGAGTCTCACAATAGGACGAAACGGCCGTCCAATGCTTCCAGGTTTTCCATGGTGGTCTAGCTTCAAATGATCTGTGATCTCAACTGTAGAAAAAGGATTAATCATAATCAAAGCAATCATGGGGAAATCAAACAGTTGCTACGTTAAATAATATGTAAAAAGGAGAAGGAACTAACAAAATATTTTGATGAATGATCAGTAGTATAGTAGTTATGTAAGAATCAAGAGACTAATGTTGCGAATATATAAAATACAAAAAAATGGAAGATATACGAAAATAGTTTACCAAAGTTTTGCTACAAACTTCCGTATACCGATGGCCTAAATAGCGAGAGTAGTTGTACAAACTTCTTTTGGATGCAAAGATTAGGTTTGTAAACATGGATTGAAATGACTTCAGCAATGTCCAAAAGACGAACTCGTAAACCATGTGGCAAATTTGATGGAATACAATGGATAACTTTAAAAGTTTTATTCAGTTCAACTTAATGAACTGTGTCCACTGACTGAGTGAGAACAGAACTTAATCAGTCTTATCTGAAGACAACGGTGAATGTGTCGCTCAATTTTGTGAATTAGTTGAAGTTAGACATTAACACCGTTGGATGCTGGCTCAGTGGTATAGTGGTTAAGTGCTCACGCGCGAAACCAGTAGGTCTTGGGTTCGAATCTCGCAGGAGGAGGGGTCTTGGATGCGCACCGCTGGGGCGTCCCACAATAGGACGAAACGGCCGTCCACTGCTTCCAGGTTTCCATGGTCTGGCTTCAACTGACTAGTCATCTTAACCATTGAAATTACAAAATATTAAAATGGAAATTTTCATCTTAGCTTCAGTGTTATTCTCTTAAATATGAATTTAATATATTCAACTTTAACTACTTATATATTTCTTGTATATTCGTATGATATAAATTCAATAAGTCACCATTTTGAATAGACCACTTTGAAAGTATCAAAAAATTTTTTATGAAGAACTAATGTACTTTTCATTTATTTTATTATATAGAAGGTCTAAAGATACTTTTATTTGAGTCTATCAACAGAAATGTATTACATTGATACAAATTAGCAAAAGTACTACCTTATACAAATAAGTATTTGTCAATTGATTAGATATACGTCTTTGTATATAAATTAAACAATCTTATATGATATTAATGAAAATAATGTATAAGTGTAGAAAGTTAATCACAATTATATTTGTTTATCTGAAGCCTAGTTGATGATAAGGTTAGTATTGTTTACAATCTTGATGTTAAAAACATGAATAGTAGTGTCGGAAAGTTGATTTTAGTTATTAAGAGAATATGAAGCAATATGATACTACTTTCTATGATACCATCAGTAAACTTAGACAAGCGAAAAAATGAAAGAAAAATATGAAATCATGAAATAATTAAATTTAACATTATTTATAAAACTGGTTATCACCATGGTCTGGCTTTTAAAGGTCATTTATGGGCGTTGTTAAATAGTTCTCAAGTAATTCTAGTAGTTCCTGTATTGCGGTGATCCATTGAATCGTATTAATCCTTCTTTACTTATGTAGTTAAGCTAACTGAAGCCTAACTATTGAGTCCATTAGAACTTGATGATCAGTATCTAACCTACAAAGTTTTTATAGGCTCTGTGAATTAAAAGATGATGGTATTATAGTATTTATCGATCGCTTATGATACAGCAAATAGATTTAACCAGGATTATGTTTTCAACAAATGGAGGCAAATGAAGTATTAATAGTGTTTTCATTTTTGAGATGTAACTTTTGTGTAATAAAACTATCAAGTTTCCACAGCTGCGTTACCATCAGCCGAAAAAAAAACTTAATAATAACACTCACTACAAGAATACAAAGAATCTGTAACCCCGAATTTGTAGATGAACAATTGGGCCTCTTAAAAGAGATACTTATCAAAAAACTGGTATCCTTCGTTATTCATTGATAAGAACATGAGGCTGAAAACGCCAAAAACACAAATAATTACAGTAGAACAGAAAACTTCATACATGAACATCTACTTCAAGGGTGATAGGGTCAAATATATCTTAAAGACGAGAATTTCGGACTCCTTAAAAAGAACATTCCTCGCAGCAACATTACGAATATTATTCTCTAGTCGACCATTGTTCATCAATAATCTGAAAGATAAATTATCGCATCTGAACAACTCAATGTGCATTTACCAATTTAAGTGCTCTTGTGGAGCTAGGTATATAGGTCTTTCGATGCGTATTTTATTCAAAATAATTTAAGAACATTGTTCGGCGTGGCTAAAAACAAGAGGCAAAGGCTCAATAAAAATTTCTATAATCGAACATCTTGTGAACACAGGTCACTCAGTCAAGACAGACAGACTCTGCGTTCAAAGTCATCTACAACGTAAGCAGAAGTCTTCCAAAGACAATTAGATTGTAACTTCTTTGCATTGCTGAAGCATTAGCCATACATCTGAAAAAATCGGAATTGTGTGAGCAAAAGAGATTGGTACAACTTCTTCTTCTACTATGGTCTTAATATATTAAAATGTTTCTCTCTTTTTCATACTCTTGTTCCTTCACGGCCATCTGCTTCACCTTCCATCTTCCCCTCAAATCCTCTATCCCCCAACTGGTTTATTTTGTTTCCACGATCATTCTGATTACATTTCATCTCTATTTCAACATTTTATGTTATTATGCTGAGCCATTCTTTCCTGATGATAATTTCCTTATCTTTTGATGAGTACTTAAACCATTAACAATCAAACGATTATTAAACTTTCCTTGTTTTAAATTTTTTATTATTTTTTAATACCTTTATTTATTTTACCTCACTGTCACCATGTATAACAGTAGTTTATTATCTGTATTATTATCATCCTGTTAATATAGGTATATGTACAATTGCGATTGTACAGCTTTGAAAATGAATTCACCGAAAAGAGGAAAACTTTTCACTGAACTAATCTTTCTTATTTAATAAAACTCCTTCAAACATTTTTACACTTTAAATCCAGTTTCCAACTTTGCTTTCCAAGTAATTTATTATTTTTTGGATGGATTAATGTTCATAATGTAATGTATAAATGTATTCTTAAGAGGTTCACATGAAACAAACTTAAGAATGCGTGTACAATTGTTAGGTGAAAACAACGAATTACTTGATAAATTAGTTCTTTATTATTTATTTATTTAAACACATAAACATCATTACAAGAAGGCACCAAATAAATATGCGTCACATAAATCCTTCGACTTATGTAAGGGCTGGAATAGTACTTCCTGGGTGCCCAAACAGAAGCAGGTAGTTTTCTTAGGGAGTTAATCCCTGAGCCTTTTACCTAAGGATCTAATCCATAACGCAGTGGAACAACGTTAGGAGCTGAGTCTCATGGTAGCCAGTGACCAACAATAGGTTCATACATCATTTATTTTCTTAGGGTCCAGGAACTCATATGCACCACTGGCTCCGAATCATGGTTTTCCTACTGCCCTAGGTGAATCCTCTATATCCACCAACCGGGTTAAAGTATCGGCCATTCACTTTTCATCAACTTAATTTCGTAAACAACATCTCTGCCACAAAAAGGTAGTGAGTAGTATTTTCCAAGCAGTGGTTGTATGCACGTGGTCATATAAGAGCGTTTCGAGAAGGAGAGTTGGCTCTCTTCACTCTCAGCCCTACCAAGGCATTTACGATATCATTTTTGAATTATTTGTATCGTGATATTGTTACTTTTTAGTGTATATTCAACAAATCATAATAGAAATGTTAATATATATGTATATATCCTTTCAAATGTTTTCTATTTTATTATATCCAAATCACATCAACAAATGCAATCGTTCTTCTTTTTTTATATAAATCTAAGAATGAATTACAAATGTAGACTTGAATGAATAAGGAAAGATTTAAGCAGTTTAATATTTTCACTTTGTATCATAGATTCCATGCCCTATATGTATATCCGTCTACATATTGTAAGTGTATATATCGTTAAAAGTATAGAAAAACAAACAAACAAATAATAAATATGGTTATACACCTACCCAACTGAATATCATTCATTGATCATTTATTTACACTATGTGAAATAGCTCATACAATTCATGATTATGTTTTTTTTTTTTGAAAAATAACAGAAAAAAGGTATTTATTAAGTTGAATTATATATGTATCTATGGTGATTGTTTATTTTTTTTTAAAAGCACCAACATTTCCAATATCCATTCTCTTTATCCAATTCAACATTACCATTTGGATCTGCTATATGAATCCGTTTTTATTTTTTATAGGAAAATAAGACATTTGATAGTAGATATGTAAATAAGTGAAATGATGTTGATTTTATACAGGAATTGAAAATTCATATATTCACATATATACAGTATGGTTAAGTGATGAAAATAGCCAAAATAGTTATAATTTTTAATTAAAACAATCATGACAATGATAGTAATGGTGATAATAATTACCCAGAAAACTGATTACTTGTTATGTTCGACTTTGAAGATATTTTATGACGCCAAATTTGTCTAACATATCTGTTCTTTAGTTTAACTAAGGTTAAAGATGTTTTTCCTATTGGTCCGATGCAATTTTATTATTAGGGATCTTTTTCTAGCCTTCAAGATCATATAAATATAACGATACACAAATGCTATCTTTTTAAACTAGTTATTTTTTAATCCCTATCAATAAATCGTTATCGAAAGATTTACTGTTTTTTTTTGTGTGCGTGGATAAACTAAGGTTAATAAACTGAAAGAAGAATTATCAGAAGGGGTTTTGTGAAGATTTTAAAAATTTTCACTGGTTGAAATCATCAGTCAGTTGAAGCTAGACTATCATGGATGCGCACTGCTGAGGAGTCCCATACTAGGACGAAACGGCCGTCCAGTGCTTCCAGGTTTCCCATGATAATCTAGCTTCAACTGACTCATGATTTCAATCAGTGAAAGAAGAATTGTCCAATCTAGTGTATCTTAATCAAAGTTAGAACTACTTATCACTTTGAAAGTACAGTCATCAGAGATTTCAGGAAAACAAAAATGAAATTTCTAAAAATCTCGATAGAATTTCAACAATAGAATAATTGAATAATTCATTATAATAAAATATAATTTCACGAGTGTAATATTTCATGTATTAATAGTAAAAATGACTTACGCAATCAGTCTTGTATGGTTTGAGAGAATAATTTATCAATGGTATTGAATGACAATGATAATATATTACAAACATATTGAAACTGATCATATTTATCAATGAATTTGAAAATTGAAGTGTTGAGTTCAGTCTCATATCGGATTATCTGTATGCATTACTACTAGACTACAATAATGACATAGCTTTCCTGTATTTCCCTATGCTTTCCACAGTTTCATCACTAGCTCATTTCAATAGGCTGTCAGAATTAACTAACTGATAAGAAACCTATACCAACTAGTTATTTAAATTACTATCTTACAATCAGTCAAAGTGTGTGTGTGTGTGATTTCACCCTTAGTTGAATGAAATAATTAGTTTATCTATCATTAAACTATATATTTATTTAAAAGAAGTGTAAAACATAAAATAACCATGAATAAAAACAATCATATTTAGTTGTGATCAATAAACTATTTTATTATTATGCATCATGTCAATAAAAATATACACCAGAAACAATATGTAATTTGTTCATTCATAAATTTACTTTAGTATTTGTGTTTATATAAACATTTCTGAACAAGCACATTCCAATAATAATGATAATAATAATAATAACAATAGTGGTAATAATGAGTTTACATAAAGACAAACAACGACAACAACAACAAAAGAAGAGAAAACAGTTAACATACATCATTGAAAAGTATCTTTTAGATTACACAACAACATTGTTGTTGATGATTTCTATAAATTCGACTTAAGATCAATGATAAATTTATTTTTTTTTTATCTCATAGTTTATTTGTGTAATATAATTAAGATTAGAATGTTGATAATGTAATCTATGAGATCTATTTTAAATATTTAATTTTGTAATTTTAATAGTTGAGATCATAAGTCAATTGAAGCTAGACCATCATGGAAAACCTGGAAGCACTGGGTGGCCGTTTCGTTCCGTTGTGCGACTCATCAGCAGTGTACATCCACGATCCCGTCTCGCGAGACTCGAAACACAACCTATCAGTTACAATTGACTCATGATCTCATCCATTAAAATTACTATGATATGCATAATCAACCTATGCTCACTAGTGACTGGCTTCACGAGGTATTTCCTGGAGTTCTAGTGAGAAACAATGACCAGTGTAGTTCAATCAGGTCTGTTGTGAGATAGTAACTCACTGAGAACAATGGTGGATGTGTCGCTCAATTTATTGTACTGGTTAAAGTTAGACATTAACACCATTGGATACCGGCCAGCTTAGTGGCCTAGAGGTTAAACGTTCGTCCGCGAGACGGGATCGTGGATATACACTGCTGATGAGTCGCACAACAGAACAAAACGGCCGCCCAGTGCTTCCAGGTTTTCCATGATGGCCTAGCTTCAATTGATTCATGATCTCAACTATTAAAATAATATAGAAAAGTTCATTCAAGTCGGCCTAGACACAATATTGTAGCAAGAATGTTTATAGGAGGGATTTTGTTGAATACCCAAAGTATCAATATATACTTTATATTAATTATTATGGTTATAATCATTGTTTTATTTACATTACTCAACTGTTTATTGTTATTTCTTTCGACTTCATTGTTTGCGCAAATGTAGATATGTATAATTAACAGAGAGTGTTACATTAAGTATACAAGAAAAAGGATACGTTCATTTTCTTTTGAATTATTTATACTTTTAACGACTTCTACTACAACTTCATCAAATAACTAAAACAAAATATTGATTAGAGGGTGAAATTACATATAAACAATAATGAAAGTGTAATATTATTATCAGAAGGGGTTTATGTAGATATTTATAATAACTTTTAATATCTCATAGGTTTGAAAGGTCCTGGGTTCGAATTTCGCGAGACGGGATAGTGAATACTCACAGCTGAGGAGTCTCATACTAAAACGAAACGGCCATCTAGTGCTTTCAGGTTTTCTATACTGGTCTAGCTTCAAGTGACTTATGATCTTAACTATTAAAATTACTATAATATTATTATTGAATTAAATTACTACAACACATCAAAAATATTACTACTGAATCTATTAGTAAGTCGGTGAATGTATTAACGAAAATAGTAAACAAGAAAATTGTTTTTTTTTGTTTTATGTTCATGTAATAATCTATTCTAATGAAATCATTTGAGGTCATGAAATATGAAAATATATATTTAGCATATATACCACTAAAGCATAAGCTTTTGGAAGAATTACTAGTATGGATATAAGATAAAAAATTTCAGATGAATAGAAGACTACGTGGTTCTACTATCATTCCTTTATCAAAAGGCATAGTTGTTATTATAATTAAGCAGAATCTTCAATTGAACCTCGTCAAACTAAACATTCTATAGTTTACATAAGCACAGTAACAGATTGTGCTTTACTATGTCTTATATTTTAAAATATTTAATTAATAATTTACATATTTGACAAAATATTTCAACCAGTTAAATTAGTTGAAATAAAATGATATGAAGCACTCAACCAATCAATTACCTTCTTTATTTGGAAATCTGTTTTGGCACTAGTTTCAACAAAGAACAAATTTTCTTTTTCAGCTTTCTTAGCTGCTTCTTCAGTCGTTACGACTCTGTAAAAAAAGGAAGCAAACTAATGCAAGTAAAATTCTGTATCTCAGATATGATTTTGTCATTGGTTGACTTTCCGTGGATCTGGCACATACAAATATATATTTTGATGGAGTTTAGTTCTCTAAACTGGATGGTTCAAATTTTAGTCTAAGCGTTTGAAGTGAAGTAACTTATCATTTTGACTACTTTACTCATCCTGAAAGTCACATCAGTCTTGTGAGATGAGTAGCTCACACAGTCTCAGCGTGAACACAGGAAGATAATTTTGATGTTCACAAATTTTTAAACGTGTAATTCAAAAAATATATTCTTCTGATTATACGAATATAGGGATTTTGGACGCCAATCTGTCTTATTTTCGCTTACACCTGAAGCGAACATACAAGACATGCATAGTTTGTTAGAATTTGATCAACGGTACATCCCAAGCATGATGAAATATTTAAGTGAGCAATATTTAAAAAAGGAGCATACTTTTAGTTTGAGATGGTTGATATGGCCTCGAATCTTCAGTGAGTCCATTGATATGATTTACACACCTTAAACAACCTTCTGTCCAGAGTAGCAATGACAGCTACCTAATAAGTAAGCGTGATCAAACTAAGATACCTTTACAACTATAAAGTCACTAACTTCTGAAATGAATAGTGTAAAAATGTGCAGATCAAGTGACTTATATCTCTAAGCTGATCATGATTAATGTTTAAGGATCTCAGGTGATATGGGTGGAGCGCCACAGAGTAATTAATTCTTTGGTTTATTATGCTTCACTTTTAATATTATCACGTAATTCTTGTTTCTCATTTTCATTACTTGTTTTCGGTTTATATTTTCTATGTTTGATTTGTACTGTCATTGTCAATAATATTATTTTTACTGATTGAGCCGATACAAAGTGAGGCTGTTTAGATTGATGAAAATTAATGCCATACTTTAAACAATTTATATCATACTGAATGAATAAACGATAATATAGTCATAAAAACACTATTACTTAATCACTACCTTAGTTTGTAGAATTATGAAACTTTACTCTAAGATTGTCATTAAGACGATTCTTTAGATAATCAAGAGCATGAAAACAATTAAGTACATTTAAACATCGCCTGGTGCATGCTATTTAAACTGTTGAATTCGGATAATAATTGAAAAAAATGTGTTGTTCATTGTCATCGAACACAGACAATATAAAATTTGTTATCATTTTTGGTCTATTCTGATATCAAGAACGTTAAGTCAGGCTAAGGTTATATCACAATATGACATGAGTTGATGATGTAAGTCTGGACCTTAATGCTTAAACGTTTTACGCGCACTTCGAATCCTGAATCTCTAAGATTTAATTCTCTACGTGGAAACTGCGGTGCCTACTGATTAGTAGTTACAAGCTGCAACGAAACAGCTATCTGTTAGACTGATGTTCAGTGGTTCTAATAATAATATTGTTTCGTGATAAGAATTACACTTCACATTACATCGATATAATGAAAAACCAAGTAGGTATGCAACTTCATACAATTTCATAAAATAGTTGTTATGTTTTAGACATAAAGTCACACACATACAGAATTTTATCTGGATCGATTATTTGCCACGTGAGTATTAAGTTACTTTTAGATCTTATAATTAGTGTTTTAATTTTGTTATCTTAAGACTCACCCTGATTACATTCAAAAAGCTGGTGACTTTTAAATACATAAGGAAGTTTAACGATTTTACGGTTTATTTAAGGTATGACAATTTACTGGTAAAGAAGAAGGAAGTTTCTGAAGTTATGTATTTGCGATATATGCCGACAAAATATAAATCTTAACAAGAAATAATGGGTTCGGTACACTAGAGGAATTTAAATACATTTCGCATCCGCAAAATATTAATTATAATAGTAGTCAGAGATGGATGGTGGTTAATAGTGGAATCCATGACACCGAGTTCGCCGTGTTTTGAACGCGGCAACTGAGCGCACCTGGATCCTAGAGTTGATGTACATCTCAGGAATTATTATTGCTATTATTATTATCATCCTTATTATTATTATATGTCCTGACAAATTTCGTCAAGAAACATCTCATGAAATCGATTCTAGTTACTCAATGGAACATTAAAACAAATTTGATTCAAATTAACGTAGCTTAGTTTCATAAATACATAAAGACACTTAAATTTATGTCATAGCTACCCTCATAAAGGCAAGTAATTCTATCCGACTTCTGAAACTATTTATTTGAGAGTGGTTCAAGGTAAATTATAAATAAACGTCCCGATATATATAAAATGTAAAGTTTTGTAAAATTTAGAATAAGTATTAACGAGATCAAAACAAAGAACTGGTGATTCGTAGAACAGATGATACTCTTTCATAAAATCTAACCTATGCATCCAGGAATAAAACACCCAATTTAACAACATAATAGAGTGTCTTACATTAACAGTCACTGAGTGTGAAATGTTGTGTACCATTTTTGGTATGGTGTGTGTTAGAGTTACAAGATTAGTCTATTTAATTTATCTTTGAGCCAGCGAAATTCTCCAGTATATATATATATATATATATATATATATATATATATATATATATATATATATATATATATATATATATATATAATTCATGTTGACTACATTTAAGAATCTAGAAAACCAATATTAACAGAAATATTATTGAAACTGTAAGAAACTGAATCATATTACATTCATGGTCAGAATCTCCGGACATATGTATTTACCATTTGTGTAAATATAGGTATATGTAATTCGGATCTTATTTCGTAGACATTATTTAAGCAGTGATTAGTTAAACTCAGCCGTATCGACAGGAAGATAGATAACAATAATCTAATCTAATAGTGACCTCTATATATCACGAGAGCACTGAAGTGGAAAAAATCAGCTATTGGGTTTTCATCCAATTATATAAATTGATCGTGAATTCAGACTTTCTTTTGGTAAAAATTTACTCCATTCGCGATGCTGTATGTGTAGACGGCTAAAGCTTGAGTTGTATATCAACAGCCAGCAATTTCCATAACGTGTAATTATGGTTGAAAATTTAGTTATTTAAAAGGAAGTTAAAAGCAAGGGGATCGAGTTATAAAAACATTAAAGGATTTCGTTTGTTTTCTTCTTGAAGACTTATAGGCTAGAGCTTTTGAAAAACCCATAATCTTTGATTGCAGAACTCAGAGAACATTTTTTCGCGTTGGTTTCAGCGAAGTAACTCGTATGTATTTTTAATCCACACCTGAGTATTAAACTAAAATTTTGAAATAAAACTTTGTACCTTTTATTCTTACTGGCCTTATTTCTAAAATAACTCTGAAAACCTTTTTCTCTGCCGTCGCCAGCTTTTGCAAATTGTATTTACGTGCTTTCATACTAGATCCTACATTTACTGTAGTCAAGTGGGTAAGGAGTATACACTAATTCTAGCTAATAACATAACTGTTTGCGATTACTTCTAATTCGATGGTGAAAAGTAGGTTTAGGAGACAAGACTTTGTTCAATAAAACAAATTACAACTAAATATATAAACCGCAAAATGTCTCTCGTTTAGCATTACTAATAACCTACAAATATTTTATGATATTTTTCTGGCAAAGTTGTAATGTAGAATGATAATAAGTTTTATTGAGCACAATTTGCAAACGTTTGGGTCATAACTTACCGTTTGTCTTCTAAATCAACTTTGTTTCCGACGAGAAAAACCAATGTTTTTGATGGACGTTCAGTGCGAATTTCTGCGATCCATTTATCAGCTCTGACAAATGATTCACGACCTTACACATCAGGACAGATAGTAATAATTAAATTAGCATTAATTTCTGAGACGTGAACAAAATTATTATTAAATGATATTTTTGTACATGTATTGGTGCTTAGTGTATATGACCGAACTTGACAAGAAAGAAAGATATCTGAATGAAAAACCATATGTCACTGAACTATTTCTTAAGCCGAAAAAGAAGGCGTTTTCTGAGCTTGGCTCGAGATAGCATTTTGTTGATCGTCACTATAACGTTGAAGTCTTAATAATTTATTTGCAAGTTGATAGAATAACAGTAACAGAAGACATAAATTTTAGGACATTATGGAAGAAAGACAGTCTGTTTAACGTCATAAAACTAAAACGTCATATAGTTTCAATTTTTCGCCTTCTAACTCCAATAAAATAATAGGCCGTCCAACTTAAGGGTGAAAGAATTACTTGCCATTATAGCAGTAGATGAACGTTTGGTTCGAATGATTTTGTGCAGTGATAACTACGACTTCACTGGCAACAGTTGAAATAAAAATAAGCAATCGGTTTTATTGCATTAAATAATCGAATCAGTAAACAAGACATGGATGGGTATCGGTTATCAGTTGAGTAAGTTTTGGTGGTTAATTAGCTAACTGTCAATTATACGAGAATCAAACATCATTTATCATTTAAATGTATTTCATTTACAGAATATATAATTAACATATGCAGATAGATAACAAACTTTTCATTTTGTTGAATTCATATATTATACCACAAACACTAAAAGTAAGTGCTTTATTTTGAGTTCACCACTCACAACACGGAGCATCTTAATAAAACATCGTTCATAACCATTTATTGGACAGCAGAGATCTCTAAGATATTGTCATCCCTAGCTACTGCAGGTTTGTGGCGAAATATTAAATATGAAGTCTGAGAAGATTACTCAACATGTCAAACTAGTTCGCGTGTACCAAAGACAACTAACTGTAGTTACTATTAGTTGTACACTCGTTAAATTTGAGTAGATCTTTAATCAACTAAATAAATTTACAAGACGAACTATGCCGGTTCATTCATTACTCGATAAAAACGAATGTATTACTTTCCTATTTCTTCGTTCGAAGTAACCCGTTAACTTTGGATTGGGTGCATTTTTTGCTGATGCTAACATTTAGTTAGAAAATGTGTCACCTAATCATGTTAACTATCTTAAACGTTTAGTTTGTTTCCAATTGCCAGGACTAACACAGGCCATCAAGCCTCCTGTCCTTTCCAAACTGAAACTGAAAAGCACTTGTTATTTTACGATTTTGCCTAGCAATCGTAAAATGAACAAATTTTGAACTAGATGATACAATTAACAGCATAAGTACCCAGATTTGCATGATAAGCTGCAAGTAATATACATCAAACATCACTTTTAAATGAAATTTTGTTTCTTGAAGCCATTTCTGAGACATTATCAGAACAGTGATCCTTTGAACAAAAATTACAAGGCTCGAGTAAAAGTTATGGTTTCAAACTTTAGACCTCCAACCTAAAATTAATATTGAGCAACAACAAAGCCGCTTAAGGCACTATTTTTTAAATTTCACTTAAAAGCTTCATAAATGTATCCGAAATAACGAATGATAGATCAAAATGAGCCATCTCATTCCAATATATGCAATCATAAGAACGGAGCATCAATTAAAATCTAACGTTACAAGCACGTAATTGCCATTTGAAAGCATATAATTCTCTCTGTGGGTATAATTCTATTGAAGATGCAACTACACTTATTTGATTTCATCAAAAGTCACTTACTTGTGACGTCATAGACGACGATCGCTACAGACGAATCCTTTATATAGCTAGGAATGAGGCTGCTAAACCTTTATGTGGTATGAAATTTAAAATTTTCGAGATACCTTTCCTGACCAGCTGTATCCCACAACTGCAAACGTATCTGGGAAATGAAAGTCAAATAAAAAATAACACACCTTCTTACTGATTTTTCGTTGAAACAAAGAGTTTTGGAAACAAAGTCAATGCCTATTGTAGCCTGCAACATTACAAACGCATGTAATAAGCTCAACAAACATGATAAGCTGGATCGAATGTATCGTGCATGAAGCGAAGTATGATTGATGTTTTTCCAGCTACTAATTTAAATTATTTTTATGATAATCACCTCCATGTTCTCCAAGGAAAACACACTTGGACTTTATAATCGAATACTCGGAATCAACTGCTCCCTTCATATCACGAAAACTAATCAAACTGACTAAAAGTCCGCAGAGAAGTGTATTGTTCAAATGGTTCAAGATGAGATAGAATAATCTTTCGCTTAAAAGACTTCGTATCTAGTAAAAGCAGATCACCAAATCCATCAGATAAAAATCTATGTATATTTAATGATAAAAGAGAAAAAGCATCAATCAATTATAGTGAGATACTTTCTTTAGTCCTTGAGAGTATGTAAGGTATTCTCAAATGATTGAGGTCGGAATAAAAGAAGCTTTCGCTTAACGGGCTTACGTGTCTAATAGCAGTGAAGCACTAATATCTCCGGGCAGGAACCTGGGTATATCACTGATAATAGAGGAAAAAGTAACTGTTATGTCATATTCAGATATTATTGTAGCGGTAAATAAATCCCCAAAATAAATAGCTCTGTAAGTTTCCGACATTGGATGCTGACCGCATGTTTTAATGAACTCATCTAGCTGGAGGCGTTCGGTCATGCATCCGCACCAGATCACGTGTGGGAACGCCGTGCTCAACATCTACTGCATTCGCTAGCCAGATTTGATCAAACGATTCTCGATATATTGACAGTCAACAACTATATCTTCCGATCTCCTCGATTCTGTCTTTTGATTTCTCAAGGTGAGAACACCTCATATTAGAAAGTGTTACTGGTTAAAGCGTTGTCAAACATTGAATACCTGTGCCATCTTCTTTGTTTTTAGTCCTAAAGCATAGGTAGGGTTTTCTCTTAAAGGACTCCTGGGAAGTCGCTTGGACTAGCTCATCTGGCCTTTAACTCCGGTATTCTTTAACTCTTAAGGACTAGAAGTATTGTTTACAGTTTGTTCTGTTGTGTTGTGCCTCTATTTTCTGGGTGTTTACCTTAAGTTCATATTGGAGCTAAACTGAAGTAGATGTTTAAGGAGATGTCCAGATGTGTTAAGGACACTGTATGCCATTAGAAAGTCCCCTCTAAGACGTCTATACTCTAATGAATAAAGCTTTAGTAATTGGAAGCTCTCTTCATAAGGTTTGAATTTGAGTCCTCGATCGGATTTCGTGACTCTCCGTTGGATACGCACTAGAGTGTTCTTATCCTTTAGGAGTGAGAGCGGAAATATTATATTTCCGCAAGACTTCAAATTTTGGGGTAACTGCACTCCTGGATACTTCTAGTGAAGAGTTTCCTAAATTGTTACTCTAGTCTGCAACATGTCTCAGATGGGATACTTTACACTTCGAAGTTTTAAAGGCAAGTTCATTGTCATCTGCACAACTTTGTAGTCGAGTCCTGAAGTAGTAAATTATTTTTTCGGATGTGTTTCTCTCTTCAAAGTTTCAAATCATCAGCAAAAATTAATAAATCAGACGATACCTGTTGTAGAAGAATATTCTGAAGACTACTGAGTATATCTGAAGGAATGAAGTTGTATTCACTTTTATAGACTATATTCATTTAAAATGCATACTGTGAAACAGTAAATGTTGTAATTTGTATATCATGCCTGTAAAAATGACGTGTATCTGCGCTTGTAGAAATACTATATTAAATTATATTATACACGTTATCTTGTAATATACTTATCTTATTTCGAATTATTGACTACTTTTTATAATTATTTGATCAGCGATGAATTTTCTCACTCTTAACAACAAGCTAAACTGGTATCTTAAGAGTCTTCTAAGATAAAGTGGGCTGATATAAGGTGGTTGTTATCATACTTGCAACTCACTGAGCAATACCGATGTCCAGTTTGTATTCTGTGGATTAGTCGTTCACCTTGCTGCTTACAAGGCTGAGCGTAAAGAGCTTAATGTTGGAGTTGTACATATTTCTCATTTGGGATTTCATACTAAAACACTTTTAAATTTTTAGCTGAGTTATCTTTGTATTGACCGGTATCTAGAGTCTTTTTGTGTTAATTTAGGTTACGTATATTATGTTTACTCATGCCGCGTTCAACAGACGCAATCACCAGCCACGGTGTATCGAGAATAGTTTGCACGACTGTCGTATATGATAAACTAATTACAAAAACTCGGTTTTTGCAATACGGGAAGAGTTAGTTGAATAGGTCATGGTGAGTCGTGCATATATGGGTCTTATTGGATGAGAGATGCTACAGAACTTTGCTGATAATTTTGATCAAAGCTGGCTAGAAACAGACTGTGACCAGCATGTATATACGGGTCATGATCAACAGTCGTGATTCTAAATGTCTGGTGGTATCGTAAGTGATATTTAACGATCCCTTGCAATGCCAAATGACTTCGAAATGAGCTTGTGATCCGCCTGAGGTCTGTAAAAGTGTCACGGTCTCAACTGCCATGTGTGAACTTTGGAAGACATTTGCTGTCATGATTACTGAGCGATTAATCTCCACCGTTAACCAAAACGTGGTGATAAGGGCTCTGTGAGTCCTCAGAATAGGATGAATGGTCCGCCATGTTCTGGTTGTTGTACTTGCAAAGTGCTATATGAGTTGAGTGAAACTAGGTTATGTTAGTTCTTGAGAGCAGGGTCAAGTGAGGAGAGAAACGGATTAGAGTAGGCTCTGTGTTATGGGTAACATAGTGTTATTTTCAAGACATCAAACTAATAAGTCTGTTTTCACAGCAACTCTGGTAGAACTTCTTAACTTCCTTCTTGTTTCTCTCTTCAAGTGTTCCTTGGTGAAGAATAAACCCACACTTGTTTGAAAATAGGGATAGACATGTCACTAGATAAAAGGCGACAAGTTGGAGGAGTCCACCTAACCTCCAGTTTCTTTGTATTGTAGAGCAGCGATTGTGGGAAACGTTTCTAACGAATTTCTCCTCAACTTAATCGGGATACGGTTTTCTACCTTGTGGGTGTTTAAAAACCTGAGCTAATTCAGTGAAGTAGTACCACTGGTGAGTAATGATCTCTAAAATTTGTACGAAGCAGTCTATAGGAGTGACCAACTCATGCTGCTTCAGAACAGATTTTTATGGTCATAATTTAGCATTTCATGGTGTGGCCCTCTGATCAGGTAGACAGGAATTTACTAGCCGTCACGGTTTGTACTACGCTATCAGATTAGCTTCCGATGACACATCGTGTGCTGTAAGGGTCAATCTTTGGAGTACTCCGTTTCAAATAGTCCACTAATGACTTGTCAAATTCTTTAGATCTCAAAATAGGCCATATGCAGATATTAAGGATATGCTCTTACTAAATGATATATTTTCAACCTTAGAAGACATACCCACCATAGAAAACCCGACCACGAAACACCTCCAACGCGAACAGGTCCAGAATACCAATAGCGAACATCTTTGATATTTTACCCACTTTTTACTTCCTGAGAGATTACATATCCTGACCACTAAAAAGGAATTGAGTATAGTTCTTTGTCATACTCTGGGTGTCACCTTCTAACGGAATTCTGGGGTTAATAAAGTATGCTCACTCTCATTTTTTATTACCAGAACACTATGTAGCCTGAATTGCTTAAAACGATTTTCACTGTTTATCTAAAAATAAGTTTAGGAGGAAACAGACCATTTCTTACATCTACTTTAAGGATATCGCATTCTTGGAAATAATTCAAAGAAGTATCTCGAACGGTACTCAGGTTAAAAAATAAACCTTACTCAAATCATCTACAAGCTACCAACACATCCAGTACAGTACAGGTGGATTAGAGTGGTATAATTCGTGTGTACCTCATTGTACTTATTCACCGTACGTTGATACGTTACTGATAAGTTTCAATGATAAACTACTCATGAGATGAGCTGCACCAAAGTACAAGGATCTGTAGTAGTGAATAAATCCCTGAAATTTTCATATGAACGTGTGTATATATTTTTTTTCCGAAAAAGAGATTTTAAAAAAATAATTGTGTGAAAATTGCAAATGAACAAAACGTATGTACGCCAGTTTATCTTCCTTTATTCGCCCATTTTACATCCTTATACATGTACATGTTATTTTGGTTATTAAGGAAGTAATAACGGAGATTACTCTAAGTGTTACTGCACTTTTATTTACTCAAATTGCTTTTCCCTACAGTTTCTAGGAGGAATATAATGAGAATCATGCTTCCCCACTACGAGGGATGCTCGCTTACTAATCATTTATGGATCTCGTGGTGCAAACCATTTAATGGTTTTGAACACGTGAAACCTCATTACCAAGAAAATGGTTGAGACTCCATTTTCTGACACGTTCGAAGGGATTAGATCTTTTGAGGACCACCTCAAACGTATGGTGCTCAGTCTATTCAGAACTGAGGTTACGAAGCTCCATCGAACCATTTGGTCACTGTTTGGGACTTCGAAAAAGGGAGTGATTTTTGTACTTGTTTTGATTATCCTTACTTTGAGTACTTGTTGCATCAAAAAGCATTCTTGGTCTACTTTAACTAAAAGTAATTTGGTTAAGGTTTGAAAGTTTTGCTAAACTTTGTCCTCTGGTGCCCTTTTTTACTTAGTGACTGACGCTCGTGTTGATATTGTGATAATAATGTGGTTTAAACCTTTTTAATTAAATTACAATGGTTAGTAAGACTTATAAATGTGGACAACCAAACTGCTTGTTCCCCATTGAGGAGGGAATGCAGTGTGATGAATGTAAAAAGTCGTTCCATAAGATGTGTACAAGTCCAAGTCCTGCGGCATACAAAAGATACTCGAAGCCTACTTCGAATTGTATGTTTTGTTGTGTAAATAAGAAGTTACTGCGTGTCAAGACAGATCTCTCTGAAAGGTCAGTCATTTTTCATAAGTTAAAAGAATATTCCGATTGGGAACCATAGGCTAGATGTGAACACGATCTTAGTCATATTATGTCCTTAATAAGCAAACTACTCCCAGATACAGTTTCAAGAGTTAGTAGTTGTAAGCTTTATAGAATAGGAAAAAAGGTGTTTTGAAAGTCCTCAGAAAAACCGCCTCTTGAAAGTTACATTTCCTACGGTTGAGGAAAAGAACCTGACTCTAGGTAACTCACGTAAACTGATTGGATCCGGAATGTACGTCCATGAGGATCTCAGCCTAGCTGATCGTATTAAGAGACGAGCTGCAGAAGTGGAAATAAAGGAGCGTCGACGAAACGATGAAAGAAACCTCGTTCTTCAGGGTTTTCATATTGTAAATGTTCGGAGCAAAACGATCCCCAAACCACTCTGGGTAGTAAGGGAAGTTCTCCACTGACTTAAGGGTATGTTGCACAAGTTCTCGCCGCCTACTAAATAAACTGGTGGAGCTGAAGTCAGCGGAGGTTAAAGGAAAACCGAACGTTATTGCTGTCTCGGAAACTTGGTTAATGTTGGAAGCATTAGATAATGAAATTCATTTGACTGGTTTTTTAACCAACAAGGCTGATTGATTAAACCGTAGAGGAAGCGGGGTTATCTTGTGCACAAAAATACCCTAACCATAAGATTAGCTGAGGCAGTGGCACGTGTTTCAGGGACATATGAACTGATGCGATGTAAGTTGAAATTTAGATGGCATGATATTGAAGTAGTTGTAATATATCGCAGTCAAGAATGTGTAGCAGATAATTTTCTCCTAAGTAAACTTAAGTTTTGGTGTAACAAGGGTAAAAGACTTTTAATAGGCGACTTTAATGCAGCGTATATAAATTGGGTTAATTTAGAATTAGGGTCATCGAAAACGTTGTTAGATTGCAGACTGTTAGAAACCTCAATTGCATTAGCTCTATTTCAACACATTAGAAATCCCACAAGATATGACTTAAGAAACTCTTCTTCTCTTTTAGATTTTGTCTTCACACAAGGTGATGACGTCGGTCATATGAATTTTCTCCCACCACTAAGGAGAAGTGAACATGCGGTCATATTATTCAAATTCATGACTGAGATTGACTGTCAAACAGTTGCGCCGGCCCATCCTAACGAATGGAAGGCAGATATGCAGGCAATTAACTCCGCAGCATCGGCTGAGAACTGGGAAATTGACTCAAAGGTATCAGTACATGAGGCATGGTCTCTTTTCATGCTGTTATACAATCGGGTAACTCAACCATACATAGCCTGGACAGTTCCAAAAAGAAAAAGCACGGACATCTCTGGATAATGCGGGATATTAAACGTTTGCTAAGACAAAAGAAGAAATGTTAGACTGTTACTGTCCGCCTTGGCACAGCAGGTACGATGGAACGCTACAGATCGATAAGAAACGAGTGTATAACAAAAATTCGGAAGCGAAAAGAAAATATGAAATACAGTTGGCACAATGTGCACTCAAGCAGCCCAAAAGAATATTCAAGTACATCAACTACAGAAAAAGGATGCATCATTGGATTCGCAAACTCATTAAACAAAGGAGTGAATCTGAAATGATAGAGGAAGATCAGGAAAACGCAGAGGCTATGGCTGACTATTTTTGGGCAGTTTTCCCTCACGAACCTTCTCTAGACAAAGAACCAAACCAAAATAAACAGTCAACAAACCACCTAATCACCGTGGACTTTGATCTAGACGATGTACAAATAACTTGTAGACATGCAAGAGTCAACAGGACCAAATGAACTACACCCCAAAAGCTTGAGACATGTTGTAAAATATATTGCAGCCTCACTGACCGTGATATTCAATATGTCACTTGACTAAGGTATTTTACCTATGGACTGGAAGGAGGCAATCGTCACTCCCATACATAAAACAGGACTGAGACACGTTCCACCGAACTACAGACCTGTGAGCTTTACCAGTGTTGTAGTTAAAATATTGGAAACAATAGTTAAACGGACCATAATGGCATTTATGGAAACTAATAACTTGCTAATCATAGAATAACATGGTTTTAGAAAGGGTCTGTCTTGTACAGCAAATCTCCTCAGGGAAAAAGAGTTTTGCATAAAGGTGCTAGACAATATAAACTTAGTGTATGCTGTCTACATAGAATTCAGTAAGGCTTTTGATAAGGTGCCACATAATAGACTGCGATTGTTATTGCCGGACCTCTTTTAAAATGGATTAAGGATTTACTAGTAGGTCGTAGACGGAGAGTAAGAATGAATTCCAACTGCTCCATCTGGAGACCAATACTTAATGGAGTACCTCAAGGTTCCGTCCTAGGTCCTTTACATTTTATAATGTATGTTGATGGTCTTCCAAGTACAGTACAGTTTCCAATGTTATTATACGCTGATGATGTAAAAATCTGGCGTGTAATAACGAGCCACAGATGCATGTGCTCTTCAGGTAAACTTAAATAACATGATAAACTGGTCTAAAGAGTGGCTGATGCATAACAACGCGGAAAAGTGTGTCTACATGCACTTGGGGGATTCAAAGGTTAATAGGTACAACATAGGGGATGTGTCATTACCAGTAGTCCGGCCTCATAAGGATCTAGGGGTGACAGTGAGTAATGATCTTAAGACGACGGCCCATTGCCGGGAGGTCGCAGTCAAGGGGTTTCGAACCCTCTGGGCTTTAAAAAGGACATTCACTAAGTTGGATACTATCATGTTCACCACAGTATACACATCCTTGGTGAGAACTAAGTTAGAGAACTGTGTTCAGGCTGCAAGCCCCTGTTTAAAAGGTGACTCAGACATACTAGAAAAAGTACAGAGGGCAGCTACGCGTGCAATTCCGGAACTCCGGGGTTTATCATATAAAGAGCGGCTTGAAAAACTGGACCTCTTTACTCTGTCCTATCGCAGACTGAAGGGAGATCTAATTTTGATGTACAGAATACTGAGAAATGATTTCGTACCTAACTTATTATTTCTCTTTCTTTCCACTAGATCGGGACACCTCAGAGGACAGAGCAGGCGAGTACAAAAGCCAAGAACGAACAAAATACCCATGGCATACAGGTTTTCACACCGAGCCATCAATACTTGGAACCTGTTGCCCGAAGCAGTGGTGTCCGCACCTTCAATTGACTCTTTCAAGAGAAGACTGATCACTTACAGAAGCATAATAGAAAAGGAATAACATAGGCTGTAGGCCTTCTGTCCTTTTTCCTCATTTATTTTTAACATATCTAGGTTCTTGCCTGGAGGTTTTGGTGATCTATTGCTACTGGACGCGGAAGCCTGTTAAGCGAAAGCTTCTTCTATTCCGTCAACAATCATTTGAACCATTTTACTACACAAATGTGAATGTGAATTGAGTCTTCAGGTAGCGCAAATTATAAGGACAGTGGTTACGGCGGATTCTAAATGGTTAGCAAAATTCCAAATAATTGTGTCTTAATCATAATATTTTCAGCAATTTACAGAAACCCTACTGTCTTCAGATGATGCAAGTTTTGAGCGTCTGTTGTTCGATGAAGTTAGAACACAGGCTCTTGAAGTATGTACTCCTCAAGTTTTCAAACCTTCGGAAAATATATCAACCGAACCATTTGGTGAGAGTGACTTCGAGTCAAGCAAATCAGAATACGCTGCCTTAGAACGGACATTGTTTCGTAGTTTTGAATTATTCATTGCTGGGAGGGAATTCATCAAAACTCAGGATGCGGGTGAATGTGCCGATCAACTTGAAGCTTACTTGCAATCTGTAGCTCCGAGTGAACAGGGTATATGTGGTCGAATATTTCAAGCCAATGAACCAACCTATTGTTGCAGGTAGTAAAGCAGAGCTTTTTACAACCTTGTCTGTGTGAACTGGTAGGGTGTGTAATGCGAGTCTGGAGTCCCGGACGATGGTAATAAGTTCTCACTGGCATATATACCGTAGTTAGTTAGTATACTAGTCAGGATTTAACATTGATAAGCAATCACAACAATCGTGGCTGAGACTTGGGGTTGTTTGTACGAAAAGATGTCTTGATACTATTCTGTTTTTTATGGCTGACATTATTGTTTGCTCCTCTTGTCGTTTAGTCTTCAGTAGTAAAAATAAAAATATAGATTGCGTACATATTGTCCTACAACTCGCACTGATGTAGGGTCCTATCTTACCTGAAAGGCAGCAAGATAGTCCCTACCTAACACAACTGATCTCATACAGTATTCTAACAATCGTAGTAGTTAGGCTAAGTAATAAGCACAAGTACCATATTGTTGACAGGTCTTAAAATCCAAGCCAATGATAGCTTCTCTCTAGCCTCTGGATTCCCGGTTGATTCATTTACATACCAAAAGTATCGCCTGTGGTTTGGCAGTCATTTAGTAGCGCTAATATAGTCCCAGGAAGAAGTTCACATGAATCAATTTCGAATATTGGGGTAATCGTAAGGTAAAAATTCTAGAGTACTAGGTCTGTTTTGAGCCCATCTTTACAATTTTTGGCTAACCTTTTTTGTTGTTATCTGTTAAAAATGTAGCACGTCAGATATCGAATATTTAGTGGTGCTTTTTGAATATAAAGCAGTGGAGTATTTTGGTCACATAGTTATGATAAACGTAGAGCCTGGCAAAAATGTAGAGTAACCTAAGTTTCCATACTTTGCCAGCACAACAAAATAAAATTAACATGACAAATAGCAAAGGAGTGGAAATAATCGTATTATTGATGATAGTATGATTGACGGGACATTGAGAAGAATGTTTTGGATGAAGGAACACTGGGATTCAAAATTTAAAGTGAATAAATCTGTACCACCTTGACCATTTCTAACGTATATAACCCAACTTCTGTGGTTACCACACGGATTCTTGTCTTGTAGTTTAGACCTACCAACGTGGCTCAGATAAATAAGCAGTTGCTTCTTGTACTGGTACCTTTTGTTGGTTCAAGAGATTCTATTATTTTATTTATTTATTTCAACACATAGATAATGGTACAAAGAGGCACCAAATACATATGCGCCACACAAATCTCATCCGATATGTGTGAGGGCTGTGATACTGCCCGGGTGCCCAAACCGAAGCAGGTGGTTATCTTAGGGGGCCACACCCCGAGCCTTCAACCCAAAGGTCTGATCCACAAGGCAGTGGAGCATCGTAAGGAGATGCAGTCCCATGGAAGCCGGTGACCAAAAATTGGTTCATTCGCCATTTGTTCCCGCAGGATACTGGAGCCCATGTGCACCATTGGTTTGGAATCCGGTTAAAGCGCCGGACATTCGCTTTTCGTCCTCTCATTTTCGTAAACAACACCCCCGCCACGAGAAGGCAGTGAGTAGGACTTCCCTGGCAGAGGCTATATACGCGTGGCCGTGTGAGAGTATTTCGAGAGGGAGAGCGGACTCTCCCCACTCTCGGCCGTACCAGGGCATTTGGGGGATTCTAGTTTTCTTCTAATCTATTCCTACTGCAGACAGTATTGCAAGCAGAGTTCGGTAGCGGTTCACGCAATTATTCAATTCTGAGGTTATTGTAAGAAAGTCTGTTAGGGCGATTTTGCTGATCTATGACCAGCTTGCTACTCACGCCTGTTACTCCCAATGGAGCATAGGCCGCCGACCAGCATTCTCCGACCCACTCTGTCCTGGGCCTTCTTTTCTAATTCCATCCAATTCTTGTTCGTATTCTCATGTCTATCTCCATTTCCCGGCATAATGTGTTCTTTGGTCCTCCTCTTTTCCTTTGGCCTTGAGGATTCCATGTAAGGGCTTGTCTTTTGACGCAGTTGGGTGCTTTCCTCAATGTGTGTTCTATCCACTTCCAACGCTTCTTCCTGATTTCCTCCGCTAGGATCTGGTTTGTTCTCTTCCACAGTAGGTTGTTGCTAATATTGTTTGGCCAACGGATTCGAAGTATTTTGCGTAGACAACTGTTAATAAACACCTGTATCTTCTGGATGATGGCTTTCGTAGTTCTACAGGTTTCCGCCCCATACAACAGTAGAACTGTCCTTACATTTGTATTGAAAATCCTGACCTTGGTGTTGATAGACAGTTGTTTTGAGTTCCAGATTTTTTTCAGTTGTAAATATGCTGCTCTTGCTTTTCGGATCCGCGCCTTCACATGTGCATCAGATCCACCGTGTTCATCAATGATGCTGCCCAAATATGTAAAGGTTTTTACGTCTTCCAAATCTTCTCCGTCAAGTGTGATTGGATTGGTGTATGCTGTGTTGTATCAGATAATCCTGCTTTTCCCTTTGTGTATATTGAAACCTTCTATTGCTGAGGCTGCTGCTGCACTGGTCGTCTCCTGCATTTGTTGTTGCGTTTGCGATAAAAGAGCTTGCTACTTAATATAGTGTAATATTGACGTTTTACGCGAATTTATATCCTGGAAATTTGATACTGAACTTAATTAAACTTGTAAATGTTAACAAATTACGAAGAATTTTCATACTTTAACGAAGTTCATGTACTTGATTCTGAAGAACGTACTATGGTTATTGATATCGTTTGTTGTCTCTGATCATAGTTTATGCCTCTAGTTTGTTAGAGTAGAAGATATTCGTAAGCTACTAGTATTTGACCAAAGATGTCTTAGAAATATTGTTTGCATCTGCTGGGATCACCGGATAAGTAATAGTGAGGTTAGAAGCAGGGTATCAGGGAATGATGGTAGGTCAGTTGATGAGGTTTTGAATCTTCATCAACTGAGATAGTTGGGCCACGTATTGAAAATTTCAAATAATTGGCAAGGAATAACTTAATATACATATACCTATGTTGGGTCATCCATGTCGTATCAAGGTAGTTATCTAATAATTTATAAGTCGATTTTCTGACTAAGCTATATGGGGTTGCTGGTCTCTGATTTCAAAGCTTTTGGAAAATTAGACGTGCTAGTAATGGACTTATATTTTGAGAAACTGTGCTTGGTAACATACACCTTAGAGGCCTGTTATTTGATTCCTAACCACTGCTGTTCCAAATTCTTTTTAGGTGATCTGTGTTATGATGATTTGTGTTGGCATTTTAACTTCTACTAGTTAAAGCAAGTTTTTTCTGTACACTGTGCTGTGATCTGTCGATAGGTTTATTTACCCGTGTATTACGTAAGTGGCTTAACCAAATCTTTCCATCAGATCAAAATATTTGTGTTTTTATTTGACTGTGTCATTAAATGCTATCAAATAATTAAACAATACTGCCTGGCGATGATGAATTTCTATAGAATTTGTGAAGCTCGTTCACTCGAACCCGTGGTTTAGTTTTCATAACTTGACTTGGTCTTCACCTGTAATTCCTCTAGCAATTGGATGAAGTTCACAGCTATTCGAACTATTAGTAACGTCATTTTGGATAGTTACTGTTTCCTAGTGAATTTTGTGTATTCTATGGGCTTGGAGTATCGATCTTATGGCAGGATTCGATTGCTAAGAATGTCAAGCAATGTTTAAGTTCCACTCATTAACTATTTTTCCGATTTATAATCTTTTTCTCAACTATGACTCATAGTCTTGTGCTTCTTCATGACAATTTCAAGGCTTATTCATTGTTCCATTCGAACGATGTTTTTATTACCCGTCGTATTTTTGTGTGTTGCGGCACTCACTTTCATGCAACAATAATTTTGTCTAGAAACTGTTTGTTCATTTTTGTTCAAATTGTAGGGATTGTGCAATTGACTCAACCTGTGTATTATGCAGGGGCTGTTTCTTCAACAGTGCTCACATTAAACACAATTACAAAGTAGGTTATTGGTATTATCTCTTTTTGGTATTTTTTAATATTCCAAGCGTTTCATTATTATGATGTTTGTATAACAGAGGTGAATATAAATGATCTATATATTAAACCATGAACTACACTGTTTGCATAAAGATTAATGGTATCACTCGAGTGTTCTAACTGAAGTAGCTGGCTCGTGATATTCAAACTCTACTTGTTCGACTAGTTGATGTTGCATTTTTATAAAGAATACTGTATCCAGTGGTTTTCGTACACATAAAGGGAGTGTAAGCGAGATTGTTCTCAAAAAATCTGAGAACAGTAAATTAAAATCAAAGATCAGAAGAGGACAACAATTTGGATGTATAAATTATTTTGGTTGGAAACCATGACAACAGTGGTCAGCTGCAATTAAAGTTTAATCCGATAAGCTACAAATTTTAGTTTTTTATAACTTGTAGGATACATTTAATATTTAATACTTTAAATGACTATATTTATACGATTGTTAAAGTACCCTTATGTTAGGGTTTTGCTGGTCCATTAGTCAACAGGAGGATTTAAAAGTATTTTTCATTGTTACCATTATAAAGTCGTTAGATCAGCGATATCGTCGCCAATTACATTTACGTATAATAACAAAACACTGATTTTTGATCTGAAATGACCCTTTTGTAATTGAGGCATCGGTTTGAAAAGAACGTAGCAAAAATATCGAATATCATATCACAAATCTTCATAGCAAGTTATTTTCTCAGTACAGCGAAAATCCTCATGTAGACATTTGTAAGTAATTTTTTAGTTGAGGTGAGCCTACGTTTTAATGAAGTTCCTCTGATTGGTTGGTTCTAATCTTACAGTGTAAAAGTCGTCTTGTTATATATATTTGAGACTATATTGGAGCTCAAACAACGGCACTGGGTAATGTAATTTCCAAATTTTGAACCAGCATAAATGTCCTCAATGTCGTAGACACATTTTTGCTCATGGATCGCATCAATAATAAAAATTGTCTGATTTTCGGACATTGAATGAAATATACAGTTTGTTGATTACAAACTTGTGTCCGAAAGTCTCTGACATTTAATATTTTAAGTGACAGTATGTACTAATGTCCTTTTAGAGATTATTTATTATTTATTTCAACATATAGATATTGGTACAAAGAGGCACCAAATACATATGCACCACACAAATCTCATTCGATATATGTGAGGGCTGTGATACTGCCCGGTTGCCCGGACCGAAACAGGTGGTTTTCTTAGGGGGCCACACCTCGAGCCTTCGACCTGAGGGTCTGATCCACAAGGCAGTGGAGCATCGTAAGGATATACAGTCCCATGGTAGCCGGTGACCAACAATTGGTTCATACGCCATTTGTTCCCGCAGGATACTGGAGCCCATGTGCACCATTGGTTTGGAATCCGGTTAAAGCGCCAGACATTCGCTTTTCGTCCTCTCATTTTCGTGAACAACACCCCCGCCACGAGAAGGCAGTGAGCAGGACTTCCCTGGCAGAGGCTATATACGCGTGGCCATGTGAGAGCATTTCGAGAGGGAGAGCGGACTCTCCCCACTCTCGGCCGTACCAGGGCATCATCATCATCCATTTAATCTTCCTGATCGTTCTTTCTTATGTGTATGAAGCCAAATATTAAATGTTGATCTTTCAAACAATTGTTTGGTTTATTACGGACTCTATCGTGACATTAAACTTGCATTTATGCCTTAATTTCACAATTATCGCAGTCAGATGCAAAAAAGGATGTACGTTTAACTGAGTCATAGATGATGGGAAAATATACTTTTTGGCTAATAATTTCATTCAGGTAGATTATGCTATCAACAATGATTAGCTAATCGAATAGCTTAAAATAAAATAATATCTGGTGTTCAAAGTATTCTTCCATCCTACGTACAGATTCGTTTCTAAGCATAGTTTTAGGTGATATTTAAAATGTGTGTGGTATTTTTGTCACTAGAAAGCTAATAATAATGACGATTATAATAGCTTTATTCAATACTATAAAAATTATTACAGTAAAGAATTCTCATAACCAATAGTCCAATATTACAACAAATATCTCTTTAATATGCAGGCAAATTGCAATTACCTAAAGCATATTTTACAAATGTTCTCGGCAGTTAGTGTCAGGCATTCATACTCAGTTATTAAAGTTTTCTGTCGATTTTGATGCTACAGCTAATTTTTCTATTCATCATATGTAAGGTTTGTAAACTCCAATCTACTTGTCTTTCATTTTTTCCGATGATAGATTAGAAGTAAAATACTCCAAGAATTGCAGTGTTCCTGTTTAAGTTTTATAGTGTTTAGGATTTCAATAATTTGAAACCTTTCTATATTAACTCTTGAGTATGGATAGTTACCATTCGTGATCATTCAATTTAAACATATATAATACAGGCAGTTTAATCTCAGTATTTGGACAATCAAAAAATAGGTTCTCAAACACTTGAACGGGCTACCAATTTTTTTCACCTTGTTTACGTTATGCCGTATGTGAGTTTTTCCAGTTTGCTATATTAAATTGGCACAACGAAATGAAGTGGCAACAAAGATCGAAATAATATGATGGCATTGATAAAAGGACCATACCGTGGGGATGTATTTATGAAGGGATATTGGAATTCAAGGTATAGAGGGATATGAAAAGTGAATAGATCTGCACCGTTGGGTACTATTCTGATTCACGTCACGAAAAGCACACAAAAGTCTGGTAAAACATGGCACCCAAAAATGAAGTGCTCCATACAAATTATGGATGGCATAGTGGTAAGGAAAAAATGTGTATTTGAAGAGAAAGTAGTAGACATAAATAAATAGAATGGTTGATAAAAATAATGTATTATAGGTGAGATAGTTGAACTAACAATGCGGCGAAGGCAATACAGAATTGTTTCAGTTAACGAAATTTCTCTCACAGTTGTGCAAAATGCATGACAATATTACGGCAGGGTCGCCATTGGTTTCTGTTCTGAGAATGTTCTCGATGGCACATTCCTATCTAACAAATCGAAGGCGACCCTATTATCATGAAACACAACGATTATTGACCTACCTTGAGCATGGTGGCGTTCTAAAATTTGGCGGAGGGTGAAGATATAATCGATACATACTCGCGTAGAACGAAAACCAGTCTGTTCCTTGCGTGTCAACCTTGCTCAGGTTTCGAACAATCTACGAAGTATGATAAACCACTAATTTAGACGCAATCAGAAGTGGACTAATCATGCGATAGTTGTCGTATAGGTGATACCGGGACACTTTTTTTAGTGTTCTCAGAAAATCCAGTCAATTGCCTAACCAGAAGTTCGCCATCATGCTTAAAAAACTAGGAGTAAGACACCCAGTCTTGGTAACATGTACTGTTTCAAGAATTTGATATCCTTGTGGACCTCCGCCTCATTTGGAGAATCTGACGTCACGGTCCATCAACTGCAGGACAGAGTGTTTAATATTGGTAGAAAAACAGGCCAGCTGAAATGCTACTCGGAGAACTGCCCATCATTCAGTGTCTTTGAATGTCACATATTGGCACTCCACCAACTTCGCAGGTTGTTTCACTAACTCTAGGCTTCTTGCTGCCAGTGGCTTGGATGCGGTGAATTAGCTTCTGCCAGCTGGTAAAAGCAGCAACAGCTTCTAACTCGAAAGCACGCTCCGACCACTAGGTTTCATGTCCCTTACTCAGACTTTCGATTCAGCGGATTAGACTGGGGTGCCTCAAAGGGTTTTAAGAAGTCTGTAAAAACCCATTGCTTTAAAGTAGGAGGTTTCAGAAAAGACGCGACCTGTCATTTTTGTGGCGTCAAGCGAATGCATTCAGTGTTCATTTACGCATACCCGGGTCAAGTATAGTATCATAATCAATGCTTATCTTTGTTTAGTAATCTGATATTATGATCACGAGGTTAGTGGTGTTTTATCCTTGCTATCTACTGCTAATGTGTTATAGTTCTGAGTAAAAACCGTTGGGTTACCGTGACTGATATCGTAATCAGATTAGACTAAACCGAATTTATAGCAATTTTCGTTTTCTTAGCTACTTATTATATTATATTTTTAGATAAGTACATCCATTGGTGTTGGCTATTGTGATTGCGGAGATCCTGAAGCTTGGCGTTCAGATGCTTGGTGTAAACTTCACAAAAACACATCAAAAGGTGAAGGAACTGAAGAGAACAACTTATCCAAACTTACTGATACTGAAAATACAGATGTAAAGTTACGAGCTGAACTTGAAAATCTCCGTCGACGAATTAATGGTCTTCCAAGTGATATTGTTATGCGTACTGGGAAATTATTAAAACCTTTAATAAAGAGTGCGATTCTTTGTCTTACTGATTTAATTCAAGTAAGATTACGTAATATTTAATGATTACCGAATACATAGTTACTTTTTATGACATCATTTTCTAAAACTTTTATTTCTTATCCTAAAGGAAAACAATGGTCTACATATTTGATATGGCTTACAGTTTTTGTCATTTTAGTGTCAGTTTACAATATGTAACTGAAAGTTATGATTTAACTTGTCCTATAGTGACATCATTCACAGATAATTAGTCAGCCATAGTTAACATAGAGTCTGGTATCAGTCATTTCTAACATACCTCACATCGTCACATTGAAAATAATATCAAATTCACTGTAAGCGTGGTATAAGAATAACGATTGAAACAGAGCTGTTGAGATTAAAGAATTTAATTAGGAAGTTTTTTTAGGCAAATAAAGAATTTTATATAACTGTGCTACTGCAACCAGTTTTTGAGAAATACTACCCAGCCTCGACGATCGAAGAATTTGACCATTAATCAGGTCTAACCAAGAGGTCTGTGCTCAAAGTTGTTTGTACTCATACAAGATCGTTGATTGTTTAAAGAAACCTTAAATTCAATTATCAAACATGTTAGCATTATAACAAGCTATCCATTTGATCTTTCATTCAGTAATCAAGTGAGTCAGATTAGTTTAAACAAGCAGCTTTTAATCAGCAAGATACGAGTTCACACATTCTATCTACCGTGGTTTGGATTTGAGGTGACTGGTGCTTATTTATCTTTCGCAGACAACACTTATAGTGTAAATTATGTTCTAATTGTTCACATATTAGCAATCCATAAAAAATTGGTTTGATGTGACTTTGTTATTTGTTATTTATAATTCACTTTTGCAATTGTTCATCGTATATTGTTTTTACAATAATTCACACCATAGTTATCTCAGTGAATTTTTCAATATCCCTTTTCAGGGCACACCTCGTCTATCAACTGAACCCTTGAGTAGTCGACTGCATCAGGAAAAATGTCCATTGAGTGAAGACGGTGATGAAAAACAAACGACTGTTGATTTATGGTCGACAGACGACGGTGTGGTTGATTATAAGATGGATAATGAGAACTCATGGGATGATTGGCCACCTCCTTTATCGCATGTCCCACTTGTCTCACCTAGTGAAGATGCTGCAAAGCTAGGGCAGGACTCCTGGCCAAGAACTGCTCCCAAACGTCGTTCTGCAGTAGATGTAGAGGCCAGATGCTTAGCTCAGTTAGAACGAGCTAGGAAGTATCATCCTAGATTATTTCCTCCACGACCTATGCGTACAGCTTCTGAGCGAACCGCAGCTTCTCGATCATTTTTAGTTTTACTTTACAACAATGAATATCACAATTATGAGCAGGTAATTTTTAAAGTATTTTTTCTTTCTAAACAAAAATACTTTATTCAGCAACGTTAACTTTTATTACACAGCTTAACACTCACTGTATTTTTTTTTTTGCATCAAACAAATTCTAGGTTATCAAAACGTTAAGACGTGTGCTGGATTGTACAACTCAACAGGGTACACATTATGCGGTGCTTGTTAATTGTGATGGTCGTGCAGTTCTTCAAACAAACCTCACCGCTTCGCAAGCATCTAATTTGGCATCAATTTTGATGGTAAGTAATCGGAATGGGGCTATGTTTAACTTCATTAATTTACTGATGACATTTGTTATACATAATATATATGTTTTATGATGATTGTTTGTATCTCTTCCCACTTGCCAATTAATTAATCTCGTTTTCTTTGTGAATCTTTCTATGGATTTACTAGATTCGTTCGTTCTTCTCTTCGACAATAAGCACCTTCTATATATATTATTCCGCATGATGGATATATCATGCATATAATTCCCTGTATAATCCTGAAGTGATCAAGAACCAAAGATTTTAGAAGAATAGCATGAACTCACTTTATTTCGATTAGTTCTTGTTAACTATTTACAACCTGTGATATTTGAAAATCATAATTACAAAACGGGTTTAAATTACTAACATGAAAGATTTTATTTGAAAGTTATTTTGAAGACACATCAGCATAGTTATTGATCAGTCTTCAGTAGGTTCAAGTGACTAGTTGGCTATAGTTAAAATGTAAACTGTTGGACTCTAAAACTGTTTTACGTGTATCATGCTCACCGCAAAACATGATCTTGAATGCTCGATTTTATTTGCTGAAAATATATACTGTTGAAGAGTTTTATATTGTCAACCGTATGATCACCGAGCTCGGTGGACAAGCCTATGAGACCGGTCGTACAAAACCTTTCTGTGAGTTTCTTTTACGTTGGTTTCGTACTTTTCATACCTTACTTCAGGCGATGGCAATCCATATGTCGAGACGAGGTGTGCTAACTTTTGGGCCCGACCTTTACCAGCACTCTCCTTTGGTTGAGTAAGGCATCATTTCTGCAGATGGTGGTTTACTTGCCACCACACCACCGTACAGTTGATAACACCGTCTCGTCCTCGGACCTTGGACCTTCTATCTTTAATCTTACCACCTCTTAAACAACCCGTCTGCTGTGGTAAGATCTTAAAATATGTTATATTCAGTATAGCTCAATTGTATCACCACGATAGCAGTTGCGTTCAGGTCTTGTCGTACATGAAGTTTATTGATAGTACCCGTTTACCTAAACCGATGTAAGTAAACTAGGACTTGAATCTATCGATCAGAATGTTAAAATACACTAACCACCAGACCATCTTTTCATAAAACTTAAGAATTATAATTATTTAATGTTCAATACTTTAAATGACAAAGTTTTTATAAGATTGTTTCGTACTTCCACTTTTTAATTATTTCATATACTATTCCCTAGAACAACTTCATATCAACTTTCATATATTTTATTGAATCATAATATGTTTTAACACGGATCACGCCGTTGTATTCCACTTGTTTTTTTTCCAGCGTACATCTACAAGTTTATCTACACGTCCAATAAATTGTGCAGCTCAACATACGGATGTTTATTCAATGGAAGTATTTTTCACATTATTTATTCGTTGGTTACGTCGTTTCTGTGATCAAGTACCTAGTTTACGACCGATTATTTGTCATGCTATCTTGGGTCATCTACCAGCTGATAAAAATGGTATCGATGTTAGTGAATCAAGTCAATCAAATGATATATTGCCAATATTACTCCCCGGGGAAATTGTTGAACAAGATTCATTTTTAAGTCATATATTGGAACGTCATAGTTTAACATGGAGATGTAAGTAATACTTACTTGTTTTTGTTGTGATATACAATGGTTTTCAATGCATGGTCTTGTCGTTGTTCAATTGTTAGAGAACTACATAAGCATACACATTTTACTCTCAATTCCAAGCCACTTCTCATGGTGCAACAGTTATTGACATCGCCCAACTGTCTATGCAGAAGGCTCGGGCCTTAATATTCAAGCATATTTTTTTGGGAACTTAAAAAGCCTAAATGACCTGTACTGTATTTTGAAGGTCTTTCAGTCACCCAAAGACAATAGAGGATTCGGCCAAAACTGTCCATCAGCGCGATATGCCATACCTCATAGCAAGAAGAAGCATGGTTGTAAAAGTATTATCAACAACAGTTGGAACTATTTAAATTCAATGACAGAGTTAGAAATGTCCATTAAAGAAATAGAACTAATGGAACTATACCACTGCAACCAGTTTTTCTTCATGTCATTCTTAGTCTCCAACTATTAATTACGAGTGTTACATGGGTCTTAACCATGAAGTCTTCATCTACTGAAATGACTAAGTTCAGGAATCAAAGATTTCGTAGAATAATGGAATGACTTACTCATAATTTCCTTCCTAATCACTCATATTAGGACCGATATTGCAAGACTAGTGTTCAAATATTTTTACAATCTAGTTTATTCTATCTGCACAGCAGTAGTATATTTATTACATTTCCTATTTTTATTTATTTATTTATTTGAACACATAAATATTGGTAGAAGAGGGCACCAAATATATATGCGCCACACAAAACACTGAGAATTCGAAGAGAAAAAAGAACAATAACGAACAGATTAGTGTAAGGTAGTGTAATAATAATAATAATAGTAATAATGGGGGAAACGACTTATACAGCAGCTCACCTATGGTGGAAACTCGGTTCTATCTATCTAAACGTTCTCGAGTCACTGTCTAGTTGAAAATTGTATGCTACCACCAAATACGAATACTGAAACAGTTTTTCTGAAACCACGTGCTCCTATTTTAACAGTGTATACAGTTGCTACACATTCATTGATCGATATATAAATATATTACATAACTTGTTGTTTAACCCAATTAATTCTTACCCTAATTATTTTGTTATATGTTCTTTTTATATATTTTTTTCTCTCACTTATTCAGCTGTTCGACAAGAAATGTTACGTCTTATTATGAGTGTACTCCTAAAAGATAATTTTTATCGATGTGTATTTGCAATTAAATTTACCAGAGTAAGAGATTTTATTCGTGTTTCTATATATATATTCATGATTGTAATCTACGTTTATTTAAACTAATCAACATTAAATAGATATCTATCAATTACTTAAAAGTATTTCGTGTTCAAACTATGACAAAAAGAATAATTCACTGCATTTAACTAATCTCATGTTAATAAGATTGTCTTCTGAGCTAAATTCGTTAATCGCAACAACATATTTCAACAGAGATGTATTGGCAAATCACCTACTTATTTATCATCCTGATTAATTATGAATTAAATTACTACAGTGAATGTGTTTAATATTATAGGATATTCTCATAATTTTGGATTTAATAAGAAAGTTGTAACTTGCTAATTAAGTACAGGTTAATATATAGTCGATGTTTTAGCAGCATATTTAATCTTACTGTTAATAACATTCGAGTGATTAAAATGAATTAGTTGAATTGGGTCTCAAACCTGCTATTTGTCAACTAAAAATTGGATGTTTTTACTACTGGTAATATTATTCCCATCAAGATTGCAGGTACGCCTTGTTGATAAGTTTAAGGTTCAGGGTATATGACCCGTAAGATTTTCTAATGGTGTCTCGCCGCGAGAGTGTTGTTTACGAAATTAAGAGGACAAAAAGCGAATGTCCGGCGCTTTAACCGGGTTGGCATATACGGAGAACTTACCTAAGGTAGCTCGGAAACCCTGATTCCAAACCAACGGTGCACGTGAGGTCCAAGATCCTAAGGAAACAAATGGTGTGTGAACCTATTGTCGGTAATCGGCTACCATGATACCGCATCTAACATTTTTTCACTGTCTTGTGGCTTAGACCTCTAGGTCAAAGGCTCTGAGTGTGGCCCCTTAAGAAAACCACCTGTTTCTGTTCGGGCACCCAGTCAGTATCCCAGTCCTCATACAAATCGAATGATTTATGTGGCGCGTATATATTTGGTATCTCCTTGTACCAATGTTTGTGTTCAAATGAAAAATTAATAAACTGGTGTCCATGTAAAATTTGGTACACCTGATCTACAAAGATATAACACAGCTCATGCACTATTGTCTAGTTTGATGTGCGAAATGTGCTTCATGCTATGTATGCATTCCATCCTTTTATCATTAGTGGAGTAACGGCTAAGTGGTCAATGCGTTTAACTTTGCAACAGCTTGGTTTCAGGTTTCAATTCCTCTTTACTTACTTCGGTTCAGTCAGCCTAGTAGTATCATCAGTCTTCATACTCAGAATATTTCTTAAAGTCAATGTACACGAATCTATAACTGGTACTTGAGTATTTAATAATAATCAAAGATTATAGGATTCAAACTTCATTTTAATGAAAATGGTTGTTACTCTATGGCTTAATAAACCAATGAATAGAGCAACTTTTTTTTTCTTATGAAGAATGTTATATCTTCAAGAACATAAGTGTATATACCGAATGAAAGCTTACCAATAGGGGAAATATATTTCTTGTTTATAATCGACATTTGTTTTGATAAATCAATGCCTATTAAAAATGAAAGACCTATCTAGTTGATGATATTCAATGTCAAATAAATTTTTTTCTTATCATTAACTGGAAAGAAAAAAAAATGTTTATTTACATTGTGTTGTTGACATGTGATTTTTGTTATAGACTAATATACAATTTCAATTGTATATCATATATGATTGTTTATTATAATCTGAAGAGGTAACTTAAATAGATACGTTGTTGTCAGCTGAATTTTCAATGGAATATATATATCTTCAAAAGCTCATGACTTTATTTATTCTTTAAATTCTAATTTTCTTGAAGTCATTAACTTCTAGTCTTAGCCATGTTGGTGCGGGTCCGCGTAACTATCATAACCAATGGTTGGAGACTCCGGGTGACATGACCCGGAATCGATTACAATGGCCTAGGTATATACACTCTCTGTCTTCCTTCAAACTACGAGATTAAGATCGTTTCATATCTTTCTTCCTGTACTATATATCCTTATATGCAATCTTTTATATATTACTAACATTGGCGTAACTACTTCTATGAATTTGGTGTTCATTTTGTTGTGCTTATGAGGTGTGGCAACTTGGATGGATGCATATCTGTGCCTGGTCCTACGTTGTAACTGACTGACTTAATATGTACACACCTATCTGTTGTTTTTCTAGTTTGTGAAATATTATTCTGATGGGCAACAGTTTTTGTGTTTATTTTATAATGTGAGTACTGGTTTGGCTCCGAATGATCAATAGATTAATAATATTTCAAAAAAATCTTTTGATTAATACATTCATTGTTCATGATAATGATTTGAAATTGGATAAATTAATACATATGGAGGACCCACCTATGGGAGTTTGAAAACCTAGATTGCAAACCAATGGTGCACATGGGATCCAGGATCCTGAGTGAACATGTGGCGTATGAGTCAATTATTGGTCACCGGCTACCGTGAGACTGCATCTCCTGATGTTGCTCCTCCACTGCCTTATGGATCAGAAAATTCCTTAACTTTCAATATTGAATCCCTTGTAACTAGGGAAAAAAACATCGTAAAAATGAGAAAAATTGCTACTGTTAAGCAAGAATTAGACGAAATCTGAAGAGCTCTTATGAAGAATAGATAATCACTAAGATTTAACAGACTGAAAGCGTAAAGAACTAAGGAATATTCTAGCGTAAACATAAAGAGAAGTTTTCTAAGGAACCTTACTTTTGATAAATGCACTCTCATGAATATAATTGATTGGTGGACCGCTTTTTATACACCGAAGCTTAAAATTATAGTCTTTTGTCGGTAACTTATTCTTCAACGCATCAAAGATAGACTGAATCCTGTGGTTTACTAAAGTAACTTATTAGCTTGCTTTTGGTGGAATTTTGTTTTTTGAGCTAGATGGTTTGGTCGTGGAGCTTTTTCTTATGCACACGTAAATGGTATCCAGTAAATCTTCTCGTTGGCAATGAACTAATCACATTCTAGATAGTAAATCCCCAATCTTTGTGTACAATTCAAAATACGACCACAGTTAAATTGTACCCTAGTAAAAGTGAAATTTACCCATATTTAGTGTTTAAGACCCTTGAAATTGATGAATACTTATCGTTGTGCAACCATCCAGTGTATCCAAGGGAATTTGTGAGATATCTCAAGGTCTTTCTGTACATTCTAACTTCAGCTATAAAAAAATCATTCTTGATCCTTTGGAATTTATTTGATTTCCTTTAGTGAGTCCTTCATTTATGTAACTTTCATTTTAGCCGTAAATGATATTATTTCACTTTAATTCGGCACTAAAATATGGTTACACCCGATATCTTACCTGGCTGATATAAATGAACGAAAACTTATATGCATCTTCATTAACAGACCCATCGGAATGATTTGAACGTGATAAAGTGTAAAGAGTCGAGCGAATACATCTATCACCAGGTTTGAGACAGGCTCAATCTTCTCGTATTCTTTTTTCCACAGCTTAAGTTAAATTTAAAGCAGTTATGAATACTAGTATTTCAAAAACAATAAGCCAAGCTAATCGCTCTGATTATCATAATAGGTTTACTGTCCTTTTATAGATTGGAATGGTCTGTGATCACTACCATTTTTCCTGAAGACCTATCGAGTTAGTCCATCATAATCTGTGCTTATTCTCTTACAATTAGTTTTAATTACTTCAATTTATCTGTCAATTGAAAGCTTAAAGTCAATCTCCCGTTCAAGAATTTATTAAATATTAAACAACTAAATAGTAGATAAAGATTATCTCTTCCATTTTGTTTCCGTAAATAGCTGAATTTTCAACCTCAATCACTTTAATGAGTTTAAACAGTTGTCTAGTGTTATTTATTGTCATTGCCCTTTTCATCCTTTTTACTTTCATTATGACTAGTCACTATCATTAGGTCTGCTAGTTATGAGTGTATACTAGAAGAGAAAATGTAACAACTTATAAATCAATTTGTCTAGTTATTCATTTATCTGTTTGTCGTTAAATGGAAAAAAAATGTTAGAGATTAAAAATTGTGAAATATTTTGCATTTTTATCATTTACATTGTTGATATTTCTGGTTAACGTTTTTTTAGCGAGTTAGTTTTCTACGGAGGGTGGGGTCGCTAACCCCATGCCCAACCCTCCTCCTTTATTCGAGATTGAAACTGACAGTAGCCCTATAGGGGCTCCAGCCGGAGTTACAGTGTTAATAATTATCCTAGATTAACAGTTGAATCTTACAATGTAATAATAATGCACCTTATTTATCATCTGAAGTATTTTGATTTAATCTATATATTCAAGGTTAATCATGCACTCTAGGTTCGGTCATCTAGATCGAAATAATTAGAGTAGTATTCGAACTGGTAAACTATTGTTTGTAAGTCAATTTTATAAAATAGAAATCTAAAATACTATTTTTATTTGACAATTATGTTTTATTTCCATTGTAACTAGATCATGTTCACTATAAATGATCATAGTTACTTGGAAACTATTGATTTTTATCTTCTAATCATATGATTGATATTTTGTGTTGATTTTTGATTTCTATTAAAAAAACCCCATTTCATCTATGAATTTCCTACATGAAACAACTATATGTCCATTGATCATCTATGTATCCATAGTCCTATTCATCGTTAATTCAAAATCATATTTATGATGATCATTTAGTTGGAGACAGTTTATGTGGTCTAAGTTGTCAATTTTACACTGTTATCAGTTTGGTAAGTTACATATCACTTCATGAATTTACATTTTAAAAAAGGGTTTAGTTTTTATATATAACAGCCTCCCGTTTATATGAAATAATCAATCAAATTCTAGATCAGGAGGATGTTCTGGTAGTCATTTATGGATAAATTTAAGTAGCTGACACACACTGCTTTGCCCCCAAATGCCTTGGAACGGTTGAGAGTGGAGAGAGTCAGCTCTCCATCTCGAAACGCTCTCACATGGCCACGCATATACAGCCACTAACACAGAAGTTCTACTCATTGCCTTCTCGCGGCATTACTGTTGTTTACAAAATTGAGAGGATGAAAAACGAATGTCCGGCTCTTTAACCGGATTGGTGGACACGGAGAGTTTACCTAGGGAAGTTGGTAAACCGTGATTCCAAACCATTGGTGCAAATGGGTCCCAGGACCCTAAGGGAACAGTTGGCGTATGAACCAATTATTGGTCACCGGCTACCATGTTACTGCATCTCCTGACTTTGCTCCACTTCCTTGTGTATCAGACCTTTAGGTCGAAGGCTCCGAGTGTGGTCCCCTAAGAAAATCACCTGCTCCGGTCTGGGAACCCGGGTAGTATCACAACCCATACACAAATCAAGTTACTTGTGTGGAGCATATGTATTTGGCGCCTCTTTGTACTAATATTTATGTGTTCAAATAAATAAATAAGCTTAATTCTTTTGAAACTAATGGCTACTGATTTTATGTAGAAAGATAATAAACGCTTCACAATTAAATTATCCAAATTAGAGAACATAGTACTTCCGAAATTCTCTCTCTGACCTACAAATCTCGATTATTTTATTATCTTGTACATCAATTAATTGAAGGTCCTATATTCAGTTTGTGATAACGGTGTTGTTTTATTTTTCTAGTTGCAATACAGTTTGTTTTTTTGTCGATGATATTTTGCATTGTCTTTGTCTATGGTCAAATTTCAGTTTGCATCTATATCGTTTTGGTGCCCAAAAATGATGTGGGGTGCCCCATTTTGACGTCAATTAGACTGCGTGTTGTCGACGGGCTAACCACTTCTGTGGTTTTTTATCTGATTACAATTAGATCATATGTTGATCGCTATTGAGTGATTGCTATCGGGATCTATATGTCGCCTATCATCGACTTAACTCGCGTTAGTGAATAAGGGAATAAAAATAAGTCAGATACGAGAATGGATTTTCGAATACTTATATTTTGTATAATCGTTAGTAGGAACAAATAATCAGATAGACGTAGCGAGGAAAGCAAAGAAGAAAGAGGGGAGCGAAACTACGCGCAGTGGAGGAGGCTCGTGAACCAACTTCATTTAATCAAGCGTTATTCAATATTTATAGTCACAAAAAAATAGGTTACAGACATGCAATGAATGGGATAAGAAGTGTACACACGTACGCTCATATAAAAGCAGTCAGGGTTGGTAGATGAATTAATTACCAAGGTCAAAACGTGGTTCAAGAAGAATGGATAAATTGATCTATCCAGAAGCTAGAATAAGTTATATGGGCTTAACATAGTAACTGACACTACAATGAATTAATATTAGCTGTGAGATATTATCATTAAGAAAATATCAGTTGTAATATGTCTCTGTACTTTAATGAATTAATTTTATTCAATACGCATCTTCATATCATGGTAACAATGCATGAAGTTGTTAAAATCTTGTTGACTATTACATCCATGACGCTTTAAGTTGTTACACAGGGTGACATGTTATATCAAATGATATTATATTACTCAAGTCAGTTTGTTATAATGATGCACTTTACAAAGCACTATCTATTGTCATTTTTTTTATTATCTACCAACTGATATTCACAGTTCTGTCTTGTATGCAAACAATGGAAATAAAAAAACGTTTACAATTAGCGTTTTGTCCATACTGCTTGGTATACGATTATACCGGTTTTCTATATTGTCCATAACGTAGTGTAAAGTACTGTGTATTATGTTTTTTTTTAAATTTAGAAAAGGATGTCATACCTAATGAATATGTAATGCAGTAATATTATTATTATTATTATTTGTATTACAGGCACGTCAACTTTTAGAGCAGAACAATATTTTGACACGATTAATTTCTCGATTAACTAGTGCATTTCAAGTTAATTCAATTGTTTTACCTGATTTTTATTCACAAACAAATAATCAAAATATACCTGCTGATATACAAGAAGAATTAGCTATATCTAATTTCAATACTGACACAAATGTATCATGGGTTAGTGCTGTTCTTGACCTACTTAGACGTTTGAATCCATTCGAATGGGGTTCATCAGCTGGATCTCATATGAACAATCTTACAATATCATCAACTAGTATGAATCCAATAAATTGTGTCCTTCCAGAACCGCGTGTTTTATCATGGCAAGCTGGTAATACACTTGCTCGCTCATTATTTCATCCATTTGAACGATTATTTCATGTTATACGTGATGTGGACTATATTCTGGCAAGCTTAACTAATGTTCGACCTATTGTTATAGATAATGATGGTAATTGTTCAATTACTTGGTGGACGGAAGCTGCAAGATCTGCTTATCTTGATTATATAAGACAATTTTTATCATTGCTTAGTTTTATACAAGTAAGTTAACTTATCATTATTTTTATTAGCTATTTTCTCCTTAGTAAGAAATATATCGCAGTTATTATATTTATACATTCATATGTCACATGTGCATAATTTTACTGGTCAGTTGTTTATTCTACCATACAATTTATTTTGTTCCAATTCACATTATGTGCTACAAATATGTTTTTAATGATAAGTTAAAATGACAAGTTTAAGGTCAACACGAACCAATCAACATCGAGGTGTACAGGACAAGCTGTGAACCAAATATAGAGAAATTCGAATGTACTTGTATACTAACCAAAAAGCAGTCTAAATTTGAAGAAAAATTCAAATACAGTTCATTTAACATCAGGTCAGTCATCTACAGCGTAGTACCGGGCACATATATGCACTGATAGACGGATATTTCGCCTTTCAATGATAGACACTGCCACAAAACCTCCCAGTCTACAGAGTCAAATGCTACTTTTAAATCAAGAAAAAATATCATTGTCGGACGCCAGTAAGTATATCTGTGTTCTTAGATCATCACACTTCTTTACATTCTGCAGTACGACTTCGTCGTCGGACCTTCGATCTTCTGCTTTTTGTTTTACCGTTCTCCATCGGACCTGGCTGTCATGATAAGATCTTGAGGAACGATTGTTCCTGCCAGTATGTCCCGATTGATCCATCACAATATGCAAGCTAGACTATTTCGTCAACAGTCGTGGTTCATTTTTATTTGGTGTACATTTTTCAGTTTGCGTATAAATGGTCGAGAAAAATTACTGGATTTCACGTCAGTGACTCTGACTGCCAATTCTCCAACTTGGAACAATCTTTGTGATTCTATTCAAGGGTTTATAATGGATATTCAGATTACAGACAAACTTTACGCATGAAGGTTAGTAATGCCACCAGGATGCCTAAGCTACTGAAGCGGGAGTGAGATATAAACTTGAAACTAATATATTGGTGTTTTTATAACACATATAATAATGCCAATTCCTTATATATAATAAATAATTTCCCTGGTTCCATAAACGATCTTGAGTGATACTATATTGATGAAATGGTTATGGACAATATTCATTTCATTTGATTATTTTCCCCTGAAAATATATATTCTAATTCTTTTATTCATATTTGGGGAGGTACTAATGTTTCTGTTCGGAACAACAATGAAGGTAACTCAAAAAGCGTAATAACATCACTAAAATTCTCTCTTTAAGATGAGATACTCTGTTGCATATTCAGTATTAAGACAGTTTAACTGCCCATGTATTTACATTTACATATATGCACTACTTATTCACTTTTCTTTTATATCCATCTGCAGGATATGAATGGTATGCAACGTGAAACACAAAATCATGTTGAAGAGGAATTAGAATGGGCTAGTGGATTTTATATCATGAGTTTATTAGTTAGTCTACTTGGCCTAACTGTCCAAGTGGCGAGTTCAGATTATGAACTTTACAATTTGGTATTACGTGAAGTTCGTCAGGTAAGTTTTTTATTTTGGTTTCTGAAATCCAAGAAAATAGCTTATAGGGGAACAAATTTAGTCATTTGCGTTTGATTTAATACAAATTTAAAGCACTTATGTAGCATTCGGCCTTGCAATTTCAGTGATAACCCATAAAATGTTCAAAAAATACTGGCGGCTGTAAAATATATTTGGGGGTGGTTAGATTAACTAAAACAAGGCTCTGTAAGTCAGAACATGAATACAACAAATTTACTTAAACTGATATCTTCTTAGTGGTTACGAATATTTTATGAATGGTTTGAATCTGTCTGAAGTTTCATAAAATGGGTTATTATATAAATATAAATATAAGCATGATTGAAATAATGCATTAGTAACCTATACATCGATTTCGTTGATTACGAGGCGTTTGACATTGCAGACTGGAGAACAATATGGAAACGTCTTCGAAACTATGGAGTCCCTGAGAAGATTGTTAACATTATCTGGAACTCATACGACAGACTACAGTGCAGGGTTGTGCATGGACGACAGCTACCAGATGCATTCCAAGTACGAACACTGGAAGAGGTGGAATCGTCCACGTACCTGGGTACTATCTCATCGATGAACAAGGAGGATCAGATGGAGATGTGAAGGCGAGGATTGGCAAAGCAAGGGCTGCATTTCTAAAATTGAAGAAGATATGGAAATCGAAACAACTGTCAAATAATATCAAAGTCAGAATCTTCAATACGAACGTCAAAACAGTTCTACTGTACAGAGTTGAAATATGGAGAACCATTACAACCATCATCAAGAAGATACAAGTATTTATAAATAGTTGTCCGCGCAAGATACTCAACATCCATTCGCCGGTTACCATCAGCCACAGCCTACTGCGGGAGAGAACAAACCAGATTCCAGATGAAGAGGAAATCGGGAAACGACGATGGAAGTGGATAGGATATACATTATGGGATATCATGAAACTGTTTCACGAGGCAATCGCTAACTTGGAATCTTAAAGGGAAGCGGAAAAGAGGAAGGTCAAAGAACATATAACGTCGGAAATGGAAGCATATATGAAAAGGATGAATAACATCTGGAAAGAGCTGTAAAGGATTGCCTAGGACAGGGTTAGATGGAGAGTCCTGATAGGCGGCCTATGCTTCTTCACGAGAAGTAACAGGGGTAAGTAAGTAAGTAACCTTCAATTATGACGCTTCCTATTAGGAAATTCACTAAACATAAGAGATCCTGGATGACTTGGAAATTTCAACACGAGGTGATAAGCTGCCTAAATTAAAATACTCTATTAGAATAATTTGTTCTATGTACAATTAGTACACAGGAAAATCTGTATGTTTGCGATCATATTTTGTGACTGTCTTGGTCAGTCATAGAAATTTGAAGAGAACAAATCATTCAACACATTAACCAAAGAATAATAAAAGGTCATTGAATCATAAAAAAACCCAGTGTATATTATCAATTACACATATGAAAAAATGGGCGTGACAAATGAACTAGAAAATAAGGTTTATTGTGAAATAACATGTAGCTTAATCCAGTATACCTTTTTCATTCAGAGATTAAATTTAATTTGTTTTTGGTAAGAAAAATTATCATAACACCATTATATATTGAATGTCATGTGGTATGAAAGCGAAATTGCACAATACTTTCATTCCTTTTGATAAGCATTCCTTCGGAAATTTAATGAAATCAGCATTTTTGTGTGTATTTGTGTGTCTTTCATGTATTAAATGTAAATATCTATGACCAAATCATACGACTACCAATTTGTTAGTTAATAAACATTTTTATCTCTTACATGATTAATTGAATAAGCTAAGGATCTTGCATAGACCATTATGATATTGCCATTTTCATTAACTTTAAAGTTTGAACACAAATGTTGTGGAAACTGAAAGAAACCATTGATGTTAGTATTTTCTTATTTACAAAATAAAAAGAAATAAAATAATTAACATGCGGTTAGATTGTGACCCTGGTTCACCAGGGTGCTTGGTAACTGAGTGGTTGCGCCACAGGATTGAGTTTTTTTTAGATTGTAGCGTTAAAGCCTATATGATGTCTGGTTCTCCTGTGAAGCAGGATTGAGCTGTACTGCTCGGGTTATAAAGTTTAATCATGGATGGTGTCTGGTTCTCCTGGAAACGGGATTGAGCCGTACTATTTAAGTTACAAATTTTAAGCCTGGGCGGTGTCTGGCTCTCCTGTTAAATGGGATTGAGCTGTATTGTTTGGGTTGTCACATGAAAGTATGGATGATGTCTGGTTCTCCCGAAAAGCAATGTAAAATTACCCTGGCCCACAAGGGTATATTATATATAGATTATGGCCTGTGATACACACTTGATTATTTAATGTACTTCTAGCCGTCGTAATTGAATGATGTTTGGTAAAAGAAGAACTTTATATTATTTTGAAATGGAAATATTCTTAATATTCAATAATTTTGTTGTATGTCACGTTATTCTTTTGAATTTTGTTTACAGAATGTCTCATGTGGTTTCATATTGTTGGTTGTTTATTTGTTTATGGTTCTTATTGTATATAGGTCTTTGAAACACGTATTGGTATAATGGATCGTCGCTTTCGTATTAAACCGTTAACAATAGAGCTTAAACGTGATAACAATGATGAATCTAATCAAGCTAATAACAATGTCATTTCGAATAAATTAAATTTCCATTCACTTGGTGTCACAACGGAAGTGTATGTGTATGATGTATCAGTGTATCGTTTAAGTTTATTACAACCGATTCCCCGATTATTGGCAAGTTTGTATGGACATGGATTAGAAATGGGATTGAATTTTGAAAGCTTGGGTTTATTAGATCAGGTAGAAGCTTGTTTTTATTGTTTATATAATATTTCATGACCATGATATTCGTTCTTTATTGATTCAGAATTTGAAGAAGTAGTTGTGAAAATATCTTCCAATTGATGTTTTTATCACTCATTGTATTCGCACTGAGGATGTACACTGGGAACTGTGTCCTTCATCTTTCAATCGGTCAGTCAGCACCAACGTAGAACTTCGTACGTACGTACCTCAGTTCCAGTTGCCACACCATATTAGCACAGAGATACAATTGTCCATTCAAATCCTATTGTGGTAGAGGCAGTCAAAGTATAAGCAGTAATCAGAAACATTAGGGTTCGAAGACGTTATTCAAGGAGTATAATCCAGTTGAATAAATTTGGAAAGAGAAAAGAAAGGGACATGTAGAATTCAGAAGATTAGAATTTGAGAGAACACAAAGAGTGGATGCACCTGCGCCATTGCCAACGATTTTCAGCCATGTCATTCAGAGTCTCTAACCATCGGTTGCTATCATCTCGCGGTTCCCAACCAGGTAGTCTACACCTACCAACATGACTCAGACCACTTGTCAATGACTTCATGGACATGTGCCATGTTTTGATCTGGTCGTCCCTAGTTTTCTTCCAACCTACTCCTATACCATTGAGCATCGCACGTCGGGGCATTCGGTCGTTGGGCATACGTAACACGCGTTCCAGCCATCTCAACTGATGAAGTTTCACTACTTCATAAATTGATTCGTTATCCTTACCTAGTACCCGTTTCCTAACAACTGCGTTACTTACTTGATGGTCCCAGGATATACGAGCCTAAAGAATTTTTTCTAATTGTGTTACTAGTATTTAAATGTGGTGATCTTTTTTCTGTGACGTCCAACGAAGTATGAACTTAATTGGCTGTCAATGCTGTTCGCTTAATCCAATAATTAATTTTTTTCGACAAATTCTATTATGACAATCAATCTTTTGGATTAGATGGAGTAAAAAGCTGAATTACTCATGTAAAACGTTCAAGGTATTGAAACTAAGGCCAAATTAACGTATAGACCACTCGCATTTCAACGATAAACTGTACTCACTTGTGGTTGTGCGAAGCTATCAAATTTAAATATGGTTGCGTTTGTTGTTGAACAATCAAGGTTTTGAGATTAGATGTAGTCTATCTATTCATCCCTCGTTCATTAAGGGTTTGTTTTACTTTACTGTTTTTAGTTTCTATAGATAGATAACAATCATAGTTTTATCTGTCTTACTAATTGTAGCTCATATCCCATTAACTCTAGTTGATACACACTCCCGTTAAGTTACATGTTTTATGTGACCAGCTAATTCGATGGTATTCATGTGCTTATTACCACTTCACATTTAGTTTACCAACATATTTAACTTTCAATGGATGAGAAGAAACTTTTGAGTGAGTTAGAAAAAAACATGTATACACTATGGACAAAATAATTAGGGTGTGTGAATTCGATTCGTTGTGGCCACATTCAACTAGATACTACAGATTGAATAGTTAAAGACTTCTGTAACTATCTTAATATTGTTCACCTACTTTCTCTTCCTATTCGTAAATTTTCCTGATTATTTTACTTGTGGATTTTGTGTTCTTCATTGATCTACCATAACATGGTTCAGTTATCCCGTACACCTTTTCTGCAGTAATTGATAAGTTATATGCTTTGTACATGAATCACTTCATTATCAACTTGAACATTGTTTTTATTTTCTGACTAATCATTATTTATTTATTTCTAATAAGGGATTTGTAAATCTGTTGATTGAAAGACCGTTGCAAATATTTGCATTTTGTGCTCAATGCAATGCTAAAATGTGGGTTCGTAATGGATTCGCTGTTCAACAATCTGTAAGTGTGACATTATTGTTGTATTTATTTTGTTATGTGTTAATCATTTTATGTACTGAATGTACGAGCTTTGAAGGGCAGAGGGAGTTAGCTTTGTGGTTAAAGTATTCAGCTTTCAGCTGATTAGTCTCATGTTCGGACTTGTGTAGAAGGTGGTAGTTGGAGGTAATTGATAGGGAATCCTTGAACTGGATCTCGTGCTATTCGACGCTCGTTAGCAAGGTGTACCTGAAATCTTAGGGAAACTGATGCTTTCTGACGGATTCGATCCTGTGTCACCCAACATCAAAGTCAGAGACATTATCGCTGAGATATCCGGGCTGCGACTGACTTCATATTGGACTGAGATATTTTCACAGTTGATCGGTGACTGGGAAATAGCCAGTTTGTGTAAAGAATATCGACCTAAAAAGGTTACTCTAAACGAAGGTCGCACCTTTCACCCTGGTCGAAATTCATAGTGAATTGGTAAAAAAAATCTAGGACTTTCGAATCTCATTGCAATCGCTAAACTCATAGGTTACTGAATCGACATCTAATGGTCTAAACTCCTAACGTCAATCTAGTTGTATTATTGCACCTCACACTCAACATAATCATTCATCGTTGTTATGTTACGAAGTTCTACTTTCAGTAACAATAATAGATTTCCTAGATTTCTCTTGTTAGAATGCCTTTCTAAAGAAAGAGCGGTCAGGCAACCAAAATTTAAAAATAAAAAATTCTGATCTTTTATAAGCGATGAAGTCATATACTCTTTAAATTTTCTTTACTACATTTACGTAAATTGTGTCATTTTCATGCTTAGATGCACAGAATACTTCTAGATATTAATAATACTGTTGGTTTCCATCAGCCTTGATGTTTCATTAATCTGTATTCTGAATTTTTATAGAATTAAATCTCGATCTAATCAATAATGATTTCATCTTAACGTTTAACATTTTGATATCCACTTATCCATGACTCCATCATAAAGAAACTGTATTAGTTATTCTTACCCTTTCCCATTTATTTTCACTGTGAGCGTATACGATCCATGTTAGTGTATGCATGGTACCTTGTAGGAGTCTGCTAGCTCATCCTGATCAAGGATTTAAAACGTTAAATATTATGGATGAGTTTCATTCTTGATGGTGCAGACGCATCACTTTTATCCATTCCAGTCACTCTTTATACATATCTCCTAGTTTTGTCTTCGCTAAACATGTTCTTAATGTTTGGTCTCTCATGTTTTCACTGCTACTGGTATTATTTTGACTTCTTTTCTATACATCGTGTTAATTTTATCTAATCGTGGTGTAGTTAGACAACTTGAGCTAATTCATTTTTGTGCCTGTCTGTACGTACAATATGACTAGCTACTGTATTTTTTTATTCTGTATTTGTATAGATGACGAATCTATTCAGTCCATCAATACGTGTTGAATTAGTTGATCGTGATCTACAATTATTACAAATTGCTAGTTGTGTTCTACCACCAGATGAATTTATTGTTCGTTTAATACACAAATTTCATTTGGGTAATTATTTAAAGACGTGAGTTCAAGTTGTTTTAATTGACTCAATCAATTAAATGTGTTCAATTTGAAGATATTTTAATCAAACTCAATAGTCAGTCAGCTACAACGTAGGACCAGGCACATATATGCATCGGTCTAAGTTGCCATACCTCATTAGCATAACATGATGAACACCGGATTCATAGAAGTAGTTAATTCATTGTCGGTAATATATAAAATAAAGATTGCATATAAGGACATAGTACGAGAAAACTGAATGGACAATTATATTTTCAGTTATTGTGGAGAATTTTGTAGCCCATGTGAATTGTTTTTTCGTTGTTGTTTTTGGTAGGTTAAGGTTAATGTCTTTAAGCTCTGTAGTTTTTATGATTGCAAAGCTTTTGTTATTGCTTTGGCAAACAAAACTATCAACGCTCACTTCTCAAAGAATCCATTTTAATTTTTTGATATTGGCGCCTAAAGTTTAATCTTTACATTATTGACTTTTAATTCTGCTGTCCAAATTTCCAAATTCTAAACAATTCATATAACATTGAATGATAACTATGCAATACCAATTATGAAAGTGGTTGTCTTATTTATTCCTTCTTATATGATTGAATCCTACTAGTTCTTAAGTTCTTTCTAGAATCAACTTATCTGAATTGATTATCTTACACAATTTATTCAAAACTATTGTAGATAATTTTCTACATCAGTTGAAATCATCAAATGTATTTTCTTGTTTGTATTTAGTTAGATAAACAAATCTTGTTCGTCATTATAAAATTCGTTTACATCTCGAATCGTTTGCCTGAACGTTATTGGTCTTATTATCAACAGGAGATTTATTTGGTTTCTGTTTATTTCAACAGTTGAAATCATGAGTCACTTGAAGCTAGTCCACTATGGAAAACCTGGAAGCACTGGACGGCCGTTTCGTCCTAGTATGGGACTCCTCAGCAGTGAACTTTCACGATCCCGCCCTCCTGCGAGACTCATGATTTCAACTATTGAAATTTTTAAAATCTCCACAAAACCCCTTCTAATTATGTTTATTTCTCACCCTTACTATATTTACACGAATGCATTTATAATCAAACAATCACTTTACCGTATTAATAATAATTAGCACGATTTCATTCTGACACTTCTACGTTCATATGAATTATAGAAGAATAAATTAACAGTTCGATCACATGTATTTACGTTCTTATTCAATGATTGCATATTAATTATGCTGCATACCGGTATACTACAGTCTCAAGCACTTGCTTTACTGAAATTCTCCGACAGTTAAAATATTTTCCCCTACTATCTCATATTACATCAGGTAATGTTACTATTTTGATGTCCATGCCTTAAGACTAACAGTAATATAAAGATTGTGTTTCAATGAAACTGCTAGACAGAGAACTGTTTTTTTTTAGTTGCAAAAATAATTGAAACAATATCCTTGTTTGAGATGTCGTACAGTAGAATTATAAACTACTTATAAGTAAGCAGTTGATAAATGCTGAACTTTCAAAATCATTGTTTTTTTTGTTATTATCCAACTTCTATTTTCAAAAATAAAAATACCTGAACAAAACAACAATCCAGCGATGTCTCATCTAAAGAACCCGGTCTTGGTCGTGTACATGCAGTGGAAATGTTGTTACGCGTAATATTGGCATGTGTTTCTAATCGTTCACGTCCTTCAATCGGTTATTTTACCAAAGACTACTACATGATGAACGATTCTAATAATAAACTGTTGAGTTGTTTGGATGATATCCTGATTGACACTGAATCGGAAATTTACTATCCCAGCCTAATAAATGATGTGATACATACATTATGCCTGAAACCTTTAAGTTATAGTGAATTATTATCCGTTCTTCCATATCAAAATGCAAATAGTTTATTGTTAAGAATTCCAACGGAACAATCGGATTCAACACATCATCAATCAGATCAATCAGACCATGAAATGAGCACAGAAGAAATACAACAATCTTCAACATCATGTTCTATAGATTTGGGCTCCAGACCACCAGTTTTACCAGCTTCAATATCAAGAAGTGCTAATAAACGTGCTATAGAAAACGCATTACCTAAAATATTACGTAAACTAGCCGTACAATCATCAGTGAATAACCGTACAGTGTTCAGTATACGACCAGAATATATGGCATATCGATTTAATCGATTTTATTGGGGATATAGACATCCGGAGCAAACAGCAGTAAGTGTACTATCATATACCTTAATATGTTTTTACAATATAGTTTGGATAAACATCAATTCAAATATTACTGTAAAATATTTAGCCCCTAAATGCCCTGGTATGGCCGGATCCCAAACCAATGGTGCACATGGGCTCCAGTATCCTGAGGGAGCAAATGGCGTATGAACCAATTGTTGGTCACCGGCTACCATGGGACTGCAGTCAGTCAGTCAGCTACAACGTAGGACCAGGCACATATGTGCATCGGTCCAGGTTGCCATACCGCATCAACACAACAAGATGAACACCAGATTCATAACAGTGGTTAGGTCAAAGGTGGTAATATATGGGAGAAAGATTGAAATTAGGATATAGTATAGGAAGAAAGAATTAGTTATTAGAAAGAAAGATATGAAGCGATTTTAATCTCTTAGTTTAAGGGAAGACAGAGAGTGTATGCACCGACGCCATTGTGATCGATTCTGAGCCATATCACCAAGAGTTTCTAACCATTGGTTACGAAAGTCACGCGGACCTCAACCAATTAGTCTGCATCTACCAACATGGCTCAGACTAGAAGTTAGTGACTTCAAGCACTGATGCTACGTTTTGGTTTGGCCGCCCCTTACTTTCTTCCAACCGTTGTTGCTACCTTGACGTGGTGGTCGGGCTTGCCTATCGTGATGAAGCAACCGAGCTATACTGGCTGGAACAACCGTTCCTCAAGGTCCTACCATGTCAGACGGGTCGGTGGAAGAGCGGTAAGACTAAAAGCAACAAACTCAAGGTCCGAAGGCGAAGTCGTACTGCTGACTGTACAGAAGTGTGACAGCAGTAAGGTGTTTCTTTCGGACAACCAGCATGACATTTATGCTGTCTTCCCACAAGGAGGGGTGGGGTCAGAAAAGGTCGACCCTAAAAATGCACACCTCGCCTTATCCTACGGATATCCGTCTCCGGCGGTGAGGTCTCAACAAGTACGGAGCTGACACAAAAATTACCCATAAAAAGTTCGTGTGTGACCGACCTCAAGCAGCTGTCTCTTGAGCGTTGCGGTCACGCTCTCAGGTCACTGAGACCACCTCTAATCCAATTTCCTTTTCAGGTACCTCCAGAAGAACCCTTCCACATTTTGGGTAGCCGGGAAGTGATAAACGCCCTCATACCTCTAACAGCACTCAATACCATGGGACTGCATCTCCTCACTATGCTCCACTGCCTTGTGGGTTAGACCTTTAGGTCAAAGGCTTGTGGTGTGGCCCCCCAAGAAAACCACCTGCTTCGGTGTGGGAACCTGGGCAGTATTACAGCCCTCACACAAAAGTGTGGCGCATATATATTTGGTGCCCTCTTGTACCAATATATATGTGTTCTAATAAATAAGTAAATAAATGACTGTCCAATATTCTGTATTGTAGTTTTATGTCTATAAGAATAATAAGTAAACTGAAAACACATTCGATCGATCTATTTTCAAATGATTAGATAACAATATTACATTTAACACAGTTTTCTTAATTTCCTACTCTATAAATTATTGAAATCACTCAAATAATTGTGATTGGGATGTTATACGATGAGTTTGGTTGATCATAGAAATGTAAAAATGCCTTGAAAAGTTATTTTTCCACTGATTGATTATTTACCATTCATTTAGTTTCAAAGATAAATCTTTTAAGCAGAGGCGATCCTTCAAAACAGACTAATCAGTTGAAGTCCTAAATGTTTATGGGAAAATCCAAACAACTAAGATATATGAATTTTCTCATGAATTTTGTAGCCAATTGTAACTTCTAAGAATTCCATATTGTGTCAAGACATAGTATTGAATAAAAATATTATTATTATTGATGTGTATTTAACTTTAGCATCGATTTTTAGGAAGAATATTAATAAACTTTTCAATTTTATTCTGGGTTTTTGCATCAAATCTGATACTCTAAGTCTTCAGCCTGTATTCTAACCAATAAAAGTATTTTTATATTCTTCAATGTCATCGCTCCTCGGCTCTCTGAGCTATGATTATGTGTATGTGTGTCTTCAGTGTCATATTCGTTTCAAACGTTCTGCTGTTCTTTGACTGTTTATTATTTAAGCTCAATGAATGAAAATGTACATTAGTTATCAAAAATCAAATGGTCATATCTCCGAAGTTCCAGCAAGAATAGTTTTAAAACTGTTAAAGTCAACTGTGTGATTGAAAATACTTTGAATTGCTTAATTTAGTAAATAATAAATACATATACACATTCCTATTATATTGACATCATAGAAAAGGTTGAGAATAAAGTTATCAGTTATATTTTCATTTGTTATCAATTACTTACGCCTGTTACTCCTCGCGGAGGAGCATAGGCCATACACCAACACTGTCGTCGACAATACTTGTGCTTCAAGTTTCAGCTCTGTACAACAGGACTGTGTTGACGCTCGTATTGAAGTTTGTGACTTTGATATTTGTTGAAAGTTGTTTTCAGTTCCATTTGTTATCAATTAGAATATTGCATATTACAAAAAAACTGTATGTGTTTGTGTCTTTAGTAGCTTTTATTATTGGGTTGAGTAAAATTGTGCTTAACGGTTTAACCAGTACAACTTTGTGAACATTTCAACAGCTTGTTTTTCTTCTTAATAGGCTGAAGCAAATGTTTCTAAATGTTTAAAGAAATGGATTCAAGAACAAAATAATGTTGATTTAAAAAATCTTCCAATACCACCACCGGCTCCTCGTCCTTTACACAAATTTACACCATCTGTTTATCCTGGTCCATTACATATTATTCAATGTGTTACATTTGTACGTCTTATTAAAACATTATTAGATATTGCCTATTCTCATGGAACATCAGCCTCATGGTGGTCACATAGTCTACTAGATTTGTTACTACATTTGATTACTGTCGCGCTGTATGAAGATGAATTAAGTGGGAGGTAAGTTTGTTCGGTTTTTCTGATTTTTAAGTGTTGAAACTTGTTGAAAGACTACGATTGAGTTGTGGTTGGGCTTGCAGTTATTATTATGTTACAGACGATTAAGGTTATAATGGCGTGAAGGAAATCTATTACATTACGTTTTATGTCATTGTTCATTGGTTATCGGGCATTCCTACAGGGATGGGACAAATTAATCTTACCGGATAGTACTTCTCCCATTATAACGGCCTGATCACATGGAACCCAATACCAAATAAGAGTTTGTCATTTTCAAAGATATAACACTAATATTCTTTAGACTATATTTCACTCAAATTTTCCTTGATATGAACAAGAATCGAAAGTGAACAATATATGTATTCCAATAATTCAAATAATAAAAATACATTTATAAAAACACCACAGTTTATATAAGAATATTACAGGATCTCGGCACGTCCACTAACGCTGATTGAATGAATATCGTTCAACCAGTGTATCCGATTCAATGAGATTATACAACAGTCAGAAATCTATCCTGCTGACAATTTTTAAATACTATTGTTAAATTTTTTTGGATGCACACATTAAGTTACTTTTTAATTATCTCGATAATATTAAGTAGTATTTTCTCTTATATTTTGTAGAAGACACATTTGTATCTCACCTCATTCATTCCACTTGTGAATGACGTGCAAGGATGATAACCGTTCAATTTCAAGTCCGAACCTTTCTCCAGTCCAAATAGAACACTAGGAATCTGGGATTTCTTTTTTCATATAATTACTGAATCGAACTCTTAACGATTTAATTTTCTTAAGATTTAAGGTTTGGATTTGTAGTATTTCGTTTTATATGTTTTCCAAATTCAATAACTCAAAAACCTGTAACAACACTACTCACTTTATTTATAACTGAATCACATAAAAAGTTTACTATGTTTACATTTTCTCTTTTGTATTTCATCTATTTCTTAGTAAAACTGGTTCATATCCGTTTTTGATAGCCGTTACCCGTGTCCCAGAACATAGTGAATCTGATTCTGAATTAAAAGAGCTTGCACGTTCCGGGCATTGGTTACAGTCAGCTACAATCGATAAATCTGTTTTGTGCACAGTTTTAAACAAGTATGTTTATTGTTACTAGTATTTTTTTTAAAAAAAATAAGGTAATTGGCAACAGTAAGGTCATTTTTTACTAAACATGTATCATAGATTGTAGTTACAACCGAGTGTCCTAATAGGATTTTATGCACTTAACTGTACAAAAAAGATTACGAGCATCCTTTTAGCAACATCGTTATTTCATATAGTATGTGTGGATTAAGTTCAACACATATTTACAGTTATGTAGACCTGATTAGGTTAACTTATTTACTACTTGTGTTTTGAATTGTTCACTCTGATTGTCATTATATATGTATGATATAATAACGAATAGACTTTCTAAACGAAAGTTGTTTGAGTAGGAATTTATTTGTCAGTCATTTGAATATCTGAATGTGTAATCTACAGTTCAAAGAATCTTAGTCAGGAAATAATTTTCGATGGTCCCAGATGAACGAAGTAAATTCGTTTGTCATACGTTGGATACTAGGTAAGGATGGCAAATCAATTGATGAAATAGTGAAACTTCATCAGTCGAGATGGCTGGGACACGTGTTACGTATTCCCAACCACCGAATGCCTCGACGTGCGATGCTCAATGGTATAGGAGTAGGTTAGAAGAAAACTAGGGGCGGCCAGATCAAAACATGGCACAAGTCCATGAAGTCATTGACAAGTGGTCTGAGTCATGTTGGTAGGTGTAGACTACCTGGTTGGGAACCGCGAGATGATAGCGACCGATGGTTAGAGACCCTAAATGACATGGCTCAAAATCATTTGCAATGGCGCAGGTGCATGCACTCTTTGTGTTCTCCCAAATTCTAATCTTCTGTATTATACTCCTTTAATAACATCTTCAAACCCTAATGTTTCCGTCTACTGCTTATACTCTCACTACTTATTCCACTACGGGATTTGAATGGACAACTGCATCTCTGTGCTAATGTGGTACGGCGACTCGAATTGATGTACGTACGTACGAATTTCTACGTTGTTACTAACTGACTGACTGATCCCATGTACACCGTTAGTTTGGAATTATAACAAGATTCTTAGCTGTGGGATTTTTCCCTCTTTCCTAATTTCATCTCTCCCTACCAATTAACGCGGTTTCTACACAGGAAGTTCACTTTTATCCCTGTTTTTTTTAAAGATGCTACCCATATACAACCTCAGAAATGTTTTTCACCAATGAGTTATGATAATCTCTTTACATTTTACCACAGCAACGCGTTTGAACGCAATGTAGTTTATGCTATATATAATGGTTTTAGTCTGTTAAGACGTTAAAGATATGTTTTTTCCAGTACACTAGAGTACAATAATTTTTTTCATTTCATCCAGTTGCTTAGCTTTATCAAACTTTTACTGTTCGTGTTTTTTTTTCTAACAATCATTCAGCTATCTTATTGATGTCCAATCTAGCATATATAATAATATGCCATTTAAGCTCATTTAAAAGTTTTAAACCCTTCTAGTTTATGTTAATTAAGGGACAAATATTATTAATTTTTTATATTTAGTCATATCTTTTTTTTATCATTCCAGTAATTGTATAACTTCTCGATTGGTACGCATATTGAATTCTACATATCACGATGATCATTCAGATTTGATTAGGTAAATAAATAATTTCTTTTACCTTAGCGTTCCCTTAGTTTTTTCTCCTGGTATTTGTTGAGTTATTCTAGTGTTTATTTATATCCGAATACTGAATTCTTTTTTGATTTGATAACCTGATTTGTTAATGGTCGGTGTTTAAACGCTTAAAATGTTCAGGTAAATTTCTAGTGTCTCTAGCTATTCGAAGAATGAAAATTACATTAATTATTTACTATGTAGTAACGAAATTTGGGTTTATCTAGAGCTTGGTGCATTAACCTTGACACTTTCGAATCGCCTGCGAAGTATCATGTACTTGATAATTACAAAATTTTCTTTTTTTTTTTAGTGAATGACAACGAAAACAAAACTTAATTCCTGTAAATCTTATTGATTACCCTTAATCACCTAACATATCCATTCGTATCTGAATATAGGATTTACTAGTCATGATTTATGTATTTTTTTCATCTTTATTATTTTAGATGGACTTTGGATTATTGGAATAAAGTTGTACAAAGTATGACAGGTGAACAACAGTTTGTTCATAATCCTTCGTCTGAATTTGGTGAAGTAAAGAAGGTAATTTGTTCATAAAAATGTTAATAATTATTTCCTTGTAATTTCATGGTCTATTTGAGTTCATCGTTGGTTTGTTGCAGAGGGTAATCATGTTAGACGAGTTCTCGCCTTATGCTTGAAATTAGTGCCTGTTAAAAATAAAATAAGCAAATGATCACCGTTATCTGTTTGCTAAGCCGGGATACTAAAATACTCACCTAAATGTCTTTCTGTTTAGTATAAACTACCCACCTGGGTATTGACGTCACCTGCTACGAGTATTATATCTTAGTCTTTAGCTTTTTGAAGAAGTTCAGAAATCTTTCTGTGAAACTCATCTTTCATTTCATCCGATTTGCAGTCAGTGAGATCATAGGCAAAAACGACGAAAAGGTAACGACATGTGTCCTTATCCTTCTGAGTTCTTACGGAGCCGTTTAGCCGGACAGCACATAAATGACTGTTGACGAGAATCCATTCTAGTAGTGCCTGTTCCGCCCTCATACTTAGTGTTATGCCTTCACCTGCCAGTCCACGAGAACTGGCCATCGTGTCGCCCAGATACACGGAGGATGTATCTCGTCGGCCCTCCGTTTTGGCGAGGTGAGGTCAAGTTAATGACAACCACACTAGGATCCTGTATGTGTGTTTCGGTGACACAGCATACATCAATGTTACGAGATTCTAGAGTCCTAGCCAAGTATGCCAAGGATACATCATATCTATCTATCTATCGATATATATATATATATATATATATATATATATATATATATATATAATTGTAGAGCTATGATGAAAAACTAATTTAAAAGTATTCCTTTCGTCTATTTATCCTTTTACTAGATATCCCAATGGGAATTTTCGGTTTACTATAATGTTTTTTATTACATTACACTATGTCACTCTGCTTACTATTATAGGAACCTTCATCTTATCAGTTGTCAAGTGCACTAGTCAAACAAGATCGTGCAGAAAAAGCGCGGGCTCGACGTGCACGAATTATGGCACGTATGTCAAATATGCAAAGAAATTTTATGGATTCTTTATCACAGAATGAGGGAACTACTAATGAAGTATGTTTTGGTATCCTGAAATTATGTGTACCTTCCACTTTACATAATTTTTTATTCTAAGATATTTAGAACTTTGTGAAAATACAATATTGTTCGACTACACAGTGGATTGATGACACTATAGATCGATTGAAATCCAATGAACATCTCAATGTTTCTATCTGCGTCTTAACTTGATGTTAATTCCGTAGGTTATGGTTACTCTTTAAGGAATTTAAAGAAGTTATATATTGCTTGATATTTTATTTAGCAATATTAAATCGAGCATAATTTTTAGGGATTATGTTCTATTTAGCCAATATAAAGATAAATGATAAAAATACGATAGTGAAACTGTTTAGAGTAATAGAAATATTGCATTTTATCCCTAACCTAATTGACTGTATTCCTTTGCTTGACATCATTAATGTATGTATCTACCACTTATTTATTTTAGTAGGAAATTTAACACGAATGTTAGTTAGGTTTAAGTCATCTTAGTCCCCTGTTGTTTACATTCTTATGTAATAAGAAAAGCAAATTCACTATGATGTTGAATCATAGTTTTGTTCAATGATCACTTCACAAATTTTATCAACATTACGGATTATACTCAATGTGGTAATATGTGTCATCTGTAGCTGAATGTACAAATTTTATTGAAGCAACCAATTTATCACTTGTTTTATATTACATAATAATACAATTTCTTAGTTGTCATATAAAACTAAATACTTGAAAGTATATTTGTAATTATGTTGAAGTAGACTATCTTGAAACACCACTGTACAATTCATTGTTTGTTTTATTATACTAATAAATATGTTTCTTTTTAGGCTGAATTAATGGATATTGATTCTCCTGAAGTGATGAACAATACTGTTAATCAGTCAACAATAACACAACCTGAATCAGTCATTTTGACTATAGTACAACAATGTGCACTTGGTCCAACAAGATCTCTAGGTGGTGCTGCTTTCATTATATCAGATGCATCAGTTTTACGAGGAATGGATAGTTCAAGTCTACAAAATAATGAATTAGTAACTTGTAATTTATGCTTGGTATGTTGTTATATGTGTATAATTCGATTACATAATTTTCTTGTCCTACTTTTCTACTGAATAAATGTCTTATTGTTTTCTTCGGTAAAAACGCAGTCATTCTTAATTTTTGAAGCTCAACTCTAGACTCTGGATTACATGGTTCAGAATCGTGAGATAGGAATAGCTTTATACCTTTCTTTCTACGAGCTCATTCTTTCTCTGTGTGTTATTTGTGAATATGCAGTCGTTCTTTTATATATTACTACCATTGAAGTAACTACTTCTATGAATTCAGTGTTCAACTTGTTGTGCTAATGAATTATGGCAACTTGAACCAATGCAAATATGTCCCTGGCCGTTGTAACTGACTGACTAACTAGCGATATGAAAATGTTTCTTATGTGGTTTCTAGTGGCGACTGGAATGAATTTTGTTCTGAAACTCATGTATTGTCTTTCTTCTTCAAACTATTCACTTACAATAAGGATATTTTGAATTCTTTTGAAAAACTCCTTGTTTTTCAATACAAAGCATCCGCATTAATTATTTTCTCCTCATCAAAAATACCAACACATGAAATGAGTGAATAATATTCCTGTCATTAAGAGATGAAAATGTGTAATTCAATGAAAAGTGAAAATAATACTCAATATTCTACATTAGCAATAATCAATGATATGTGAGATGAAAACTTTACTTAGTAACTGTTACGATATTGTTTAATCTTCTTTTCAATTTCATCCATATATTAAAGATACTGTAAACTTGTATTTCATTAGTTAAAAGAGTTAGTTCACGTTTTTGTATTAAACAACATAGCGTCATTTGAATAACAAAAAAAATTGATTGCCTTCTTCATCGTTAGTAAATGAAACAATAGCTTCATTGACTGAAGTGTTCGACTTACAGCTACAACTGATTACGGTTTAGTATCTCGACGTATTTCGATATGAATAGTTTACCGGTAATATTGTAGTGTATGTTACTTATGTTGACCGATATAACTAGTTTGTAATATCAATCATAAGTGAAATACCTGGCAGGAGAAGACGACGGGAATGAATGAACGATGAAATTTGTATGAGACAATCGACGGAAGATGTGTAAATGTTATACTTAATGTATGATTTTCACATTTAACTGAATCATTGTGTGATTTTGCATTAAATAATAAATTGATTTTCTCACCTGATTCTCCGTTTACTACCGTGTCACTTATATTACTGGACTTCACCTTTAGTTAGATAACCTTTAAAAGACAAAAGGTATTGGATATCCTTTTCATCTGTGTATGGGACTTCTTATTAGTGGTTATTCCCAACCCCTCGAAAGGTTGACCCAGGAGTTTCAGATATAGCAACAAACGTTGCGTCCTTTAAATACTGCTTTGGCGCCCATCATTTTAAATTTCTAACTTTAAACTTAATAATCTCCTTAAATTCACTATTATTAGTCAATTATTATGATAGTCTGCAGCATATTATCATTATTATTTCGTTGCTGTTATCACTTTTCTAATAGGAAGAAGTAACAGAACATGCATCGAATCGAATGGTTATGGCTGCGCATGTTTGCCGATCTTCTGTACTATCTTCACGTGGTATTGGATGGTTAGAAGGTCCTGTCACAATGTCTGTCATTGAGCGTTTATGTGTTGAAAATGAAATGATTGATTCAGAATCCTCAACAGTTGTTGGTAACCATCCAGTGCATTACGATAAAGTATTTCCTGCTAAAAAAATTCATAATGATGACAATCAGGTTATTAATAGTTTATTACAGCTATTTTTATTAAATTTGGGTGTATCTTTGTGTTTATGTTGTTGATCGTCATTATCTAGCGTGTTATCAAATGGTTTGTGTTGTGAACTCTGGCCTATGGATAATAGGAACCGCCGACCATCTAGTTGTCCATTTATTGACTATATCTTCATTATGATAATCGGACCAACGTTCTTCGGTTTAACTAGCAGTACAAAGCACCCTTGATGAATAGCTAATTGATTGTTATACATTACTGAAAATGTTTAACCCTTATCGGTTAACAAACCGCTTCTAGTCAGTGTTGTGACGAGAAGTCGATGGTAACAAGCGTTCATAATATATTCTTCATTCGAAACTCACTTGATAATGTACATTGATGACCAGACCACAAAGCCCTCAAATTCCCGGGTATGGACGAGTATAAAGAGGGTCAGATCTCCGTTTCCAAATGCTCTCACATGGCCACGCGTATACATTTACTGCTAAGGAAGTCCTACTCACTTTGACATTACGGCTGTTTACGAAATTGAGGGGATAGAAAGCGAATATGTGGCGATTTATCCGGGTTAGTTGATATAGAGGATCCACCTAGGGGAGTTGGGAAACCCTGATTTCAAACCAATGGTACATATTGGCTCCAGGATCCTGAGGGCGTACGAACCAGTTGTTGGTGACCGGCTACCATGAGATAGCGTTTCCTAACATTTTTTCACTACCTTGTGGTTTAGATCTGTAGATCAAAGTTTTCATGTGTGTTTGTCTAAGAAATCCACCTGTTTCGGTTTGGGCGCCCGAACAGAATCCCAAAAATCACACGAATTGAATGATTTGTGTAACGCGTATTTATTTGATGCCTCATTGTACCAATCTTCACGTGTTTAAATAAATAATGACTACAAAGCAACACAAGAAATTACTGTGCGTAAATGATTACTCTATAAGTTCAAGTAAATTAACTTATGGTTGCGTAATGAACTCATATTTATTTAGGGAATATAAACAGTACAATAATCCAAGTATTTAAAAATATATACCATTTTGCTGTAAGATAGTTCTAAAAGTTTAGTCTCTCTCAAATTCTCTCTAATACAACAGTTTGTTATTCACTTGACATTTTATTCGGTCATTTATCATACAGCAGATACTTGGGAGATTGATAATCAGTTGTTGTTTTTGTGACTAAATATGAATACTTAAATAGCATATTCTAATGTTTTTTGGTGATAATTTGTCTGCATTCACTGAGTTGGTTTGATGTGAAAGTTTAACATTTTCATTGTTACTATGGCTAATTCCGTAAAGGTCAAGTAAAATTTTAAAAAAAAGACTTCACGTTCGATATACTTATTTAACTTTTTGTAATAACATTGTTTGTGACTGATTATTTATATGTGGAATGTTTTATATCGTTTACTCTTTACTAGGATATTATTAGTTGCCTTTTTCTGCGTGTAGATGAATCTGGATTCTATGTTATTGTAGAAATTCTCTTGTATTTTGTTATACACTAATAAAAACATCCACCTGAATTACAAATAGGTTTTCATTGAAGATCACCATTATTTCAACATCATTTTACGTTTATTTTTAAATATTTATGCCTCTCTTCTATTATTGTTTATAGCTTATTCCTTTTCTGGCATCAGTATCGACAACAGCTGCGGCTAAATGTGCCGGTTCTTCAAGAATGGGGCTTCGAATTATTCCTGAATTATTATCTGGTATACGATGTCTAGAGCTACGAAAGGATACTTCTATGTCAATTGATTTCACAAATAAAAGTATGTAAATTTTGTTATATGATCTGTAGGATTGTTTAGATCAATATTGACTGACTTCAGGAGACACTCCTGGAGTTCTAGTGAGAAGTCGTTACCAGTGGAGTTCATCTAGGTCTGTTGTGAGATAGGAACTCACTGAAGGCAATGGTGTACGGTGGCGCAACTTCGTGGATTGGTTGAAGTTACATATTAACACCGTTGGATGCCGGCTCAGTGGTCTAGTGGTTAAGTGCTCGCGCGCGAAACGAGTAGGTCCTTGGTTAGGATACCGCGAGATGCAGAGTCGTGGATGCGCACTGCTGGGGAATCCCATACCAGGACGAAGCGGCCGTCCAGTGCTTCCAGGTTTTCCATGGTGGTCTAGCTTCAATTGACTCATGATTTCAACTTGTGAAATTTCAATATTATTTGTTGGTAATAATTCTAATTCTTCGCTGAAGCAATTTATATCAATTTTAACTCGTCGTTGTATTGTTGTGACGTTAGTATATCTGTAAATGATAGTGCGTACAGTTTATCCTTACTAAGGATATACAACAAATCTATGCCATTTTATCTGAACAATTACTCACCCACACTTCCTGTCAATACAAGTAAATAAGGTAATCAGTGTATAAAATGGTTTGATATTTGATATTGTTTAAGTGCAATGTTCTCTTTACTATAATTTTGCAATGAGTTAAATTTTTTTAAATTAATAATAATCGTAATTATTGTAGATGCTCTTGGTCCTGGCTTAATTGATCAATTACTTGATAGTTATGGTCTATCATCAGATCAAGATATCAATCATTCATTTATATTAGATCCTTGGCATCCACGACCTTTAGTTTCTAGTCGTGATCCGATTTCAGAGGAAGGATCTTTTTTCACTTTTTGTTCACATCCCATGCATGCTGCATGTAAAACAAAATATGCAAGACAGATAAAAGGTCGAGTGGATCATCTAAATCGGTAAGTGTTCTTATTTAGATAGATCATATTCATCAACATTTCTTTGTCAACTGCTTAATTCATTTTTTTTACGTAATTGGATTTACATAATCTTATTTTGAGCCACATCGGTTGTGTGAACATTATGCATGCAAAAACCTGATTTAGGCAGATATGATTGTTCAAACATGCCATCGACTGATTGAAGGTGCATTGTTTTAACTCATTAAGCCACTGCTCCAACGAAAACAACTTACCTTCAAATTGTATTAACTCACTCGAATATTTGATAGGCAGTCGTGAATAACTTGTATTTAATCTGCAGTTATATTTTTAACTTTATTATTGTTTGCTGAATTTCTTTTGAAGCTAACTGAAAAGCTTGTATATTTGAATTCCCCCTTTTTAAGTCAGCAGAAATCATCTCTGATAAAACCAAATGGCATGTGTAACCATACAAGAGTTCTATAAAATTATGTGTGTTAATTCATCATTATTTTCCTGAAGTAACTGACAATCAGCTTTCAACGTTCTCCTCCTCCTTCCTAAGGGTAGAGAGGAGGTGGTTATACTATTTTATCAAAAAAGAAATAATTAAAGTTCATAAGGATGTTTTCCATTTGTTTAATAAATACGCTGCCATTTTAAGATAAAGCAATAAATACTTTAATTCTTCCAATCCAAAAATTCTATGATGTAAAAAGGTGTATCATCTTTGGCAGATTTTTCTAACTGACAAATCAATTATATACTTGTAATTGTTCGAGTCTTATCGTTCTCGATGTCAAGGGATGAATTCCGATCAGTTCGCTTTTAAAATGGCACTTTACGTTTTAAAATGATGGTTTTAATAAAGTTAACAAATAGAATACTGATGTATAGATGTTATGTAACAATTTGACGTACCTTTCTGATGGATAGCCCACCTGTTCACACGGTCGATTCACTGACAGACATCCCTTTAAATGAGTTGTTTATTCTTACCCCTCGTGGTAGCTTTATATATACAAATTTCCTAATTTATTATTTATTTATTTGAACACAAATTTTGGCACAAGGGGGCACCAGATACATATGCGCCACACAAATCATTCGATTTATGTGAGGTCTTGGATACTACCCGATTGCCCAAACCAATACAGGTGGTTTTCTTAGGGGGTCACACTCGGAGCTTTTAACCTAAAGCTCTGATCCACAAGGCAGTGGAGCAACGTCAGGAGATGCAGTAACATGATAGTCGGTCACCAATAATTGGTTCATACGTCATTTGTTCCTGCAGGATACTGGAACTCATGTGCACCATTATTTTGGAATCAGGGTTTTCCAACTCCCCTAGGTGAAACTTGTGTGTCTACCAACATGGTTAAAGAGCCGGACATTCGTTTTCCATCCTCTCAATTTCGTAAAGAAGAGTAATATCGCGAAAAAGCAGTGAGTAGGACTTCTCTGGCAGTGGTTGTATGCACGTGGCTATGTGAGAGCATTTGGAGACGGAGAGCTGACTCTCCGAACTCTAGGCCGTACCAGAGCATTTGGGGGCATAAATAGAATGTCGCTGTCAGGATCCTATTCCTAATTAGATATTTCACAAGTTAATTGAATTCAAATCTCGCTTACTGGCTTTGCATACTTGATCGTGATATCAAAGTGCATGATATGAACTACCTGGGAATATTTTATTAGATTGATTTCCCTTGGAAGCCTTTTTGTGAGGAGCTTATTTATAGGGGATAATGATAACCCCACGCTCAAACATACTCCTTTATAGGGGCTTAGGACCTGTAGTAACCTTGGATAAGCTTCAGGTGGAGGTATATCACTCATTTGATTGTTGTATATTTCGATGAGATTCGCTTTTATTTTTCTCTCTTTTCTTAGCAGTCGTAATTCATCAATGGTGGTATTTGAATTTCGTTGTCCATTATGTAAATGTATATCTACATTGGATTTACCAATGTTAGGTCCAATTTATTTAGATCTTCCTACTGAATGGTTAAAATCACGATTATTATCTTCGAATGATGAACATTTAAATCAATCCCGGTCTGTCACTTCTGTTGCCAACACTAATACTTCTACTAATAATGCTAATTATAATAATGATTTTCAACCATTAAGTTCTTGGCTACGTAATCTTTCACGTTGGTTAGATATGTCGTCAGATATAAATGATTTTATTTTGGGTCCATTATTCCCATCTACTTTAACTGGACATACATCAATTGCTGATCGTTTACAAAATGCGGTATGTTTCATCATAAATGCACTAATGACTTTGTTAATTCCAAAGTTTGTCTTGGAGAATCTGTTTTGTTTTACTTTCCTGTCAGCTTAATGTTCTCGGTGGTAGAAAAATTGTCTTTGATGACACTTATAATGTTCATTTCATCAATATCAACTCAATGCTGTTTTGTGCATCTAATGATGCTTCTGGGATGCTAGGTTATTGAACCCATGTTACTTGCTTTTTCCATCCAACTCGCCCCCAGAACTCTCCTATATTTGTACCTTAAAAAAAGAACGCCGGGTGGATTCTGTAAAAAGCAGCCTCAATTCCAAGTTTAGTTTAGGTTTGGGAAGCTAAGTATATTTACAGGTTTATGTGTGACTTTTATATTTTAAAAGCTCCTGGAAACAAGCTGAACTCGGCAAGTATCCAACCAGGATATAACATAATCTTTTGTTTACTTTAAGATCTCTGGAATGTTTCTACTAAATGGTGATTGGACCAATTATTTTTGACTAATCATAATCATAATGGTTTTGTTCAGTATTATATGCTTAGTACAATTTGGAATTCACGCCATTCAATATTCCAATACGTTGCTTTTACTTTACTCATATCACAGAAATCAATGGATAAGTACATACATACGTACATGAAATAAGTAAATAATCATTTGTACAACTGTGAATTCACAACTGGTTTAACAATATAAATTTTTTTTAAATATTAGATCAGCTTTTACTATCTTTTCGTTATATTGTAGATGTGATAGGTACAGTATGGTAGAACTTTTGTGTTTTTACCTGTATCCATGGTTTTTAGTATATCTGTATCTCGGTTTAAATGTAAATGAAGAGGTTGATATGTATCTGATAAAGTAATACATCTTAGCGATTTGCACAATTTTAAGTGTATATCCACAATTACATAATGACAGTTAAAGTTCCATAACATTTCATACTGTATATTTTTAAGAAACTCATGATTGTTTTCGGACATTCACGCATTAGTTTTAGATATAAAGTTAAATATTTGACAAATAATAGAATAGTCCTAAATGGTTATGTACATTCTGTATGTTTTTTTTTTAAAAAAAATAAGTAAACCGATTTTTATTTCTTTTTTTTTCCCCTAACTCAGTCAACTACTGTAGACTCAACATTAGAAGATTATACATTTTGGAATTTTGGAAATATTATCTCATCAGATACAAGTGTAAATTACTCTTGTCCTTCTACTTCTTCTCCATCAACATCATTACCGTCATCATCATCATTATCAGTTGATATGGATATTGATAATAATCCACCGAGTGCAAAACTTCTGGCATTCAGTGAAAACTATGAACTTGCTTCAAAATTAATTAATTCCATAGTGAAACGAATAAAATATAGTTTAATTGTACAAGATAATGAAAATGATAATTATAATAATGAAACGGGTAATAATAAGAAAAATTCAAAAGTTACTTTGAAAACTACTGATTGCGGAGTTAGTAGCAGTGGAAGCAGTAGTTTAAATCCTTTAAGTCGACAATTTTGGACATCTAGACGCTTTTCCAGACGTTCTACTTCAGATAATGACAATACCACGATGAACTCATCTAATTCCAGAAGCAATAATAATAATAATGCTAAAGTTAGTGGAAACACTTTAAGGAACCTGTTACCGCCACAATCTTCATCTCTTTTAGTTTCCACAAATTTATTTACGCTAGTTCAACGATTAGCTAGTTTAAGTCAACCGAAATCACTGGATACACTAGTACAACGTCCAAGTGGTCGGCGTGCTGCTGCTGCTGCTGAGGTAGTTGGTAAGTTCACTAATGATATCACATTTTTATAATGGAAAAGCGCTTGAAAAATTAGGTGATCATGATGACTGATAGCTTTACTTTTTGATTTCGTTCTAGCCCGAACCTAATCGATAAAAATTCAATCAGTGCTTAAGAATAATGGGACATTACTGACTACTGTTCCGTTTATGTATTCCTTTACTAGACTATTAATCATATCAATGTACAAGTTTATATATTCATATATAAATCACACACACACATTATCCGGACGGTTGGTCAAATCGAAATATATGACCAGTTGTTTGAACATGTAACCTTTATGATTGACAATCGTAGAATACATTGAGCCTTATGCTACTATTCTTCATTAGGCTACATATACTTACACTGACTTTAGATGACTAATTTTTACACTTTGTCATGTAACCTAGTTCAATTGAATTGAATTGGTGGGGAACGTAATCTCTAATTTTCATATGATAGTCTAATTACCTACCAAAAGTATCTTATAATACTTATCCATCAGTCAGTTAGAGATGATGCCAAGTTTTATTAGCGGTTTGTAGATGGTTGTCACTCCCCGGTTGTCCGCATCGTGGAAAGATACTTATTATTAAGATTAATAAAGAAAGTGGAATAATAGTAATCTTAGCAACCTGAGGGCATAACCTTATAGCTCAGGGTAAAAAAACTACTTAAGCCCAATTACTCACAACTTATTTGTGAGTGGCTGTTGATATGTTCGCTCCATACTTATAAAGCTTTACTGTCGACGACCGAAATTCGTGGTGCAAGGTGTGCTGTTTTTTTAGACGCGACTCATTCCTTTTTTGGAGTGGATGCAGCATAGCTGTTTATTCTGGTTTCTTTGAAACACCTTTCTTCCTTCACATCGTAATACAACTTAGTACTTAAACTTTAGTTTACTGCTTTTAGTCTACACTGTTCTCCAACTGACTAGTCTTGTAATGTAGAGCCTAAAGTAGCGTGTACTTCAATAACTATAGCTCGATTTTGTCATCGTAATGGGCAGAGTCGACCAACAAGTGAATGTAGCAGCCACAATTGGGATCTTAGTATCACTTTTCCCAATTATCTTGAAGCCTCTATGATTTCTTCCTAACTGAAATACTGGATATTCAAATAGATCCGTCACTAAATAAACATCTAATGTTGGGGATGGTTAGAAGAAAGTTAGGGGCGGCCAAACCAAAACGTGGCAGCAGTCATTGAAGCCACTAACTTCTAGTCTTGACCGCGTTGGTAGATGTAGACTACTTGGTTGGGCTCCGCGTAACTATCGTAAACATTGGTTGGAGACCCTGGGTGATATGGCTCAGAATCGATCACAATGGCGTCGGTGTATACACTCTCTGTCCTCCCTTAAACTATGAGATTAAAACTGCTTCATATCTTTCTCCCTACCAACGAATTGTTTCTTCCTGTTCTATATCTTTACATGTGATCTTTCTGGTATATACTACTACCATTAGAGTAACTACTTTTATGAATTCGGTGTTCATTTTGTTGTACTAATGAGGTTTGGCAACTTGAACCGATGCATATCTGTGCCTCGTCCTACCTTGTAGTTGACTGACTGAGTAAATAAACGTGATATAGAAAAGCAACTATGTTCATTTGATGTTGATGGAGATATTGAATGCTCCATAATGTTCAATTCTGTCAATTACTTGTTTTATAAATGAATCTTAGTCATGTATGAATTTAGTGGCATTACTACTACTACTCATATCAGTTTATGTGATTAATGATGAACATATCATTTGTCCCTCTTATGACTGTTGTAACGTGCGGGTGACTGCAGGTTTTGATAAACAGCGTTTATATCGATCGACCGCGGTGACACGTAATGAACGACCTAGTATCCCGATTGGCCCTGCTTCCGTGTCTACCCCAGCCAGTTGAGTCCAGAACGCAAGTCACAGCCTCTGAGATATGAATCATTGTATTTCAGACATACTCTATTTATATACTAACCAAACATACCACATCGTACCATAAAAATAGAAAACAACATTTACACAATATTAAACAAGTGAACAGATATCGACCAATAGGAGATGTCCATTTAAAGTCCAAGGACACCATTGGACTTAACATGATAATTATTGGTCTATCCTTCCGCATCCACAACAATGACCAGTACTATTTTTGACTTTTTAGACTATATTCCAATCGATAAAAGAACATTTGTCGTTCAGTAGTTTAGTTAGTATAGTTGATTGTTAGAGTCAGGGGTTTTGAGCGATTGCAATTATTCTATGATAACAGCTTTAAACCCTACTTCACGTGTAAACTCAGTATCACCAGTTGAATAGTCACCAGTAGCAATTAGACAAAGGTATGTGACTTAAATGTGAGTTCATGACATCCGACCTCATGAGCCATTATATTTATAAAATTAATTCAAATGTGTTACCACAAATTTTTGTCTTGCACATAGTCATTTTATTTAGATTTATAAGTTATTTATATTGTTTGCTATTATATCATCAATGTTGTTAGTTAATAATGGACCAACAATTCTTTCTCTACCAAATGAAATTAATGAAGAAGACGATGATCAAGTTGTAGCGTTTGTTGTCGCAGATACAGAAATTCAAGTCAATCTATATCCAACTGACAATGATGCACCTACAGTGCCTGGTTCAAATATTCAAGTTCTGGTCACACAAACAGAATATAATCCATCCACTACTTCTACTGCTTTTAGTAGTAGTTCAGCAATATCAACCACATCTAATCACTCTCCTGTTAAACAATTATCACAAACTGTTCCATTCGATGCCAATTTAAGTCTTTCCGAAGCGATTGAACGTTTTCACTTAGATTTTATGAGTTTCTATGAACGTTTACGTACACTCGGCTCATCTATACCACATACTACAACTATTATATCGTATCCAGTAACACCAACAGTGGGACTATCAAACTCTACAAAACCTCAAATATCTGATCGTGTAACCAAAACTACAGAAGATATTAATCATAAAATTATTGTCAATTCTCATAATTCTGCTAAACATTATCTGGAACGTGTTGCACAACGCGCTCGTAATGTAATTTGGTCAGCTGCTTGTGAATGGAGATCATTGAGACATAGTGTGGCGTATACATTGATTGGGTCCGAACGTGTAAGCAATCTTGTATATTGTATTATCTACACATCATTTTTTTACTATCACTAATATTGCCACCGCCACTGCTGATACTATTTCTTTTACCTTGCTATTCGTCTAGATGTGTTGATAGATTTCTAAATTACTTATGACTGACTGATATTCTCTGTGTACAGATTCCCATTTATAGTTCTATTATCTTAATTTGTTCATTCTTCTTCTTGTTTAACATCGTTTTGTTTTACTGCGCATAACAACTTGTAGAGACAATATATAAACTTATCAAATCCTATCTTTTTGTTATTTATACTTATTTATCAATCTGTCCATCTTATTCTTTGTAGATATCGGTTCTGTAGATTCCTTATTTTGATTAACAGTATTATACACATAAAAATCTGATTATTTCCATTTATTCATTCCTATTTTCTTCATTTGATTGAATTTTATTTTCTGTAATATTATAAGTAGTAGATCAAATATTTTGTTCACTTATCATATATCTAGTAGATTTTTATTTACTCGGTTTTTAGGTTTAGTGTTTGCAGCTAGTGTTTGTAGGCTGGTGCTAGTCTCAGATTGAAATAGGTTAAACGATTTTTAAACCTGATACTTACATAGGGAATGAAGTTCGAAAAGTAATGAATAATAATTTGGTGAATACTCGGAAGAAGTTTTTTCTTCTGAACAATCAGTGTATTTCTTGACAAAGAAACTGATTTTCATTAATTTCATTTAAGGTGTTCTTAAACAGAATCCATGAATCTTTTTCTGTCCGACCTGGAACTTCCTGACACATTGGTTGTACCGATAGTCACGAACTGATGCTATGTCCTAGCAGTTTATTATGTCCAGCTTCAAACCATCTCGGTGTTTTTTTTTTGGTTGCTATGATGTTTTTACATATTCGATATGACTTGTTCTTGATTTTGATATTGCTAACTTTTCTAGACTTTAAGGTTACGTGGTTGTCACGAGCATTTCTTTAATGGTGGCTTGGCAGAACGAAGAATTCATGGACTTGGACATTTGTTAAGAGCTTCATTCGCAGCACATTCTCGTCATGCTGTTGTTTCACGTGGTTGTTCATTGTCATGCAATGCAAGCGATTGTAAGACATCAGGACATCGATATTGTTGGTCACAATTAAAAACTCACCCTATTCATTGGTGGTGGTGGTCTTATTGTGTTCCATTTGATGTTGTACCAAAATCACAACTAAAAGATAGTAAGTGGGTTTGTATTTTTTTTCAACTGAGCGATTCTATGTAGAACATTCATATTCGACTTTATATAGCATTGATCTCTGACATGAGTAAAGTGACGAGAAATGGTTCGGTGTGGACAAATGAAGAGACTGAATTCACCTCTTCACTAATACCCAATTAGTAGATTTTTTACTTGAAGTGCAAGTAAACGTTTTGGAATTGAACTGTGCGTAGTGCTGAACATAGTTTTTTTTATATTTCTGTTATTATTAAGCAATTAGCCTCATCGTTTACTCAGTATTATATGTCACACCAGTGGATACGATTTAAAAGCTGAGGCTGACAAGGTTGTGAAGTTTTCTATCCATAAGCTTCACGTCATTCAATGACTCGAAACTCGATAAAGTCTACATCAGAACAAGTTGTTACACTTTGTATCAGTCAAAAAATAGTACTTAAATCGATTCCATTTTTTTATTTTATTTATTTGATTCACACATATCCTGGTACAACTGTACATGTAAGACACACATAAAATAAAGGGATGATATTGCAAAAATAGCATGCAATAAGCGATACTGTTCAGTTGAAAATACAATCACGGAAGACTTCTAGCTTAGGTAGTTCCTTTCATTTTCACTTAAAAAGAATATGTAATTAAAAAGAACTGTAGGATCACCACTGACTTTTTTTGGAGCCATGTCTGATAACATATCAAACCATTAAGTTGCACTATCTCTAGGACTGGGACCGGAGACACTCTGTTCATAGATAGATGCTGCTCCTATACAGTTTTTTTTTAATAACACGACACCATTTTATTGACGGACTACCTCTCCACTTGGAAAGACCAGTATTTGGAATTATAAAGCCAAGATTCTCTCGTCGACACGTTGTAGACTCGACCTTCTACAGCCAGATCAACATCATGACGACACAAAATACAACCGAAATCGTAATATACCTCTCTGGCTTTCACATTGTATAGATTGATGTTACCAGTCACATCACCGCTACTAGCACTCACACAACTATCCCAATACACGAACGTCTCGACTTGAGTATCAAGAAGCTCGCTAAGTTCCTTTCTTTTCAAATAACTGACTAGGTTCAAATTTCAACGCAATACATATTACATTATGCACGGTTCTTCTCTTTAAGAAATTTTACTATAGCACCTTATTTTGTTCGTTTCAAAACATTTCAGTTCCAAACGGTTGTCGTTTAAATAATCCACCAACTATATTGGACGTAGCTGAATCAGCTGTATGTGTTGCAGCAACAGAAGATGCTCGTTTCCTGTGGCGTTTATTACTTCCACCATTGGAAAATTACGCTATTGGTAATCCTAGCATATCAGCTGGTGATTCTTCTTCACAACAACAAATAAGTCAACATAATTCAATGTCTCCTATGTCTAAAATGCATTGTTCTTTACATTCTTTATCTGTGAACAGTCAGTCCACTACTAGTCTTCTTTGGGATGTAAGTTGCTCTCTTCTAAACTTAAATTTTTCGTATCACTATATCCTTAACGTCATCGTTCGTCTAGGCAATATTTTCGTTTTTTAAAAATTATCAAGTTTGTGACTTATCTTTTTTCAAATAATTCGTTCCACACACTCCGGGTAATATTTTAAGATGCGTTTGGAAAGTGATCGCTTTGTGGGGCACGTAAATTTATAGGTATGCACTGATGGGTCGAAAGCGGAAGTTTATCCTAAACTCGTCCGTGAATGGTAGGCCAGCTTGAGAAGGCATTATGAAGCTTTACTGAAATGTTAAAATCCATCCACTGTACCACTCAAAGTATTCATCTTTGTTGTTGTGTTTTTTTAACCAAAATTATCCAAAACTATTCAAATATAGGAAATATTTTCTGTTGTTTTTTGTTTCTAGGTGGATATTACATCGTTGTTTATCAGTCTGTTACATTTACGTCCAGGTCTTGAAGAATTCAGTGTGCATGATTGTCAATGTACACGTTTAGCCAGTGAAGCTGATGCTGATATCACATTTGAATCTGGTGCAGCTTCATTGGGTGCTCATTTATTGGCTTGTGATGAAGGAAGAATACGTCAACCAATTGGTGATAGTCATGAATCACATTTATTACGTTTATGTTATACAGCATTGTTAGTACAAACATTATTAGCATGGAATCCTAATATGAATTGTTTAAATTATCTAAAAAAGCATAAACTTATACCGGATTCGTGTACATGGAATGATGCTTATACAAAATCAGCTCATTGGAATACACCTCAGGTTAGTGAATTATTATCGTTACTAGTATTATTTCAATTTTCTCAAAAATAAATAAAATTTGATTTTACTCTAATTGTATATGATCTGGGATACTGTTTGGGTGTTCAATCGAGGTAGGTAGCTTTTCTGGGTGAGAGTAAAAACGTTGACGCCGCGTAAGAACATTCTAAGATGAAGGAAAGATTCTTGACTTTACTAGGTAGTATGTCCATACTTCCAGGTTGATATCTGAGAGGTAGTTGTAATGTACACCGGGTAAATTGAGACAATCTGACCTAAAGTATGTCACAGTTCCATTACTTTCTAATAGTCTTTTGAATATTGAACTTGTTATCCTTTCTTATTTTCTGTTAGTGTACTTATTTCGAACCCTAACACTTGTGTTTAGCTTCTCACCGCAGTTGGTAATACTTCTACTTGTCTGAAATGTAGCAAATTTCGTACCAACCAACATCTGTGCCATATCTTGCACGTTATCAAAAACTAGCAGACTTTGGTTTTTTTTCAAGCATTTACATCGATCATGCTTTCATTTCGTTACTCTTTAGAAAATTTAGGGTTTTTCAATATTGTTGTTGTTGATATTGTGTATATTTTATTTCTGAGTTTTTCAGTATTGGCTGTATGATATTATTTTTCTATTGTTGTTTCGTTTTATCAAGTTGATCGAAGTATGGCGTTTACTACGTGATCTATCCGGTCTTTCTACAATGAATTCATCATTTTCTATTAATGATGAAAATCATGATCCGCAAATTATGGCTCAATCGTTAGGTTTATTTTTACGTGCGAATTGTCTACCATTTCTACGTATTGCTGCTTTTGTTATACATAAAATTACAGGTGTCGATGTGCCAAGTGATTTGCATCAGTCAACCAATTCATTAGCAAATACTAGTTCAGGTAGGTAGATACGTAATGCTTTGTTTTTATCAACTTATCTTCTTTCATTCAGGTTGTTTATTTTTCCACAACCATAATGTTCTCTATTGATTAGGGAGTTAGTTACCATAGAGAATTCACTTTCACGTGACATATAAGACTGTTTAAAAATTCTACAGAATCAGAACATGTGCCTAGAATCACTTTTAATTCAAACTCGGTGTCCAACCTCTCGTCCTTCCTTAGTCCTAATTCCCTTCTGTAGTATGTTTTAGGTTTTTTAAAAAAATTAGTATGTTATAATTTTAAACCGTAGTCAGTTATGATTATTATTCAGTTTTTATTATTATGACCTTTTTGTTTTTCTCCATATCTGTCAAGCGGATAATTATCTTTCATAATTCTGAGCGGTAAATTACTTTTATTCTTCTGTAGCCGTCGGGTGTTTACGTAATCTTGTTTGATAATTAGGGTCTTGAATCCCTTTCTGATGAAATCCTTTCTATCCTTCTATAGACTCATATATTTAACATTTTTTCTGGTTAGCGTTTTATAGGGAGTTCGTTTTCTTCTGGATGAGGTCGCCAACTCCATACCCAACCCTCCTCCTTTATCCGGGTTAGGGACCAGCAGCAGCCCTAGGGGGTTCTAGGCGGATTTATATATTTCACATACAACTATAAATACGAATGTACAGCTTTAGTAGATGATTTCGTCGTCACGAAAAAATTTTCTTCTCTGGATTCTCATTATTTTTATTCACTGACACAATAGGTTTTTTTTAATTATCATTAACTTGTGCTTTTTATTTGTTTATTTGAACACATAAATATTGGTACAAAGGGGCACCAGATACATATGCGCCACACAAATCTCATTAGATTTTTGTAAGGGCTGAGATGCTTCCCGGGTGCCCAAATCAAAGCAGGTGGTTTTCTTAGGGGGCCACACCCCGAACCTTTGACCTAAAGGTCTAATCCACAATGCAGTGGAGCATCGTGAGGAGATGCAGTCCCATGGTAGCCGGTGACCAACAATTGGTTCTTACGCCATTTGTTCCTTCAGGATACTGGAGCCCACGTGCACCATTGGTTTGGAATTAGGGTTTCTCAACTCCCCTATGAGAACTCTCCGTGTTTACCAACCCAGCTGAGCACCGTACATTCGCTTTTCATCCTCTCAATTTCGTAAACAAGAGTAATGCCGCGAGAAGCAGTGAGTAGGACTTCTCTGGTAGTGGATGTTTACGCGTGGCCATGTGAGAATATTTCGTCAGAGAGATCTAATTTTCCACTGTCTGCCTTACCAGGGCATATGGAGAAAGTTTAGAAATCATAATCTGATTTGTTAAGTATTAAATTGATTATCAACTTTGTGTTTTATCTTTTCTTAATGTTTCTAGATTCATAAAACCTATTTTGAATTTATCAATACCTTTTGTTTTCTGTTCATAAACTAATCTTGGAACAAAAGCTTCTTCTTCGTCCTATCGATTTCTAAAGCCATTATTATCATTCTTTTGTCTTCACCTATATTCCTCTTTCTTATTACATCTAATCTCAACTTCAACATTTTAACTTATTACGTTGCTTATTTTCTTTCTTTCTTTTTCTTTCTCTCACTCTCTCACACACAATCATTCATCTTTATCTACTTTAATGAATATTGAAACGATTAATAATTATGTTTTCAATTTCATAAAAAGAATAACACTTAAACCATTTGTTCATTTAACTTGTATTTTACCATGTTTAGCAAGTTATTTTATTGTTGCTAGCATATATACTACTGATTTTCGTTGTGTTTTTTTCTTCTTCGAATAACTGTATTTCTGCCATTGTATAGCTCTAGAAATGAATTCATCAGAAATAAAATTCTTCGTCGAGCTTATTTTTCCTTGTATTTTCTACTAGTTTCTCATTATTTTATTATATAACACACTAGAATTATTCAGTAATTATTTTCCTTTTTGATAGTGGTTTCTGGGGTAGATAGTAGGGATAATTTGAACTTAGATTTTGTGTTAGTTTGCACACTTCAGAAAGTTCTATGTTTCTATATTTTTAGGTGGAGTGATACTTTCTATGGAATTTGAACCTGAGTCACACTTCTTCAGTTTTAGACGTTGATATAGAGTTATTCAAACTTGCATTAAGGTCCTGTGTCACTGAGCTATTGGGTCACTCAGACTAATACAACTTTATCGGTAGAATTTGTTTAGCACTAAGAAACTTCATCGATATGTTATTAGTCATTACTTAGTGATCACCAATCTATATTTACTTTTTTATTTGGTCCAATCTCTTTTTTTTCTCATTTCTTTCTTCCCAGATACTATGAATGAACATAGTCTACTGTTAGCTTACTTAGGCTTACCATTAACGCCTAGTGATTTGTTAATCTTGTTAACATCACCTGAATCCAACTCGTTCAATGGATCACCATCAAACACAACAGCACCAATATCATCTTCATCATCATCGTCGACAAACTCGTTGAATTTTATTCAACCTGAGAAATTATTGCATATTTCTTTGTTATCCGAATCATTATGGTTAGCACGTTTAATAACAAGTTGGTGTTTAACTGGTCGTCAGTCATTAAGTCGTCAAATTTATCAATCATTATACAATCGTTATGTAAACAACGACAAAACAGACAATACATTATCAATAATACATGATTTAATCCCTTATCCAAATGCACATTTACCAAATTTAATTCAGTTGCCAAAAGAATACACTAATTTGCTGTTATTGGCTACAGATATGGAGTAGGTTTTGATTTTTACAAAAAGTTTTTATTCTATTTTATTAATTACCTACTTAATTACTAAAGCCTTTTAACCCTCGTGGGGGAGCATAGACCGCCTAAGTATGTATCTTGTTTTCAGCAGTTCGACTTGGTTACGATATACAACCCGAAATATATGACAAACTCTAAATGCAGATGAGAAGTTTGAAATCATTTGGAAGGTTGAGTTGTCGAATCAAAGTATCATGTACATAAATCGTTGATATATCTACATTTCTTTTTCTTATCCAGACAAGGACATGCTTATGCTCTTACTACCTCTACCACCACGGGATTTGAATCGACAATTGTATCTGTGTGCTAATGTGGTATGGCAAGTCGAACTGATGTACGTACGTACGAAGTTCTACGTTGTTACTACTGACTGACTGATTACTTATCAATGTACATAGTTTATCGGTCAATTCATTCATTAATCGTATCTCTACCACAAACCTATTTATTTATTTACAAATTAAATTGTCGAACATGATTATTTGGAAATTATTTTCCCTCTTTAAAATTGTCTTCTTTTTTTTGTTATAGCTGCCATGCAGAAGGTCATACACATAGTGATTTGAGTTTATGTCTTGTTTGTGGACATTTGGCTTGTTTATTCTGTTATGGTTGTCGACAATTTGAACAAAAAACTGATTCAAGTATATTTGGTAGTGGTACAAGTACAACAATAATTTCGAACAATAATAACAGTAGTAGCAGTAGTAATAATAATCAAGAGTTTGCTGTCTATCGTATGCAAGCTCATTCTAGACGTTGTCATTCTGGCTATAGTCTCTTACTGCGTATTCATTCATGTCGTGTAATTTTATTGTCAGATCAAGCCAGACGAATTACTGAGATGCCTGCACCATATCGAGATTCTTTTGGTGAAACTGATCCTGATTTACGGTAGTTTGTTTATTTTTTGTTCTTATCGATTACAATTCATTTTCTCAGTGTTTTTTCTTTATCGATATATTATTGTTATTACTACTAGTGACAAATCATAATTGTACTTTTGCTAAAACACATTAAACTGTTTATATCTGAGCATAAATTTTACTCTATAAATAGATGTAATCACTGAAGAAATAAAGGATCGAAACAACATACATTTTATAAGCAAAGATAGATGGTGGCTAGCAGTGGAATCTATGCGTGTGATTCATTCTATTTCGGACTCGTTAGCTGGATATATCTGTATCCAAATAAACAATAGAAAATGAACAGTCATTCTATGAAGTTATTTTATTGTACTAAGAAAAACTTATTGAATCAAGAAAACAATAAGCATTTTATTCTATTAATTTTCAAAAGATAATATAAGTGTATTAAGTTATTTAACATTTAGATAGTTATACTATTCAATTGTAATACTCATTGGATATATTACCATTTTTCTTTTTATTATGAAATAGTTAATTTAAGTAACAGTAACTCTGAGTTCCTTTTTGAGTAAAGTTAACTTTTGTAACAAAACACTGCTGTTCGAATTGCAAAATCTTGTTATCAATCATACTATGAGTTGATATGATGTTACACGTTATAATGTTAGTTAATCACAAGAAAATACACCAGTAATATAGTTAGTGGTCATGTAGGAAAGTCCAAGTAAATTCAGTGGATACTACTTGTCTATGTACTCAGTTTTGACGCATACTGTGTTTTTGTGTATCAGGATTAGTAACACTATCCGATTGATTAGTCTGAATTACATGAAATAGAGTAATTGAATTAGAACATAGTTTAATGCTTACTCACCTTACGTAAACTAGACTGTACAAGTAGTGCAAATGAACAGAACACTTTTTTCATGTTATTTCACGTCTTTTCTTTATCATTTTATTTTGTTCCTTAAAAAAATCTTCAGCCGTGGAAATCCTCTATTTCTTGTGGAATCTGAATATGAACGTATTAATCAGTTATGGATTAGTCATCAATTGGCCTCCAGTACATCATCTGATTTGATTACACCTTCAAATTTGCAATTTGGTCTGTATTAAAACTAATCACAACATATAAGCAGAAGAAATGTTCATCAACAACCTCCTTTTTTTAAATCATCGTCATCATCACCGTTGACAGTAGAAATATCACTTCATTATCTTGTCATTTGTCATAATGTGAATGCTTTCATCACTCAGCACTGTTTGGATCGGCATGTCAACGGTGTCAGCTAACCCCACCCCCATACCCCTCTATCTTATGAAGTCATTGAACTATCTATCTTCCTTAAATTTATATTTATACATAATTATACACAGAGAGTCTTGTTATACGCTATTTTTTGGGATTAATGAAGTGACGATCTCTCATACTACACAGATCGTTTGTTTTCTGTAAAATTTCAAAGGACTCTTTTGTTTTTCCATTTCATCTACTTAAAGAAAAGTCTCGTCTTGTGCGCTTACAAATGCGCTTATTTTAATGAACCAATAGTGATTGATTTTATTCAAAAATTTTGCATTCTTCTTTTTCCTATTTGTCTATTTATCGGTGACTATTCATCCTTTTTGCATAGTTTTTTTATTAAATGGTTAAAGTAGTGTATATGTGTTCTACAGATAAAGTGTGTAAAATCTAGGATTCGTTAACTCTATTCCCTCTTCTTCTTGTTCTTCTTCTTCTTCTTCTCTATATTCATCATTTAGTCTTGTAAACTTGTTTTATTCTGTGCTAGTTTATTTGGTATACTTATATTTATTTCTCATTGTATTAACTTCCTCTCCCCTTTCCTTTATCAATACAACTTACCTTATCATAATGTTACGTAATATTTGCTCTTAAAGAGAGAGAAAAAAAGAACGACGAAAGTTGCTATTTCTCTGTTTGTCCTTATTTTATTTTTCATCAACTATTCATCATATACATATATTTTTGTTTGTTTGGTAAGATCTTTTTTGAATTATTGTGTTTCTGTAAGGTATTTTTTGATATATTTTCCTTTCTTTACCTATCTTCTTTCCATCTCTTCTATAGACATACTCATATATCCTTACAGTTAATAAACATCAAACTTAATTGTAGTGAAGTGATTTTAATCTAATTGTTGGTATGTGTAAACATGAGGTAGAAAATAATCTCTATGGCAACATCAAGTGATAATAGTTTTCAAATTTCTCCTTTGGACTTTTTTTCTTTCTTTCTTGTTTCTTTCTCTTATTTCATCTATTTTTTTAAAAAAGTTTAGTTTAAAAATATTTTTCGTTTCATTCTTTCTTTTATCACCTAATAGGGTTTCTTTTCTAGAATTCACTTTCTTCACTCATTATTTGTGCTTTTTCGGTTGTTTTTTCCCCCACTCCTACCCCTCTTTTTCTAATGTCGAAATAGTACACATATACATATATATTTATTTTGTTAAATACATAAAATTTTCATAATTAGTTTATTAATATTACTGTTTTTGATATCATTTGTATGATTGATATATTTTGTTGTATGATGGTTAGTTTATTGACTTTCTATGATAATAATTTTAATTTGTTGATTTTGAAATTATAGTCAGTCAGTCAGTTAGCCAGTCGGTTATGATCAACTTAGAACCCATCATATCAAGTTATCCCTATTGCATATCTAGATGAAATTATTAAGAAAAAATATAGAGTAGTAGATATAGTGATGGTAGTAGTGATAAATAACATTTAGTATAAGCAACAACATTTAAGTGGAGTTTTGTTCTCTGGACTGGACTGGATCGTTCGGTCGTGGTGTTTTCATTGTTCTTCTGAGCAATGTCGTCAGTATAAACTTATGGTAGAAGTGAAGTATTCAAAATTCTCTACATATGACTCATCTTGTCCTGAAGATCTCGATCTTAATTGGTTATCGTTGAGCTTTAAGATGTCAGTGTCTACTTTATTTTGATTGCGTATCTCTTTGATCTGATCCTTGATCCTATATTAGTCCATGATTTTCCTGATTGATTTCGATATGTTTGTTGATTGCTGACTGACCTGAATGCGAATTTTTTAAAGATTCCTTGGTGTTTTTAGTATTCTTACTATCCAATATTTCAACATTTATCCAGTCTAATGTGTGTTCACAATAACCAGTCGTGGTCGACAGGACAAAATGAGTCATGTGTGGATAATTTCAAATACTTCACTTTTACCGGAAGTTTATACTAATGATATTGTGCAGAAGAACAGTGTAAGCATCACGACTAAACCATCTAACCCGGAGAAGAAAATTCCACCTCAGTTACAAATCTCCACTACCTCGTACGAATCTTTGAATTCCGATTGACTATTATCTGGATGATATTATACTTGTCTCTTTCTAGACCTCAATATTAAGGTTTTTATCCTGTATACGAATTCATGAGTATTTATTGGTTAAAAGTTTCGAAACTAACAAAAAAATCTACTTTTCAACATCTAGAAACATTGAGAATGTTGTTATCGAACAGGGGTTCCCAACACTGCAGGTGCCAAATATGAAAAAATATTAAAATGACATTAGACACATAGATCACAAGTGTTACTGTAGTGTATTGTTAGTGTATTATACAAGTGATCAATGCCAACATAATGCATAAAGGACACAATAATATCTGTCAATCGATAGATAAGATTCTTAATCATGTGTATGTTAATTATTCACATTTGTTTGTTATAAAAATTGTGGTTTAGTTAAGGACCTAGAGAGTTCTGATCAAAACGTTGCATCTAGGTACTTAAGACTGTCAAATAATAACCATTTTAATAACTTGAAAATAAATCAACATCATGGTAATGATTGTTGAAACTGTTTGATACATCTCAAAACCAGTGTTTTTATACACTAATACACTTATTGTTCCTTTTTCCTTATTAAATATGATCTAACCTAATTCACTTAGTAAATTACTTGCAAAAAAGCCAATGATCTATATCAAATCCGAAATCATGATACGTTTTGTATTCATTTTTCCATGCTTCCTATGTGTACAATTAACTGTTCATTCGTAGTAACTAAGTTACCGAATAAATGAAAGGATTGATGATAATTTTGCGATCTGTCGTGAATTCTGTGGTGTTAGACACGTGAACCAGTAGATTTCCACCTTGTCTAATCATATCATATTCCCACCGAGATTTGAAAGTCTTAGATCTTATCTCGTGTATAAGATAACTTTGGTACACCACTAAGAAGTCCAAGCCTAAAATGAAACATCTTTTCAGTGCTCCCTATTGATTTTTCTGTTGTCATCAATGCATGATTCAAACTAGACTCTATTTGAACTTTCTACGCAAATTTCTTTAAAAATATTATTGTAGTTGGAACCAATCAAAGAAAATTAGTGTATTTTCGCATCTTATTTGGAATGATTAATTTCTTAGTAATGCGATATGCTGTTCTCAGGTGCTAACTATACAATAGATTGTCTAATACTGGATGTGTACTATTCGACACTAACTAAGAAAAGATTTTTGTGTGGCGAATGCAGATATTGAAGCTGATATATCTAGATTTGTTCTTCGTTATGAGTAAATACATATATCCTTTAATATGATTCTCACTTAATTGATTCCAGTTTGAGGATAGTTATCTCATTCATGTATAAGATTCCTCATCTGTGTATACACACTCAAGAAAATTCGGACTTCATGTTAAGTGCATTACCTTTACCGTTGACTTGATACTTCACTAGTTCACCTACTTTACCAGAAAATTACCAACTCAATAAGTTATTCAGAACGATTGGCTTATACTTGCACTATGATCGGTTTGCACGACAATAGACCAGTATATTCGGCTGTCCACTATCTTGACTACATCTTCGCTTAAGAAGATGTTTCATAATTAAATAAGACATCTTACCGTTATTTCGATAATGAATTCTCTCTCTTTCTGATACTTATATACTTTGTAGTAAAATCATATTTACTGATTTGTTTAATCTTCATTTTCATATTTCAGTTCAAATCAAAATGTCTTCTAATCCAAGTCAAAAATCATCGAAATTAACAAAATCCAGTTTTAAAGGATTATCTCGATCAAAAAAACATAAAAAAGGTAGAAAAGACAAAGAAAAAGTTGAAGAAGTAGAAGAACAAGAAGTAGAAAAAGTAAACCAACTTAATATTTTAGATACTTCATCTAAAACATTAATTACCATTCAAGATTCATTATATAATCAATCAATGGAAAAGAACTCTTCATTGAATGCGTTAAATTCTATGGATTTACAACAGACTACTAATACTACTACTAATAATAACTGCATAAACAATGAGATAGTTACTAGTTCTATTACTGGAGTTACTATTTCATTGAATACACACGAAAATATTCTCAATAATAATGATAATAAATCAAAACAGAAAATTAAGAAGAAAGAGAAGAAACAATTAAAGTGTACTACTACTAATACTACTGATTCAATGGACATGGTTTCTCAATCAAATTTACATCATTCTAATTCAATTAAAAATAAAAAGAAACGTGGCTTGAAATTACACTCACATAGTAAATCAACAAAAAAAGAACAAACAAAAACTGTGAATAAAGTAAATTTCAATATTATTATACTAATTTCTTCTGTTATATGATCTTTATAACTGTCATGTCTTGTTATGACTTCACTTAACTTCTTCCAAGTTATTTCTACATCATAGAGCATCACGTGCTGACGTAGACGGTAGTTGGTCGCATACAAAACATCTCCCGATCACATCAGTCAGTGAACATCCCCAGCTACCTCCTTATCAACTTGCCCCCACTTAACCATATTCCTTATTCAGTAATCTGACCATATACGACAAATATCTCGAACACATCTATGATAAACTAGTAGTAATTTGTGAATGTCTCCTGCTTTCGAGAGAAACGTTTCAAAAACAATATAATATACAGGAGACTACTGGATAATGTGCTCGCTGTTTAGTTAGCAGACTGAGATCTTATCTAAGGGAGAAATGATTGAAGTTGGAAAAAAAGCCTGCTGGAGTTTTTTGAATTTGTTCTGAGATTATGTAAGATATTAACCCAAGAGAGCTAATGTAACTTTTAAAATAAGTGAAGTTGTCGATGCGCTCAGTTCTTATGATGAATATGAGTAAAACTCGATTACATCCAACTATTGTTTGTTCTCATCATAGATTTTAAGGAAATAATAATTTCACAGATAGAAATCATGAGTCAGTTGAAGCTAGACCACTATGGAAAACCTGGAAGCACTGGACGGCCGTTTAGTCCTAGTACGAGACTGCTCGGCAGTAATGCGCATCCACGACTCCGCACCTCGCGGGATTCGAACCCAAAACCTACTTGCTTCGCGCGCGAGCACTTAACCACGGCCGTCCACTGCTTCCAGGTTTTCCATGGTGGTCTAGCTTCAACTGACTCATGTTTTCTATCTGAAATTTCTAAAATTTCCACAATCCCCTTCTGAAAATAATAATTTATTTGAAATTTTTCTCGTAAATATTAGTAATACTTAGAAACTGAAGAGAAGAATTAATTCATTAAGAAGAAATTAAATTAGATATGAACTACCTTTTCTATAAATTTGATAAACTTCATCCAACTATGGAATGTGTTAGTTGGATAAATTCCCTCTATCATATATATATAACAAGAAAGCAGTGATCTCAATATAATGGAATAGTTATAAATGTAGGCTTATTGAAAAATATTGTAATTTGTCACAATACAACACAAGAATTTATAATATTTGGTCTTAGAATAGTATTTATCCATCCGAATTGATGTGACGAAGTGATCAAACTTCAACAATATATAACTGATTACATTATTTCTGAGGTTAGAAATGTTGGAAAGTAAATTTCAGTTTCACAGTTTTATGATATACTTTTGAATACATCGATAACATCACATATGTGCATTTTGCATTCATTTTCATTTTATAATCCACATTATTTAGTGTAATTATTATTATTTTCTTCGTTTTTATCCTACTCACTATTTAGACTATTTTTGGAATGCCTTTAGATATAGCCTGTAACAGAAATCCTAGTCATGATGGAATTGTACTGCCAGCGTTTTTTCGTCATTGTATCGATTATATTGAACAGTATGGTTTAAGTTCTGAAGGAATTTATCGTGTAAGTATACATTTTCTTTTTAATACTTATTTACATTCAGAAATTGTACTATTGCCCTCAAATACTATGGTACGGTCGAGTGTAGGGAGAATCAGCTCTCTTTCTTAAAATGCTCTCACATGGCTACGCGTATACAGCCACTGACACGGAAGTCCTACTCACTACTTTCTCTCAGTGGGGGTGTTGTTTAAGAAATGGATGGGACGAAAAGCGAATGTCCGGTGTTTTACCCGGGCTTTAGGATATAGATATAAACTACTACATTCAACAATCAAATCCAAACCCCTATACTAACAATAATCATATTCGAATTAGTGACTAGTTTTAAGAGCTAATTTCTCAGAATTTCAGTGAGTAGCTATGACCTTTGAGATCCGTTGTTTTGGATGATGATTGTGTAAGTTCATAAATTAACTGAGGTTTGAAATCCGGTTATTTGAACAAAAGTAAAGTAATTTTTGAACAGTCAAAGTTATAAATGTTAATCATTGGTTTGCAACTCAATGGAGGCATGGATTAAGCATTCGCCGAAATACCGTAAAATCTTGAATTCGATACGCACTGTCGATGAATCCGACACTACTGTAAAACAAGTGTCCAATACTTTCTGGCGTTTAGCGACTGTTTACCTTTAGTCATTCCGTGATGTAGACTATGAAGTAAAACGGTTATCCAATGTGCTCCTTGGCTTTTAATTGATATTAGTCCAGATTAATTTGATTTATACCTCTTTTAATTGATCACATTGGCTATATTTTGTTTCTATACAGTTAATTTTCTTAACATGAAATTTAGGTACCAGGTGTACATTCACAAGTACAAGCAGTAATTTCTGCAATCGATAATGGTATAGAATTTCCAGATATTCCGCCGACATCAGCTGCATTTTATTGTAATCAAGCTAACTATACTAAACAACGTTCTAGTCATTTTCAAATTGGATCCGATTCTAATTCTAAAGGGAAAATACGACATCTAAGCTCATGTAAGTTAACATGTTAAATGATAGTAATAATAATTGCTTTATTCTCAATACTTATGCTCTTAGTACAATATTTGATTCTTAGTAAAAACATTATATATATCTTCCGTAATTTGATTGGAATTGGATCATTAACTTCTTTATTAATAGGTCAATACTGAGATTAGGCGGTTACTATGTAAATATATGAAACCAGCAAATTGGTCTTACGGTTCTGTTTTGTTTAATGGACAACTTCATTTGTTATCATTAGGTTAGATTAATGTTTTCTTTCCTGAAAAAACAAAGCCTCTTGAACGCCTAGAGAAACAATTATCTTGAAAGTTTCATCAACCGTGTTACTAATCCACAATGATAACTGGACACAATTTATATAGGTTTTTTATTTATATAAGCAATTGGTTGGCATTTCCGTATAATCTTCATTGTTATATTTACTAACTAACATAAATTTGATATAATAACGATTTTCACGTATACTAGACTTGAAGTCATCATAATGATACTGTAGTCAGACATATTATATGATTTGTATCTAATCGAACTCAGTTAACTATTGTTAGAACAGGTGATTTAACTGAATAGGTATATAATAAAGATGCACACTTGAAAACGGCTTCTGAGAAATTGTTTATGAGGATAATATTAAATAAAATACCATTGCAAAATACTGTCCACAAAAAGTCACACTGTCGGGTGCCGACTCAGTAGTCTAGACGTCAAGCGTTCGAGCGAGAGACCGAATATCCCGGGTTCGTGGGTGTGCACTACTAAGGAGTCCCATACTAGGACGAAACGGCTGTCTAGTGCTTTCAGATTTTTAAAGGTGGTCTAGCTTAGATCGACTAGCGAATTTAACTATTGAAATACTACAATCCCATACTGATAATTACAAATAAGATAAAACCTCATACCGGTAAAATAGCTTTAGTTAAAAAATTATTATATTTCATTACATACAATGGTAATGATTCAAGAATTAAGTTATTTTTTGATAACATGATTCAAGAGACAATTACTAACCGCATTTCACAGTCAATTTAGATCGCCTAGCGTTACACCTGAATAATGTGATCACGAAGCACGTTTGGTTTTTGCAAGATCATATTGTCTCTTTTTTTATTTGATCTCATTTTCTTCTTCACCTTAATGTATATATTATTTTGTTTTCAGCTCATTCTAAATTAAAAGAGCAAAATTCTCAATTATCATCCCATAAAACTTCAGATTATCGTGGCAGAAATATTCCTACACCGACTAATTTTATTACAGGAGCATTTTGTGTAAAAAATTCCAATTCACCAGTGAAACAAACTTCAACTATATTAACTAATAATAATAATAGTAGTACAAGTCCACAGACAACAGGAATCACTATACTACCACATGATCCAGCTGTTATTGCCAGTGTTGTAAAACATTTTCTACGTAGTTTACCTGAACCAATTTTAACTAAACGTTTAAGTAATGTTATTGAATCATTAACTACAGACAATGTACAATTCTATCATAATTTATCTGTTTTAATACATCAAGAATTGCCAACATCAAATCGTTATTTATTAGCATGGATTATACAACATATGATGCATATTATTGATAGAGCTGGTGAAAATCGTATGACATTAGCTAATATTATTATTGTTTTATCACCATGTTTAGGCATAAGTCATCGTTTATTGGGTATATTATTAAATCCTACACCACCTAAAGGTATGTTTTATTTTTTTTTCAAACAAAATATTACTGAATCAGTAGCGAGTACAGAATAGTTCAGTCAGTCAATCAGCTACAACGTAGGACTAGGCACATATATGCATCGGTCCAAGTTGCCATACCTCATTGACACAACAAGATGGACACCGGATTCATAAAAGTAGCTAATTCAGAGGTGGTAATATATAAAAGGAAAGATTGCAATAAGGATATAGTACAGGAAGAAAGAATCAGTTTGTAGAAAGTAAGATATGAAGCGATTTTAATCTCTTAGTTTAAGGGAAGACAGAAAGTGTATACACCGACACCATTGTGATCGATTCTGAGCCATGTCACCAAGAGTCTCCAAACGTTAGTTAAAACAATATAATATTTATTCAGGTTTTAACCACACACTACCTACATTAGTTTGAACAGTCATATTCTACGACTAGGTCGTAATTAAAAGCAGTATGTCTCAGACTTGTATTGTGGAAAGAGACAGTGATCATGTCTTTTAAAGCCGATTATGTTCGACTTCGACCTTCCAAGCGCTGACTGATTAGTCGTAATGATCAGAAGTATCATATTTTTTCTCATTTTAATTAACGAGGTTTGCATAATATCGATTATTTGGTATAACGATAGGGATAATGTCTTTTTCAGAAGTTGAATTTGGTTTATTGATTTGTTTATCAATGTTTTTGAAACTCATTTTGAAATGGTGATTAAGATTTGCAACACTTTATCATCTCTGTCAAGGTATGTTAATTGTTTTTATAAGATGATGACCATACTTTAAAACAGTTTATTTTACTATACACCATAAAGTCTTAGAGTACTCAGTTTTCGGGAAAATCTATCGTTCTGGAATCATATATATTAGAGAATGTCAAATTTAGGCAACAATTCTATGTCAAGGTGATGAACTAAACTTACTTACTTACTTACGCCTGTTACTCCCAATGGAGCATAGGCCACCGACCATCATTCTCCAATCCACTCTGTCCTGGGTCTTTCTTTCTAGTTCTATCCAATTTTTATTCATACTTCTTATGTCTGTCTCCATTTCTCGCCGTAATGTGTTCTTTAGTCTTCCTCCTTTCCTTTGGCCTTGAGGATTCCATGCGAGGGCTTGCCTTGTGACGCAGTTGTGTGCTTTCCTCAATGTGTGTCCTATCCACTTCCAGCGCTTCTTCCTGATTTCTTCCTCCGCTGGGATCTGGTTTGTTCTCTCCCATAGTAGGTTGTTGCTGATAGTGTCTGGTCAACGGATTCGAAATATTTTGCGTATGATGAACTAAAGCGAATTCTTAAATCATACAGAATTACAGCCTTCTATAAAATAACTGCTATACTTCGAAATAATTTAGTTTACCTCGAAACACAATTGTGTCTATAAATTAAGATGTATAAATTGTGATGCTTTTTGTATCTGAGGACATTCTCGGGAATCGATGATTCGTGCCATGAAACAATATAAGCTACATAAATGGCCTCTAAATAATCATGTGGAACTAGAAAGTCTACAAATTAAATCATCAGTAGTAGTACGATTTATTTTTAGCAACCACAAATCAATATTAGTCATATCAACAAGGATTTTTCTAATTATTAAGGGAGGTGAGTGTTTAAAGCTTCTCATATATTGTTAAACCCTACCGTGCTTAATAGAAACGAAGAACTAAGAATCTATCCAACATGAACCATTTACTCAAATATCTACACATTGAATTCTGTTGACATCTAACACCATTAATAAACATATAAATATTTTGACTCTACTCTTTCACATTACAAATATAACATTGTTCACTAATATACCCATAAGTGGATCTCACATCGAATCATTTTGATTGAAATGACATAACATTAACAGGATCAAACCTGTTTGATTTTACTCAAAAAATATTCTGCTTCATTTCCTTTCTACAATTTAAGCTATCAGTTCCTTTACTCATTTATTCTCCAAGGAAGTGACTTGTACAAGTCACATAACGTCAGAAATTTAATTTTCTACATATTGGAATTTCACAAATACATCATTATAATGACTGTTCTTTGTATATAACGGTTCTTCAGTGTTGATTAAACTCAAATATTAATTCTACAGTCAAACTTGGTGACACAATTCAAAGTTTTTGGATAAAATTTCAAGAATACTCGAGTATAATTGTTCTTATCGATGATTTTGCTTGGAATAATCAGTTAATCTGTAAGCGATGTGGAACCTAACATCGGTTCAATTAACTATACCATATTTGCACAGTGACATGAAATTATTAAGACGATGGCTAGAATAGCGGAAGTAATAACCGTATCAGTAGTCTTAGGAAAGATTAAGCGTAGGCAATATAATATGAAAAGAACTAAAAACGTTTGTTGAATAAAAAGTATAATTATTCCAAGATAAAAAGTGAGTGAATTTGTTCAATTGTAACCGATTCTGAGCCATTTTATCCCTAGCATCCCCGACCATTATCTACGATAACCTCACATACGTTATCCAAGTAGTCTGAACCTACTAACACTTTCCAATCCAAAAGTCAATGTTTAGAACAAAAATTTAAAACATAAGTACAGTTTTAGTTTTTATTTCCACGTGAAGAAACTGATTTTAGACTGTTGATTGTTTTCATACTTAAACATTTAATTAAGTTACTTTAAAGTAACAATGTGACTGGAAATCGTGAACATTAATCTTTACACTTAGTAACTGACTAAGTGAAATCTACCTAAATTGGGTTAAATTAATTAAACTTCGAACCAATGCCCTAACTTATTTAATACCTGAATGCGTCAATTATAAAACTATTACCCCGTCCTGGAGCATATAAAATTGTTCACCTCATCGAAGTTTTTATACAAGGTTTATTCATTTTTGTTATTTTGCATTGTAACACAATCCTGTCTAGTGATACTTTTCCATTTTTCATATTTGAAAAAGTTTACTAATATAGTGTCCTGGTCATATGGTCTCACATCAATTTTATTTTAGAAATATATTTATTAAAATATGTCATTTCTCGTACTGGGGATGAAATATTAGACTGATAATACATGAGGACATTTTCAAAGTGATTGATGCATATCGAATGATAATTACAACATAGTTACACTTTGGCATTACACAACTGCCTAGTCATTACAATAGGTGTGTTTCTGTTTCTATGTAGTTACAACTGTAGGGTCCCCAAAATGCCCTAGTACGGTCGAGAGTGGGGAGAGTCAGCTCTCTGTCTCCAAATGCTCTACATAGCCACATGCATACAACCATTGCCAGAGAAGTCCTACTCACTGCTTTTTCGCGGCATTAATCTTGTTCACGAAATTGAGAAAATGGAAAACGAATGTCCGGCTCTTTAACCATGTTGGAGGACACACAGGCTTCACCTAGGGGAGTTGGAAAACCCTGATTCCAAACAAATAGTGCACATAAGTTCCAGTATCCTGCTGGAACAAATGACGTATGAACCAATTATTGGTGACCGACTATCATGTTACTGCATCTCCTGACGTTTTTTCACTGCCTTAAGGGTTAGACCTTTAGGTCAAAAGCTCCGAGTGTGACCCCCTAAGAAAACCACCTGTTTCGGTTTGGGCAATCGGGTAGTATCCAAGCCCTCACATAAATCGAATGATTTGTGTGGCGCATATCTGTGTGGTACCTCCTTGTACCATTGTTTATGTTTTTAAATAAATAATGGGGAAAGAACATAATTGTTTAAACCAGTTTTTTCAAGACTTTAAGAAATCAATAATAAGTTTTTTTAGTTAAAAAGTGTTAATTGAATTTAACCAATCATAGGAAAGTGGTCAATGTTTATGGTTTCCAGTTCTATAGTAATTTTAGCACGTAAAAGTTTGACTTTAACGTGTAATATTAATAATAATGCAACCTTCTCTATTAACTAAGATGTGAAGTTGGTCGAATGTAATTAATTATGTTTTGTTTTTTATTGTTATTCAATTTCAATCATCATTTGTTTTTCAATGATCATTCCAACTGTCTGTTGTGAATATACGCGTTAAAGATTTTACTTTGGATCTATGTAAATTAGATCCTGAATTGCCTACATTCATGACGAATAATATTGATCCGAGTACTTGGCATTGGTTATTTCCTCATCCAATTTATCTATTAAAAGCTTATATACCTCCATTGAAATCATTATATGGGTTAGAGTTGCCCGATACTAATGAAGAATTAGATATGGAATTGAAGAAACAAGAATCCTTGCTCACTTATTTATGTGAACAAATTCAACTGGATGGTGATAAAGGGAATTCTGGTAAAGAAAATAATTTACGTAATGTAAGTTTAAGTTGATTGTTTATGTGCGCTTTCTTTCTCTACCCAAATTTTATTCAGTATACTGGCTTCATTGTCGGATTCGTTTGAATTTCTTAAGTTGAAATACAAAATCGTTAGTAGTAATGGTTTATTGGTTAAAATTCATTTTTAGTCATACGCTTATAGTTTCAATCACAACATTCCATTTGTAATCACTGTGTAATTTTACACCATTTGATCATTTATAATCATGAATCCTAAATACACCGTCAGTTTAGAATTAAAGTTTTCCAACTCCTTTGTATGTCGTTTGTATAAACCTATCCGATTTATGCACCGAATTTTTTATTTTCCTCTCTCAGTTTTACCGAAAAACGTTTTTACTGCCTAAAGAAGTTAAGTATAATTTTTGTTCGAACAAGCTAATAGCTAATGAAAATCTCTCCCGAAAGAAATAAAGGACCCTTTTCACTCTCAGTTATATCAAGGGATTCGAACACAATCTGAAGTGTGTGGTTCTTAACAGAAATGTTCTTTATGTCATATTACTCAAATACAAGTTTTCCTAAATAATTCACAAAATTCCGTCACTAGTTCTTATTGATAATACTAACAATTCATGAAATCATGTTTTATATGTCTACTATTTAAAAATATTCAAGCATATTATAACTAACCAATCTATGTTGTTAAGTTTGTTTTGCATTGTTTTTACTCGCTTCTCTGCCTCTCTTTCGTACATTGTTTTATACTACTTATTTGCATTCAGTAAACAGTTATATTCTCAGCAAATTTTAAATATACTTATAACGTTTATTGTATTTATCACTAGAGTCACTTTACCTTAATCACTGTAACAGTGATCTATAGTTTTATGCATTTGTTTAAACACACCAGTTTCCATATTGTTTAGCTCTTGGTTCAGATTTCGGTTGTTGATAAACTGTTACCAAATTTAGACACAGCTGTCTTTTGTACTATCGTACGTTGTAATTATTCTTTACGTTACCGTTACAGGAAGCCTTTTTACTTTATAAAAAAAGGACGCGTTAAACGCCTCAAACACCTCACAAGATGAGGTTTGTAACCAATTTTTGTGTATTACTCAATAAAGAACTGCTATTGTAGATAAATCGTTATTTTACGATTTTCGGTCTTGCGCGTATCTCAATTGGGTGATCTGGAAGCTTCGATAGACCTAACACATGTACACAATTTAATGTGACTAGTTTTCAACAATTCACAACTATGTAAAATCATAATAAGGAATTGGTGTTCTTTTTTCAAGAAAAGTAGTAGTCATTATCTTTTCTAGTCATACACAATAAGATCCAGATATACATTTTGATTATATTTATAAAAGATTATTATACAGATGCGCCCATACATACATACGTGCGTACACAAGCCGATTAATATGAAATCATTATCCCCTTATATTGTACATTCTCTCTTGTTGTTGGTTTTTCTTTTGTTTTGAAAACTAAATTTAGGTACAGCATATAATGACAGAATTAAAACGACGTAAAACTCTAACAGATCCTGAAGCGATTCGACAAGAAATAATTAAACAACAAGCATACCTAGATCAATTACATAATTTAATAATACAGAGTATATCAATACCAACTACTACTATAGTTTCTGCTGCTACTACTACTGTCCCTGTTGGTGGTGATGGATGCTCAGGTACATCGAGTGGATCCAAAGATAATTGTAATCAACGTCGAAAGTATGTTTGTTTGTTTGAATGGCTTATTATTCACTTATTTTTCTGATTATTGTCGTTCTTTGATCCCATCGTCTTTCAGACATTTATTAAATAACGAATATAAATAATATAACCCATTTACGAGGTACAGGTTTGCACATTGAACTTCGAGCCATATTTTTTGAGCAAATACCACTGACGCTAATCTGGCTGCCCAAAATAATTTAAATGAAGGGCAATATTTGTGGGAGAATTATTCAATATTAATGTAAGTGTAGTTTTCATCACAACGGACTGATATCAGCTAGAGAATGATTGACAATTTCGGGTTACGTACTAATCTTCTGAGGAGTTCTAAATGAGGCCGAAATGGTTGTCTAATGTCGCTTGCTGGTTTTTTGTCAGTTCTATAGGCATAAATATTGCATTCAATACAGTTTAATTAGTGTGTCACGGTACGCGCGACTTCGACTATCGTAATGAGTCAGTAGCTACGGTGTCGGAAAATGTTATTTTATGCCCCGGCAGGTCGGCGGCGCGCCGCAGACTCGACATTTTGACGGAGAGCGTAGCACAGAGTGCAGAGAAGAAGAAAGTGGCATAGCGATCAGAACCACCAAAAGGACGAATGCTTTAAAGGGGGGACGAGTGTGATTTGGTTTGTTTATATCCACACAAGTAGTATATAACGGTGGTCAGGCATAAAATGTATTTTATTAGAAGGCCGATGAGGAAATAATGGGAACGGAACGCAATTGGTATGAAAACGCAAGAACAATGGAATCTGAGACAATGGATTGATGTTTGCGACAGGAACGTTTAAGTTTGAGATGATGAACTGATATTTTGCAAATTAACGATTTACTATATGGTTCTCAGATTTTACTGAAATGTTCTGTAATCTTGTACCCAAATACATTCGCCCTAAAAACTAAACTAGGTTAAGTATTGTCCTGAAAACCTGTGTTTATGACCATAGGTACCAGGGTACAACCACTTAAAGTCAGTTACACACAGTATTTTTTTATGTTTGCTCCGTACGTTTCGTACTTTGCTGCTAGAGCCAGAAATCTATAAGTTAATGTAAGGTGTGCTATTTTTAGAACTGACCTTCACCAACTCAATCTTTCATTTGTAGTAAAGCAGCAACACTGGAGATGCTAGTTGTGTAAAAGAAACATTTTACTGTCATCAGCACTGAATGTGTAATCAAATACAATGTATTATCATATGTATTTTATTATCTATAGTTATTATTTGTTCTTTATTTTCATATAACTATTTCTCACATATGTGTTTGTATTTAAATAAATAACATGAAATTAGAATTACTGGAACTGACAAACACTCAAAAGGTTATCGCCAACATTCGACAACCTTTGAGAAGATTCCTTATTCTGATGAACTATGGGAAGTTCAACGTGAAATAACAACTCTTAAACGCAAGTTAAAACAACATGAAAGGTCGAAAGCATTACAACAAAACCAACAATCATCATCAGATATGACAACAACGTCCACATCATCTTCATCATTAACAGGAACGAATGAGTTAAAATCAAATTATCCTTGTGTTATGTTTATGTCTGGTTCTCCATTAGTTATACCGTCCGTTTCAGAATTAGATCAAGAGGAAGTTCTTAATTTAACGTTGAGGTGAGAGTTGATTATTATTTTGCCTTGAAAAGCATGACTATAAATTCATCCATATTTTAATTTATTTCAAAATTAAAGATATGAGAACTGATCTGAGATCTGATCTGAACTGAGGACGCTGACAAAATCCAGTCTTCTGACCACCCTAAGCAACAATGCAAGTATGTTCGGGATGCGATTCTCCCCCTCGAAATGCAAAATGTTGCTTCAGGATTGGGTTGCATTGACATCCGAACTAATGACAGGGAGTGAAGTAATTGAGCGTGTCGATCGCTTCACTTATCTTGAAAGTCTCATCAGCCCTTGTGGTCTGGTGTGTGACGAAATCTCAGCACGAATACAGAAGGCTCGACTAGCTTTTGCTAACTTGCGTCATTTATGGCGTAGGCGAGATATCCGTCTATCAACCAAAGGACGTGTTTACTGCGCAGAAGTTCGTTCCGTCCTGCTTTATGGCAGTGAAACATGGCCGGTAAGAGTAGAGGATATTCGTAGACTACTAGTATTTGATCATAGGTGTCTTCGAAGTATTGCTCGTATATCATGGGACCATCGAGTAAGTAATGCAGTTGTTAGGAAACGGGCACTAGGTGAGGATGGCGAATCAATTGATGAAGTAGTGAAACTTCATCAGTTGAGATGGTTGGGACACGTGTTACGTATGCCCAACGACCGACTGCCTCGACGTGCGATGTTCAGTGGTATAGGAGTAGATTGGAAGAAAGCTAGGGGCGGCCAGACCAAAACATGGCACAAGTCCATGAAGTCACTGACAAGTGGTCTGAGTCATGTCGGTAGATGTAGACTACCTGGTTGGGGGCCACGAGATGATAGCAACTGATGGTTAGAGACTCTAAATGACATGGCTGAAAATCGTTTGCAATGGCGCAGGTGCATCCACTGTTTGTGTTCTCCCAAATTCTACTCTTCTGAATTCTTCATGTCCCTTTCTTTTTTCTCTTTCCAAATTTATTTCACTGAAGTATACTCTTTGGATGACATCTTTAAACCCTAATGTTTCTGAATACAGCTTTTTAATTTTACTACATCTAGCACTACGGTATTTGAATCGACCACTGCATCTATGTGCTAATGTGGTGTGGCGACTCGAACTGATGTACGTATGTACGAAAATCTACGTTGTTACTGATTGACTGACTGACTTAGATAATTTATTCTACTGTTGAATCGACTAGCAAATAGTAACTTTATCATTCATAGTTGAGGGGAAGTAGCAAGTTTCTAAAACTTTGCCTGCAGCTCTCCTAGAGTTACTACCGGTCCCAAGCCCGATTAATGGAGGGATGGTTGGGCATGGGATCAACAACCCCATACTGTAGAAAAAAACTCTCGCTAATAAATGCCAAGCAGAACAAACAAGTAATTTTGAGTTTGTTGTATCGTAAAACTACCACATCAACAATTCGATGTCCATAACAAATTCTTAGTCAACTTTTTGACGCTTCTCTCTTTACATCATACTTTATGTGATGGATGGTTACGAGACATCTATGCCCATGCTGTCTGCCCATGTCTTCCACAGTTCTGTTTTAGTGTTATACAACAGGAAGAAAAGAGCTCGCAACCATCGTTTGTTTAATTTATTATTAGTTCTACAGGTACCACCAGGTAAACCTAATTTTTTGATAAAAACCAGTTGATCAACTGTTATTTATTATCATATGACGAATATCTTACTCTATTAGACTTGTAACATTCATCAATACTATTTTTCTTATTGAACAACGAAAACCTCATTTAATCATCAAAAAACTTATCCCGATGATGAAGTTTAGCTTTTACTACTTAACTGATTTAGTCGTTTTGGTTAGTTAATTTATTTTATATCGTTTTAATGAGTGATTATAGGTGAATACAAGTGAGCATGTTACACAGTATCTATAATTATACAAAACTACTAAGACGAAATGCTCATCCAGTGCTTCTAAGTTTTCAATGATAGTCTAGTTTAGCTTTCATCGACTCATGAATTCAACTATGAATATCATGTTTTAATTATATAAAGTTTAAAGGCATCATTAAAATTTATTTATTTATTTGAACACATAAATATTGGTACAAGAGGGGCACCAAATATATTTGCGCCACACAAAACAATGAGAATGGGAAGAGAAAAAAGAAGGTAGGAGCGTAAAAGATAAAAAGAACAATAACGACCACAGATTAGTGTAAAGTTGTGTAATAATAATAATGAGGGAAACGGAAAGGTGCAACCAGAAAAAATTCTTTCGGTTAAGGAAGTTACAACCAGTTTTTAGAGCACGATCGCCACTGGCTTCTATTCTCAGCCATATCTGATAACGTCTCTAGCCACTGTGTTGCACCATCTCTCAAACCTCAGCCAGGGAGTCGTGAAAGATCAACAAAAGCTAGCCTTTCGTAGCTTTCTTTCATACCATGACACCATGTCATAGACTGACCACCTTTCCGCTTTTTCCAACCAGTCTCAGAGTCGGCAAATAATGCACGACGTGGAATTCTCTGAGACGACATTCGTAGAACATGTCCAAGCCACCGAAGTCGGTTTTTCAAGATGGTAACACCAATTGAATTATCATCTCTGTGCCCGAACACACGATGCCGAGCCTCTGCATTACTGACATGGTGTTGCCACTGGATGTCAGCAATCCTTCGGAGACAACGATGATCGAACACAGAGAGTCGTCTAACATCCTCAACTCGAAGAGGGCAAATTTCATAAGCATAGAGCGAAACTGCTCTCACCGACGCGTTGTAGATCCGACCTTTTACAGTCAGACTGACATCACGAAGACATCAAAAATGGCGTAGATTGGGATAAGTCACTCTGGCTTTCATTATACATGCATTGATCTCATCACTCGCGCCACCATCAGCATTAAAATGTACTTGAGCTATCTTCAAAGATTGTTTGTTTGCTTTTTAATTGTTTAGTGTATTTGTGTTGTATATACATGCATGTATGTATGTATGTATGTATGTATGTATGTATGTATGTGTGTTTACGGGTTTGGTTTATATAAACATGTATTATTTACTAATTCATATCGATTTTTCTATGGTGTATTTATAAAAAGTTCTCAATCATTATTTTATTTTCCTGTGAAATTTCTACTATTCTATAATGATGAAGATCTATTTCTCTTATTTGAAATATGATGATAGTTTTGTTTAAAACGAGACTTTTTATTTATTCTATTTAATAATATCAATGTTTAGAAAATTACCAATTGAACCAATTACTTCAGTGACACAATTAGTACCTACAACTTGTAATAGTTGTTCAGAACAATCAATCAATAATGTTAATAACCATGATAAAACAGAATTTATTGAACAAATCTCATCATCAACAGTAACATCATTGGAAACAATGACCACTACTACAATTGGGACAGCAGTGGTCACAAGTGATTGTGTACGTCAAGAAGATAACCATCATATTGATAATGATGGTGAAGGCGGCAGTGGTGCTTATGATATCAGTCACAATACATTAAATGTAAATAATATTGTACAAGATGAAAATAATAACCACGAACAAGGACATTTAAAAGAGAATACTATTGCTACTACAATGAATACAGACAATGAGAATAAAAATAATCATATGAATGATAAATTCATGTACGAACAAGACGTTTTGACTGTAAAATCTAGTCAAATGCCTAATATGAATAATCAAGTAAATGTTTATTATTATTATTATTATTATTATTATTATTATTATTATTATTATTATTATTATTATTCAGTTTTCTTCTAACATGAAAATAAGCATTGGTTTCCAATATTTCTACATCGTGACTAATTGTTAGCAATTGTATGTATTTAATGGTTGAATTCATGAGTCATTTAAAGTTAGACCACCATAGAAAACCTCGAAGCACTGGGTGGCGGTTTTGTCCTAGTATAGTACCTCTCAGCAGTGCGCATTCATGATCCCGCCTCGCGAGATTTGAACACAGAACCTATCGGTCTCGAGCGTGAATGTTTAATCTTTAGACCAATGAACCGGCAATGCTGAGGAGTTCCATACTAGGACGAAATGACCATCCAGTACTTCCAGGTTTTCCATAGTGATCTAGCTTCCATTGACTCATGATTTCAACTATTAAATTAGTGTAATATCCACAAAACACCTCTCTGTTTATAATTGTATGTATGTTATATTGTTAGAATGTATCAGTTTTATTAACCCTCATTCATGTGAATGGTTAAGTTCTACAGTGAAACTTTTTAAATGCGTTAAATTATTGAATTATGATAGTTTTAAATTTATTTATTTTATTTAAACACAAACATAGGTACAAGAAGGTACATTGATCAAGATTTGTAGCAATGATCCAACTGTATTCCTTTTTTAAATCTTTGCTTAGATTTTAAATTTTGACTTATTTTATACGTGCTACCCCTGACGGGATCATCGAATAAGTAATAGTGAGGTTAGACGCAGGGTATTAGATAATGTTGATGAGGTTGTGAATTTTCACCTACTGAGACGGTTGGTCCACGTGTTACGCATGCCTGAACACCGACTACCACGACGTGTAATGCTAATCGGTGTTGGAGATAGTTGGAAGAAAGTTAGGGGCGGACAAACCAAAACGTGGCATCAGTGCTTTAAGTCACTAACTTCTGATCTGAGCGATGTCTGTAGATCTAGACTGTTATGACTTTATGACCCGCTAGTTATCACGTAATCTATTCGCCAATGAAAATACGACTTATTCGCTCTTATATTGTACTAGACCGGTCTGATCAGCCTAGAGTCCTATAGTTTCCTTGCTCGCCTAGCCCGTCCAGCTGAGTCCAGAATATCAACAATAGCCTCCACTATGCGAATCATTTATTTCAGACATACTGGGTTTATATACCAAACAAACAGCAGCATAAACGCAGCATAAAATAGGAAATAACATTCATACACAATAAAGCCAAAAAGTGGCTGTGAACGTGGGAGGCACTGGTCAATAAATTGAGTATAACTTATGAACAGTAAATCGTACAATAATAATCTATGGGTCAAAATATAGCTTATAACAAGGGGAATATAGATATACATAATCTAGTTACTGAATATTTATACCATGAGAATACATAAATAATATTAGTCCATTAATAGTTGACAGATGTTACTCGTAATGTAATCTTCACTAGGACATAACATAGACTACTTGGTTGGGGTCCGCGTGACTATCGTAGCCAATGGTTGGAGACTGTGTATGACATGACTCAGAATTGATCACAATGCAGTCGGTGTATACACTCATTGTCTTCCCTTAAACTGGGAGATTAAAATTGCTTCACATATTCCTTTCTACGAACCAATTCTTTCTCCTTGTATTATATCCTTATTGTAATCTTTCTTTTATATATTACCACCATTGAATTAACTACTTCTATAAACCCGGTGTTCGTCTTGCTGTACTAATGCGGTATGGCAACTTGGACCGATGCATAAATGTGCCTGGTCCTACGTTGTAGCTGACTGACTGTTACCCCAGCTAATTGCTTTTTCCTTTCGAACCTTATTGTCGATATATTGTGTGCTTCTCACAATTATCAACTTATTTAACTATGGAATGTGTAGTATTACAATTTTAGTATCAAAACACATTTGTGTTAGATCTTACTTTGATTATGAATTGACTAGTTATATTCCTACTATTTATTAATTTGGATTATCTTTTCTGGTAAGCGTTTTTTTAGCAAGTTAGTTTTCTACGGGATGGGGACGCTAACCCCATGCCCAACCCTCCTCCTTTACTCGGGCTTGGGACCGGCAGTAACCCTATAAGAGCTCTAACCTCAAGGCTAAATTTCACAAATCAGTAGTATACATATGTGTATTTATTTTCTCATTTCAATTTTTTTAGATCGTTGAACAAGAAACCAAATCTGTGGATATTTTACATTCACCATCAGATCAAACTCCTACAGAAATTAATAACAAAACTATTCCTAATGAATACACTCAGAATATATTGATCTCCAATAATACTAATGATAATAATATTGATAATAATAACAATAATAATAATACTAATAGTAATGTATTATATCCTTGTGAAACAATTTCGACTGTTGATAACTCAATTTATTCTATGAGTTATTCACCCTCACTTCCACCACCATCGGATTTAGCACCAAAATTGTCAGAATTCATTAAAACTTCTACAGTCGATATAAATGATTCGAAGTCACGTCAAATTATGTATTATAAAGCACGTAAACAAGAATTGATCGCAATACAAACGGACTTACGTGCGAGAATTCGTTCGGAAAATGCAGAAATTAGTCGACTACAGGTAAATTAATTCGGTTGTTGGTTGCTTTATGTTACTGCTGGTTTCCATGAGAAACCGATATTATTATATATCTGGATAGCTCCCAAATGCCCTGGTACGACCGAGATTGGGAAGAGTCAGCTCTCCCTCTCGAAATACTCTCATATCACCAAGTGCGTACAACCACTACCAGGGAAGTGCTGCTCACTTCCTTCTCGTGATCGGTGTGTTGTTTACGAAAGTGAGAGGACGCAAAGGGAATATCCGGCGCTTCAACCGGGTGGCTTGATGGACACGAAGCGTCCACGTAAGGGAGTTGGAAAACCCTAATTCAAATCCAATGGTTAATGTGGATTCCAGGATCCTAAGACAACAAAAAGTGTATGAACCGATTGTTAGTCTACGGTTACCATGTTACTGCATCTCCTGACGTTGTTTCACTGCCTTATGTGTCAGACCTTTAGGTTAAAGGCTCGGGGTGTGGTATACTAAGGAATCCACCTGTTTCAGTTTGGGAACCTGGGCAGTATCCTAGCCCTCACACAAATCGAATGATTTATGCGTCACATATCTACTTGGTGCCTCCTTGTACCAATGTTTATATGTTTAAATAAATAAATAAGTGATAAATCGTTATTGTGACAAATTATTTACCCATTCACATCGTGTATTTATCTATTTGTTTAATTGAAAGTGTTTTTAAATTATGTGTTACAGTATAATTTATATAAAGAAAGATATTGAAACAATAGTGTATATATTAAATGACAGGTTACCGTATTGACAATAATAATGACGATATTGATGATTTTCGATTGGATTTTTAAGTTTTGATCTTAAATAACTTGAAATTTGACATAAATATACTTCAATTCTAGTTGATACACAATACAGAAACAGTAAAATTAATAAAAGTGGGTAGCAGATAAGCCAAAGTATGAGTAATAGTATCAGTGATATTGATAAAGATTTAATATAAATGAATATAGCTCAAAAAGGGATGGATTAATATTAAATCTTAATATTTATAGAAGAAGATAGGGAATAAGTACAATCGATTTTCAACCTTAAAGTCCACGTTCATTGGTAATAACTTACTTGGTTGTTGTTTACACGGTAACCGCGGCCAGGTGTTGGGAATGTTGACGTAAATATATTTATTTTCTTTCTTCTTCTAGATCTTGAGTTCCAGTACTTCGTATTTTTTTCTTCTGTCTTTTCTAATTATACTCTCAGTCTTTGTATTTCTCACTATCATTAATACAGCAATTATTTCGACTCCTTTACCATTGATCTTGTTAATTTCATCTCGTTGTCCTTACCGGGACTGATGTACATTTAAGCCAGACTCTAGGTTGATTAGGACAGAATGAATTAGCCTACCTACTACTATGTCAGTCAGCTACAACGTAGGACCAGGCACATATATGCATCGGTCCAAGTTGCCATACCTCATTAACACAACAAGATGGACACCGGATTCATAAAAGTAGTTAATTCAGAGGTGGTAATATATAAAAGAAAGATTGCAATAACGATATAGTACAGCAAGAAAGATTTGGTTCGTAGAAAGAAAGATATGAAGCGATTGTAATCTCTTAGTTTAAGGGAAGACCGAGTGTGTATGCACCGACACCATTGTGATCGATTCTGAGCCATGTCACCCAGAGTTTCCAACCATTGATTATGATAGTCACGTGGACCCCAACCAAGTAATCTGCATCTACCAACATGGCTCGGACTGGAAGTTAGTGACTTCAAGCACTGATGCTAGGTTTTGGTTTGGCCGCCCCTAACTTTCTTCCAACCATCTCCAATACCGGTTATCATTGCACGTCGTGGTAATCGGTGTTCAGGCATACGTAACACGTGGCCCAACCATCTCAGTCGATGAAGATTCACAACCTCATCAACTGACTTACCATCATTCTCTAATACCCTGCGTCTGACCTCACTAATACTTACCCGGTGATTCCAGCAGATGCTAGCAATATTTCTAAGACATCTCTGATCAAGTACTAATAGCTTACGAGTATCTTCTACTCTTAATGACTATGTTTCGCTGCCGTAAAGTAGAACGGAACAGACTGCCACGCAGTATACTCGTCCATTTATTGATAGATGGATATCTCGCCTTCGCCATAGGTGACATAAGTTGGCGAAAGCCAAACGAGCTTTTCGAATCCGTGCTGAGATTTCGTCGGACACCAACCCATTATGGCTGATCAGACTTCCAAGATAAGTGAAGTTGTCAACGCGTTCGACTACTTCACTCCCTATCCTTAGTTCAGGTGTTGACGCAGAACAGTCCTGAAGCAACAACATGCATTTAGAGGGGGATCTACTTCAATGTTCCATTCACACTGTCTGGGAATGGAGGGTAGTTGTAGAGTAGCTGAAGGCCAGCTGAATTGTTCTCTGAAATGTTCCGCCCTTCGTTCTAAACGCCTGGACTGAGGGTGTCGTCTTTTTCCGAAATAGTTTGACTTACACGACTTACTAATTCCAGTTTCTTTTATTATTCTGTAGAGCTGTCTTGTGTTCCCTAAGGCCGCCGCCTTTTCCATCTCTTTTGCTTTCGTTGCCCACTACTGCTCACGGTCGTTTCTTAGACTTTTACTTAACCCAGATCTGATTCCTTTATGCTCTTCATCGTGTTCATGACCTGAAGGGATGATTTTACGAGAATCCATCAGTACAATAGACCTTGACGAAATCCATTTGGTTCTTTGTAACCCTGTGGTTTGAATCGTTGATAGATGTCACTGCTGTTTGTACAGCTTTCCAAGCAACATCTGGGACAACCTCGTTTTCAGAACTACCTAATTGTGACCTCAGTTGTTCCTGGAACCTACGTTTGGTTTTCTCGTTACTCAGTTCAGTTCTAATGGGTCTTCTTACTGAGGCTTTTTTGCGTCCAGTGAGGCGCAAGCAAATGCGTGCCCGTATTAGGGCGTGGTCGGAGTCCAAGCAGGTACTCCAGAATGAGCGACAATCTTCTACCGACTCTCCAACGATGACTGATGGCAATATGGTCTATTTGAGTCCATCGTTGGTTTGGTGTAAGGGGTTGCCATGTTAGACGATGTCTCTCCTTATGCTTAAAATTTGTGTTTGCTAAAAATAAACGATTGTCTGAGCATAGTTGCAGCAGACGATCACCATTATCTGTTCGCTGTGCCGAAATACTGAAATACCCACCTAAATGTCGTTCTGTTTAGTATAAGCTACCTATCTGGGCATTAAAGTCACCTGCTACGAGTATTATATCTGAGTCTTTAGCTTTTTGAAGAAGTTCAGATAGCTCTCTGTAAAATTCATCTTTCACTTCATCTGAGCTGCAGTCAGTGGGATCGTAGGCAGAAACGACAAAAAGGCAACGACGTGTTTCCCTATCCTTCCGAGTTCTTACGGAGCCGTTTAGCCGGACAGCACATAAACGACTGTTAACGGGAATCCATTCTAGTAGTGCCTGTTCCGCCCTCATACTTAGTATTATGCCTTCACCTGCCAGTCCACGAGAACTGGCCATCGTGTCGCCCAGATACACGGAGGATGTATCTCGTTGGCTCTCCGTGTTGCCGAGGTGATGTCAAGTGAATGACCACACTAGGATCCTGTATGCATGTTTCAGAGACACAGTATGCATCAATGGTACGAGATTCTAGGGTTCTAGCCAAGGAAGCCTGTTGACCGACTTGACATAGTGTGCGTACGTTGAAGGCTCCAATATGTAGTTTGGAGCGAGGTTTCAATAGGCCTGGGACAGTGTTTTGCGCACTAGATTCGTTGGCTATGGTGACACTTGAGGGGGAAGACGAAAGAGGAAGTTTAGCGTTGAAAGTCGATGGAAGAGGAGTAATGGGAATTGAAGAGGGAGGTTGATTATGAATACAGTGGTCTTGAGTGCTGTTAGAGGTATGATGGCGGTTATCACTTCCCGGTTGCCCACACCGTGGAAGGGTACTTCTGGAGGTACCTGAAAAGGAAATCGGAATAGAAGTGGTCTTAGTGACCTGGTAGCGTGACCGCAGTGCCCAAGGAACAACTGCTTGAGGTCGGTCACACACGACCTTTTTATGGGCAATTTTTGTGTTAACTCCGTAATTGTTGAGACCTTACCGCCGGAGACGGATATCCGTGGGATAAGGCGAGTTGTGCATTTTTAGGGTTGACCTATTCTAACCCCACCCTTCTTTATGGGAAGACAGCATCGCTTTCATGCTGGTTGTCTGAAGGAAACACCTTACTGTTGTCACACCTCTGTACAGTGAGCAGTATGACTTCGCCTTCGAATCTTGAGTTTGTTGCTTTTAGTCTTACCGCTCTTCAACCGACCTGTCTGACACGGTAGGATTTTGAGGAACAGTTGTTCCAGCCAGTATAGCTCGGTTGCTTCACCACGATAGGCAAGCCCGACCACCACGTCAAGGTAGCAGCAACGGTCAGGCTACTACTATGTATACTACGTTTTACAGATGTTTCAGTGAAATATTAATCTTTAAATTCGGTTGTATTCCTTTTTTCACTATCCGATGATAGGAATATTTTTCCATGCTACTTATCATCACAAGGATTTTTTTAAAGTCGTGTTTGTCACAAATCTTTATTTGTTTGAATGGCATCAAAATAACAGAGAGCACTAGACAATAATCTTGTCGTAACATGTGACTTCCCAGAAGTATATGCTGACAGTCCGTCTTCAGATCTGCCTTCTTTATGGATTATCAAATTTTTAGGTTAGTGGTACTATTAAACCAGGTTGTAGCGAATAATTCATATGAATTTAATCTGTAATCATGATACTCTATCAACTGATATGGGAGATTATCTGAAGAGCTTATGAATTTATGGTTAAGAAAGGGTCTAGATTTAGTGATGACACGGTAGTAATCAAATACAATTATTCTATACACTGACTTATTTCTCTTCTTTATTTATTTATATCCGTGTCTGGCGGTTGGAAGCAACCTGTTCAAATCACTGAGCCTAGGTTTCGTGGTAGCCGGTACTCGTTAGCAAGCAATATCCACAATCATGAAGGAATTAATGTTCCCCGTAATGTTTGAACTAACATCAGTCAGATGGCTGAATGAAAACATTAGCTGTTTAAAATGATATAATAGCATTCTCTATTTTTTATAAATAATTTAGATAGAGCTGTAAATGTTTGACTGTATTTTTACATTAGGCACTGAATAGTGTAAATGACTTTTATTTCAGAGATGGAAATTGATCAGTACAGTTAACCAGAAGCGATATGCTTTTTGTTGAATACTCTGTTTATTCTTCATTATTATCCCTTTTTTCTTTGTAAAACTAATCATTTGTTCTAAGATCTATTTTTCTCTTTTTTTTCTTTCAATATAGTCATGTATAAATCACCTTCTAGAATCTGGAGGTAGACGAGCTAAACGAATATATCGTACCTATATGACAGCAAAACATTTTTGTCCAGCTTGGTTGTTAAATCAAAATCCTATTATTTCAACACCACGTCATACTTTAAGTAATGAGGATCAAATGGATCATTATGTATCACAACCGTGGACTAAAATAGCTGAAAGTTTAACAACTGTAATCAATGATAATGTTTTAGATGATGATGACGATCGTACTACTGCTACTACTCAATGTAGTAGCATTAATAATCAAAAGGAAAAGTGTTTACTCGATGAATATTCAAGTGATTCCGATCGTCACAACCGTCATCTTCATTCTGCTAATGACGATGGTGATTCGTTGGAAGAACCAATTTTGACGAATAGAGGTTCTTCACCTGATTCAGTCGCTTATTCACGACTAACTGAAGAAGAAAACGATATAAATTCTGTACAAAATGTACAACTTACAAAACATGACCAAAACAATGATGATGACGATGATGATGATGAAGAAGAAGAGTATGATGATGATGAAGATGAATGTGAACTAGAGTTAGCTACAACATTACATCAACTTACATTGGATAATGCTCGTTTAGAACAACTCAATGCTCGTTCGTTAGAAGCTATACAAGCTGAACGAAATCGCTGCGCCGATTTAAAAGTATGGTTTTATGGTATAAATATATTTAGAAGCCTAATATATTGAACGAAGAATATTCTTTTCGATAAATTCTCTTCGGGTTCTACAATTATCTCATATCCAAATTATTAATCCGAAAAAAAATGGCCAGGTTAAGGGCAAAGTACATCGTTTAGAGTTAAAGCATGTGAATTTAGGATTGTGATAAACAAAATACAATAAAATTGTTAATGTTGATATGACTCATGTAGAATGTTAACTTGAATCTGCATATATGTTAAGTGAGATTTAAGATCCATGATCAGAATAAATATGGGTCAAATAGGATGAGAGAGAAATAATAGTGCAATTACAATTCGATCAAATAAGTAAGATATAATACGGAGGGATGAATGCGAAGTGAATGAATCATGTATAGGGGCGATTAATGATATTTAACCAATAGTATGAATAATAATAATAACACAAAGATTTATGAATAAAGAAAACAGGGACAATTACAATTGACTACGAAAGGTCATAGTCAAATTAGTTCATCCAATAGTTAAGATTGATTAATTGGCCTTGATGTCGGCCAGGGGAGGAGGAGTGGTTGAATATATTTCTTCTGTACGCAAAGCTCCGATTTCATCATCCGGATGGCTATTGCTTCAGCCGTTTGAAGGACTGAAAGTCCTTAAAATGCTCTAAACGATGTACTTTGCCCTTAACCTGGCCATTTTTTCGGATTTATTATTATTATTTTATTTCAACACATAGATAATGGTACAAAGAGGCACCAAATACATATGCGCCACACAAATCTCATTCGATATGTGTGAGGGCTGTGATACTGCCCGGGTGCCCAAACCGAAGCAGGTGGTTTTCTTAGGGGGCCACACCCCGAGCCTTCGACCTGAAGGTCTGATCCACAAGGCAGTGGAGCATCGTGAGGAGATGCAGTCCCATGGAAGCCGGTGACCAACAATTGGTTCATTCGCCATTTGTTCCCGCAGGATACTGGAGCCCATGTGCACCATTGGTTTGAAATCCGGTTAAAGCGCCGGACATTCGCTTTTCGTCCTCTCATTTTCGTAAACAACACCCCCGCCACGAGAAGGCAGTGAGTAGGACTTCCCTGGCAGAGGCTATATACGCGTGGCCGTGTGACAGTATTTCGAGAGGGAGAGCGGACTCTCCCCACTCTCGGCCGTACCAGGGCATTTGGGGGCATTTTTTCGGATTATTAATTTGGATCTATTTAGCCTTAAATTAATAATATAAATCAGTTCTTTTCATCCATTACACGTAAAATTTAAGCATTTTTATAAGATGCCATTATCACTAGTGTATATTTTTGTGGTTTACAATAATTCCAGTTGTTTCATTAAGGTTAAATAATCGAACACTTGCACAAGCACGACCGCGGCTGTTGCTTTGACTTGATGATTGGCCTTTTACATCGAATTATACAAGCTGGAACATTTATTTTTTTCCAGATAGATTAAAGCATTATGTTTCAGGTTTAAGCCTACCCGTATCTACTTCATTGTAAGCAAACGAATGTTATCAATATCTTCACTTATGAAGTATATCTGAAAGCCACGTACATGGAACTGTTTTTGGATATCAATTTTTATTAAATAACTCATTTAAAATTATGTTAAAGTGAATAAGTCGGTAAATCTGCTTCTTCAATGGTTGTTACTCATTTCCAAGCCGATTCTTGTATTCCGACAACTTGAATAATAGAGGCTAAAAAAACTGTTCTAACTCAAGATTAACTTATGAACGGAAAATTGAGTGTATTTGTAAAATTTAATATGACTTTTGTAGTCTACAAACTTCTGGGTTCATTCTAAATATAGTAACTCCAACCAAAACGTGACATAACTCCACATTCTTCTGGTTATTTATAAGAAGTTTCCCTTCAATGCTTATTGAGTAAAAAATTTTCTGGATCTTCAGATTTTGTCGAGGGAGTTTGATGCAACACATATTTTAGGTGTGTGAGAGAATTAGTGTCTCTACCTGAACTGGTGTATCTGGTGTGTGGTTCTGACGTACCTGTCAGCTGTGAAATCTGAGTGATCTCGGCGAGAACATAATTTATGGATGAACCAGTCAAATTTAAGTTAGCATATGTTGGATTCTGTCGCGAAATTCATTTTGGCATTATAGCTGATGTCAGTTCGTGATCAGAACCCTAGCCCGAATTCCTAATTTCAACATCCAACCTTTGATTCTAATTCCAATTCCTCACACCAATTTATAACCCTAGTAAGTACTCGGTGGACACTTAAGAGTCCTTCAAAGATCATCCATAAACTGTGAATTCATCGTGATCTTATCACTGAACCATCACCACATTAATAATTTTCACTGATTGTTTATTAAACAGGAAGGAATAGTGAACAGCTTCTTCAATTTGAATGATTTTGCACTTTTGTAGTTCCTTCTGAAGTCCTTTTTATAAAATAGTCTTGAAATCGCAGTATTTTTGCGTCCTGATATTATATTGATTAATGGTGAGTTCCATCCAACTTTCTGCAAATGTTCACATCTTAAGAAGGTCATAGATTATTTTATTTTCATAGATATACATGTATAACCGGGGGTGTAGTATTATTTATCTAAATTTTTATTTCATACCTTTTCACTATCATCTGCCTTATTTATATTTACATACTACGTTTATTTACACACAGGTTTTACTCAAACTTCGTCATAATTCCTACACTAAACCAATAGGCACTATTTAATCGTCAACAATCGGTAATAACGATGGTGATGATGATGATAATAATAATAATGAGAAATTCGAACATTCTGATTCACTGTATCCACAATATTGCGATTCGAACCAACGATCACCATCACCGGTCACTGTATAAGTCATTCTGTATCGTTGTTGTTATTCTAATGTTACTATGAAGGTATCTGTATTCCATTTATTCACATCCTTCTCATTTTGATTTTCTTTTTCTTCTTCTTTTTTTTGTTTAATCATGCATTTAATTTCAATTTATTTGAAAATAGCTCATTGTTTATGCTTATTATGAATAGAATCTGTGATTTACAAAACATAAAAAAGGAGCATAACTTTAATTCTATTCTTAATGTTAGCCAATTGTGGCATTTACTGTATGAAATTTTGATTATTGTGTATATTTTAAACAAACGAAATGTAATAGAAACGAGATCATTATTGTTATTATTATTAGATCAATCATAAGTAAATACAGTGCAAAAGTCATCACTGTATAATATCAGCACTTACTTACTTACTTACGCCTGTTACTCCTAATGGAGCATAGGCCGCCGACCAGCATTCTCCAACCCACTCTGTCCTGAGCCTCCTTTTCTAATTCCATCCAATTCTTGTTCATCTTTTTCATGTCTATTTCCATTTCTCGGCGTAATGTCTTCTTTGGTCTTCCTCTTTTCCTTTGGCCTTGAGGATTCCATGTGAGGGCTTGTTTTGTGACGCAGTTGTGTGCTTTCCTCAATGTGTGTCCTATCCACTTCCAGCGCTTCTTCCGCCGCTGGAATCTGGTTTGTTCTCTCCCACAGTACGTTGTTGCTAATAGTGTCCGGCCAACGGATCTGAAGTATTTTGCGTAGACAACTGTTAATAAACACCTGTATTTTCTGGATGATGGCTTTCGTAGTTCTCCAGGTTTCCGTCCCATTCAGTAGAACTGTCTTGACATTTGTATTGAAAATCCTGACCTTGGTGTTGGTTGACAGTTGCTTTGAGTTTCAGATGTTCCTGAGTTGTAAATATGCTGCTCTTGCTTTGCCGATAATATCAGCACACAGAGACGAAATTATCAAGATAAATGCTGGAAAAGTAGTATTAGTAGTAGTTGCTGTTTTTATAACTTGTGAACCTGTGTGCTCTGTTTATTGTATAACACAACGATACCGCCAATCAGAGAGCAGCGAATTACCGATCGAACCAGTGACGCATAAAACACGTGCGAGCAGCCCAGAGTCCTGATTGGTCTCACCCCCTGTCTAGCCCAGCCAGTTAAGCCCAGAACACCAATCTCAGCCTCTGCAATATGAATCATTTACTTCAAACATACGGGGTTTATATTACCGATCAAACAGACCACAACGTGCCATAAGATAGAAAATAACATTTATACAATATTTGACCAAAAGTGACTGTGAATGAAGGAGGTAGTGATTAACAGACAGGAAATAATTCAAGAACGGTAAATCGTAGAATGATAGTTCATAGGTCAAAGTAAAACTCATAATAAGAGGGACATGAATATGATCAGTTTAGTTACATAACAATTATACGATAAAAATATACTCATAGTATTGGTCCATAAATGGATCCCAAAAATTACTATTCATTATTCTTATCGGGACATAACAGTAGTGTAGTGAACAGAACACGGGTGGGGACAATCGAATTTATTTAACACAAAATTACAGGACCTGTTAATAAAATCTAACAATTATAAAGTAAATGCTTAATTCGCAAAATGTCCATCAATTGTCTCATAATGACTCAGACTTCATTGTTCTTGCATTTCCATACAAATTACATCCTGCTTCTATACTTTACTGTTTGATCCTCCTATCTCTCTGCTGCCAGACCTTCTGTTCACGACTAGCATCATATACTACTTATGTTAATATAAGTAGCACACACCACAGTAATAGTAGTGGCAGTATCACAGGGCATAAGATTCGAATCGCTTGAAAATAGCTATAAGAATATATTTAGTTGGTATTAATATTGTATAATATCCTACATATAATGCACATACGAGGTTTTTCGTATTGTATCGTCACTTCCTCTTAATTTAACTAACTTACTCTTTTCTATCCCACTGGCTGAACGAATCAGAACTCAAGAAGCACTGGATATCGATATTTCGTCCTAATTTTTGGAACTCCTTAGGAATTTGGTTATCGGGATTAAAATCTTTAGATAACAAATCGCTTGTTAACCAATGGATTTGAGTCAGCTAGTTGATTCTTCTAACTTTATTCCATCCGTAATATAGTACGATAAGCATCTAATGACATCCGTGAATAGAAGCTCCCTCAATTTCGACATAATTTTAACTGAGTACTATAAATGATAAGAAAAATGAATATTTTATTATGCCTATAATGATTAATTAGTGAATATTTATAGTATATGGCTCAGGTCACACTTTTTGAGCACGTACCTGATGCACAGTAGGAAAATGAATTATCGAATCCATGCCGTTGTTCCCTAGGCTAAGCATAGAACAGTTTACTAGAACTGGGACTACGAGAGGTCACTCGGTGATTCCATATTTTTGGACAACATATGATATCTTGGAATAGAGAAATGAATCACTAAACACATGTGCTTTAGTAATAATTACATAACGTATAATGTCAATATACTCATGTTAGTTATAACCAATATGGAGCCTAACACAAACACGCATTAGCTCAGGTTATTATATTACATCGGTACAGTGATTAAATACACAAAGCAAAGCAATAGTATTAGTGATCGTGAAAAAGAAAAAATGAATGAACTGTTAGGAATTTAGCTTTGGTGTATCCGCGTTCACTTATAGACTGGGATGATCAGGAGTCGGAATCAGTCATATAGTATTATGTTCAGTTCTCATTCCAGCTAGCATGTTTGAGCTATTATCTATGTGTTGGCGGTTCTTACTCTTTAACATATGAAATATGATGAAAAAAGAAAGTCCGCTTTTTTTATGAAATCAATGGCAGTGACCAAAAAACCTATAATTGCGCGTCGAAATAATTTTATTTCATACAATAGTTACAAACAAATGAAAAGAATAGTGGAAAACGAAGTGGATTCATCTTAATCGGTAAATATTGTCCAAACTCCAATGTTGTGTATGCGAGTGCCTCTGTTTTGATTGAGAATAACGATTGACTGGTGTTTAGATTCGGTTGAGTTCTTTAAAAATTCCGGCCAGGTATTGGTCCCTAGATTTTTTCCATCTGATCGGGATTATAAATACTAGAATATTAGAACTAAGTCAACTTGTATGCGCGTGTCGTATATTTGTCTTTTCATAAATCAGACTAATTAAGTTCAAAAGTATTCCATCTAATTGTTATTTTGGAATGATGAAGATAATTCAGAGGAGGAAATTTACTTTTTGGTGATATCATTTTCAAGTTTCCTGTCCATCAGTCGATTGGCTTACTTACTTTGAATGGGCCGTTGGACTACCCATAATTTGATTGTACAATCTTTAAAGGACTGATATTACTGTGACATCTGAATCTACGTTACCGTCAAGATATTTGATTTACATTACAATCTATTCGATTGAATTTAAATAGCACTAAGGACTAGATAACATGATATTGGTTGTGTTCAGTGATCATTTATTTCAGAATGAATGTTCATAGTGTATCGCATATGTATTAAGTGACCCTTTTTACCAACAACCCGGTTAAAGCGCCATACACTTTTCATCCTCTTGATTTCGTAAACAACAGTAATGCCTCAAGAAGGCAGTGAGTAGAATTTCCCTCACAGTGGCTGTATACGTATGGGCATGTGAGAGCGTTTCGAGAGGAAAAGCTAACTCTCCCCCATCATCGACCATTTGGGGGAGGGGGTAACTAACATACTAGGACATTTCTAAGGATATTTAATTGATTCTGTTTAATATAAATGACCTTAATGTACAAAGAAAAGAGAGAGGGAAAGAAAAAAAAAGAAGAAAGTTATGAAAAATGTTTCAACTTTAAAGAAGAAAAATATATTTGTAAAATGTCAATGAAAGAATTGAAAGTCAATTGAATGTTTCACATGACAATCTAGTTCAAATTTGTTTTCTTTAAAATATAACTAGAAATAGATACAATACAAAATGTTGTATAATAAAGTATTCTTTCTCTCTCTCTCTCTCTTTTTTTTGTATAAAAGTTTTATTCATAGGAAACGATGTTCATTTATAGAGTTCAATCGATATTTCACATATAGATAGATACATAAATATTGATTTATTGATTTATTTATTAATGATAACATTATCAAATATTCTATCAACATATTCAAGTGAAGTTTTAATTTTATCATACATTTCATCTAATGTTTGACGTACATCATGATGAATAGGAACAAATATTTTAGGAGAATATATATCTTGTGTATTTATCACTGGAATATGATGTATAGTTTCAAGAGATTGACGTAAATGATCAATTTCATGTACTTCACAATGAAACTGTAATAAATTGAAGAAGAAGAAGAAGAAAATATACATAGATACATATATGAAAAATATAATAAATTTTAATATAAGTAGTAAACAAATGATGACAATGTTAGGATGTTCAGAAAAATATACCAATAATTATCATGTTAAGTCTAATAGTGTCCTTGGACTTTAAATGTACACTCCCTATTGATCGATATTTATTTCACTGGTTAAATATTGTGTAAATGTTGTTTTCTATTTTTATGGTACGATGTGGTTTGTTTGGTTGGTATATAAATAGAGTATGTCTGAAATATAATGATTCATATCTCAGAGGCTGTGACTTGCGTTCTGGACTCAACTGGCTGGGATAGACAGGGAAGCAGGGCCGATCGAGACTCTAGGTCGTTCCTTACGTGTTTACGTGTCACTGAATTGATCGATAAATACGCTGCGCATCTAATCTGCAGTCGACACGTTACAACAGACAAGACTATAATTTATGAATGAACTAATCAGATTTAGGATAACAGGGTTTTAGATTTTAGCGAGAAATTCACTTAACTATTCGTTGAAATAGCATCTTGACATTATAGCTGATGTCAATTCATGATGAAAGCCTAACCTTAATCATCAACTGTAAATTGTTATCTTTATTCTTTAAACTGCTTTATAACCTTCTTTTGGTCGTATTAAGTAGATAGGCATTCTCAAGATCACTTTGGCGTCGCTCAAAGGTCATCCATAAATTATAGTCTCACCCAAATGACAAATATGATCATTTTCTCTATCTCATTAAGAATCCAGCGAGGATACCGAAAATCACAACTTCATATTAAAAGAGAATGGATGAGGTAAATCAATCCAATATTGAATAGTAGATATTTCTATTATCTATAACGGTGATATATATATTACTACTAATTATTCGTAGCTGTTTTGATCGGATGTAAATGGTATTGTTTAACAGTTAAAGTACAATTTCATTTGTAATCGATCCTTTATTTATTTAAATACATAAATATTGGTACAAAGGGGCACTGAATACATATGCGCCACACAGGTCACATGATTTATGTATGGGCTGTGATACTAATCGGGTGCGCAGACCAAAGCAGGTGGTTTTCTTAGGGAGCCACGCCCGGAGCCTTCGAATTAAAGGTCTTATCCACAAGGCAGTGGAGCAACATAAGAAGATAAAGTCCCATGGTAGCCGGTGACTAACAATAAATCCATACATCATTTGTCCCTTGACTACACTGGAGCCGATATGCACCATTGGTTTGGAATCAGGGTTTTCCAACTCCACTAGGTGGATCCTTTCCTATCCACCAACCTGATTGAAGTGAAGGATAATCATTTTTCGTTCTCTGAATTTCATAAACTCATAAATATAACTAAACTGTATTTTGTCAATTACAATTACATACAATCTAAATAAACGTACATACATTACTTTTGAAGTAGATTATAAACATCTTAATGTACTATGGTGTGTGTGTGTGCGTGCATGAAGTTAACAAAGATTAAGGATGTTATACCATCAATATTGTTAGTTTGAGTGTTTTGTAAATTATTTATCAAATAAAAGTTTTATTCAATTAGCTTTAAGTTACATCTTTCTCTGAAATAGTTAATGATAATATTCAATTTGTAGAAAATGTATTATGGGGAATGAAATTGTAGCATAACTTCAAAAAACGACATAGTAATTCAATGTGATTTACAGTAACAAACATCTTGTTGCCGAAGAAAACAATAAAACAAAACGGTAAATCACACTTCATAGAACTAAATAATCACCTAAAATGAATCAAGTTTGGTATGTTTAGTGAAAAAGAACATCACAAAAAGGTATTTAACTTTCTAAACGAAATCATGCAAAACTAAAAACGGTTAGATCGCTTACATGATAATTCTGATCTTCACTAGAACTTAATTCAACTTCTTTCGCTCCGATTTCAATGCCCAAATTAGTTGCCGCATCTAAATCTGATAATTGCTTACTAGATTTAGCAGAGACAGTGACTAAACCAATATGATCGAAGAACTTGTCAGCTATATCGCCAGCAGGAACAAGAGAGAAACTTAAAAGAAATTATGGTGAATGAATAAATTACCCATATTTTTTTACGATAGAACAGACACGTTGACGCTCATTGGCAACGTGTTTAGCTCGACTTTCTACAATCACAAATAATCCACCGGGAGCCTTTATTTCGATTATATACGGTTCAATTTGATTATCTGTACTTAATAGTTTTTCGAAGGTAGAAAAAGGGACAGATTTTGTTTTAGCCTCAGCTAAAACTGCAGCTAATTTTAAGTTTTTCTTTGGATCACGGACTCCTCCACCTTCTACAATTATTATTGAATAAAACTGATCTTTAAATTACCTCTAATTGCTTTCTGTGCAGCCTTAACGTAATATAGTGCAGTTTGAGATTTTTCACGATCACCAGCTTCTTTGATATGTTTCACATTTTGCCAGTGAGCATGACCAGCAAACCGTTTTATTTGTGTCGAGAAAACATTAATCTTATTTACAAATAAATGAACTGGAATTTGAAGGGTACGATCAACAATGTATGTGGGAGATAATAATCGATGCGCAAATAGTACAAACTTAAGTCTACTCATTTTATTTTAAGTAGAATATTGGTGATTTAATATTTTTCAATAAAGATAAAAGAGAAGTTGAAAAGAGGAACTTGGATAGTACAATGATAGTTGGTCTGAAATGAAAGTAGAAAAGTGAAAGTTGCAGTAAATTATGAATGATCTAAAATGTGTTATATAAAACAAATTTAAACTTAATTTTTCAGTGAAATAATAGCACTTGTACACTATGATTTAAGGGATTTATTCTGATTAGCTAAGTTCCTTTCTACGGAATGCTAACCTCATTTATCCAAGCTTTGGATCGGAAATAATCTTCAAAAGAGATGCAGACGGAGTAATATTCAATAGACAAAACACATAATTAGTATTGTTTATAAAGTCATAAGTATTTTGTAATGATCTATCTAGAATAAACAGTAAACTATGATAGAAATACTGTCGATCTTTATTAGGTAGACAAAATGAGATACAAAGTTTGTATACTAATAACACTAAAGTATCTTTCAATACAAACGTCAAGACAGTCTCTACTGCACAGATATGATACTACCACAAACACCATCAAAATGATACAGTTATTTATAAGCTTCATAATTCATAAAGGGAACTAATTGCATATAAAGTTTTTAAGCAAGATAATCCAGATCTGTTGGCCAAACACTGTCTGCAACAACTATGGTAGAAGAAAAATTAGCTTCAAGTTAAAGATGCTGGAGGTGAATAGGACACACATTGCAAAAATTTCAGAAATGAATCACAAATCAAACCCTGACTTGAAATCCTCATGGCAAAAGGAAGAGAAACAGACCAAAGAATACATTGCACCGGGAATCGGAGGTAGACATTTATTTATTTGAACACATAAATATTGGTAGACATCAAAAGAATGAATAAGACTTGGCAACAACTGTACTGGAGACTTAGGTACGAAATAGGCTAGAGATTGTTGGTCGGTGGTCAGTGCTCTACGAGATGCCTTTAATGCACCACTTACGATGTTCGGTAATACAACAGCCAGCACACATTACTTTGAATCTTTTAAAAGTTCAGTCAATAATTACAGTCTTCTCAATTGATTTTCCTTCTTAGGACTAAGAAAATATCATCGTTAGTGCATGATACATGGGAGCCCGTTAAAATGCAGATTTTAGGGTTACGAGAAAATCCGTTTTATCATTCTTCCTGAACTAATTACTTGTTCTAGCATAAAAAGTCATAGTGACATTTAACACAGACTAAATCCGAGATATAAGCTGGTAAAACACTATACCGATATGTGACGGTTTCAAACTGTGACACTAGGTTCAATACATTGTAGGCAGAACAAGCCACAACCAACATCACTATAAGACTTATTTTCGAACCGGTTTAGTTAGTTGGTCCGACTCATAGTCTGTACTGATAATTATTAACAAGAGTATATCTTCACTCTATTTATGTGAAAATGAAAACTGGAAAACGAATAGTCTGACCTAAATGTAACGATCAGATTATTTCGCTAGTACTGGAAATCCACACAGTAAAGCAAAGAACGACAGCACTTAACTAAAAGTCAACCTGCAGATATAATACCCAGTTGTAAAACTTTAGTCAGGATGGAACAAATAACTAGTTCATAACAACAGATTAAGCAACTGTGAAAAGCTCGAATGAAATAACTACCAAACTACATGCTTAACAGTCGACATCGTAAAGGTACAAAATATACTGTTCCTTCGGTACACAGCAAGGAACTAATACATTTACTAGATTAAATGACATTATCTCCACAGTTAGTGAACTAAGATATGAGTGAATTTAGAGTAAAGACAGATGGACTTCATAACATGCGAGAACAGATCTACAAATTAGTCGACGCAAAATAAAGGTCAGGACGAATCATATCCACGTAAGAAATCTTAGGCACTATTGAGATAGTAGTACGGTTGTGAAAGGTTTATGAAATGATGTTGTGGTATGGAACCTGCATAAGACTGGCATATGTCGGTCCTTCACAACTCTCTGGTTGAAGTTCTAGAGATAGAGCAACACATTGACTTGAGACATTATCAGAAAGCTCACAATTGAGGTTAGTGGCGGCTGTGGTGTATTTTTTTACTTTCATGAAAGTGTGAGAGACTCCTTTAACCAAAAAATCCCCTTCTAATTGTATTTTCTTTAACCGAACTGCTTTTCAAATTACTTTTTAAGTAAACGGAACATACCCACAGAGACATAAAATAGTGGTTAAGTGAAGAGTCCACTTTTTGGTGAATTCATTTTCAAAGCTGTACAATCGCAAATGTATACTTATTTTTCAAAGTGGTAATAATTACAATAATAGTGACAACAAAACTTTTAAACATGGTAACAGTGAAATAGAATAAACAAAGGTGTCTAAACGTTATGGTTTTATCAAGGAGACTAGTAAAAATTTTGTTGTTGAGAGCTTGAATATTTATCATGAAGGTAGAGAGGAAAATTATAATTGGGAAAGGATGGCTCATCACGATAAGATAAGCTGTTGAAATTGAGATTAACTGTAATCAAGAGGATCATAGAAAGAGACAACTCAGTCGAAGGTAAAAAGTCTATAGAGGAGATAGTTGTAAAGAAATGTAGGAGAAAAATTACGAGTGATTAAGACCATGGTAGAAGAGGTTAGACACATAATTCTGGTTTTTCAGATGTATATCTGGTGCTTCGGTAATGCTAAGAAGATGGGATATAACTGCTTTTGGCAGAATCTGCTTTAATTGAGTGACCTGTGTTCACAAGGTATTCGATTATTGAACTTATTCAGCCATTTCCACCTTTTTTCAACCAAGCCAGATAATGTTCTCAGATTATTTTGACCAAAATACGCGTCGAGCAACCTATATGCTCGGCTGCATATGAAATGGCAAATTGATAAGCACATATAGATATAAAATATCCTTAAGACTATTGGTGAACATTGATCGTCTGGAGAACATTATTCGCAAAGTCGCTGAGAAGGATGTTGTTTCTGGGAAATCAAAAATTCTCCTTTTCAAGACGTCTGTAATTATATCACCTTTGAAAACGTTTTTCATATAAAATATTTTATTTTCTACATAAGTTATTTGCGCCCCAGGCTGTTTGGGTTTTACATTCTTGTCAATAAATACCAATGGATATACATCTTTGACAAGTATTTTCTTAAAGAGGCTCAGTTCGTTATCTAGGACCTCAAAACTACAAATTCTTCGTATCTATGTAGTGAGGGATGTGATTAAGTTTTGCTTCCAGGTAATGGAGATCCAGTTGTGAAAATTCGATATCTGGCCATTCCACAAGGGTTTCTTGTAGACGGGTCTTCCTACGGTTCCACCGTGTTTTATGGTTATTTTGATATCAAGAAAGTCGATATCTCACTTGTTTTCAAATCCACTTATGGAACTGAATGTTGGATGATAGTTATTAAATGTCCTTAGAAGATTCGAATTACATTTATTGTCATACGTGATAAATACATTATTCATTCATGATGGATATTCAAGCCTTCAACAACAAAATTATTTTGAAAAGAGCGAAATATTTGTTCTTGCTCCCTTCAAAACGGTAAAGGGAAATATGTGTATGAAGCAAAACTATTATCATTTACCTTGATAAAAAAATAACGTTTTAATCCCTTTGTTTATTCGGCTTTACTGTTACCATGTTTAGTCAGTCAGCTACAATGCAGTACCAGAGACATATGCATCTGTCCGAATTGCTACACCAGATTAGCACAACAAAATGATTACCAAATTCATAAAGTAGTTACTCCAATGGTAGTAATAAATAAAAGAAAGATTGCATATTAGCATACAATACAAAGGGAAAGAATTAGTTCGAAGAAAGGTATAAAGTATTTTAATCTCACGGTTTAAAGGAAGACAAAGAGTGTACACACCTACGCCATTGTGATCGATTCTGAGCCATGTCACCCAGAGTCTCCAATCATTGCTTACGATAGTCATGCGTACCGTAACCAAGTAATCTGCATCTACCCATATGGCTCAAACTAAAGTTAGTGACCTAATAAACTGATGCAACGTTTTGGTTTGTCCGCCCGTAACTTTCTTCCAACCGTGTCGAACACTGGTCAGCATCGCGCACCGTAGTAATTGATGTTCAGGCAAATGCAACATGTTTAGAAGAATTTTATTATCACTATTATTGTAATTATCATCACCTTGAAATATAACTATATATTTGCGACTGTACAGCCTTGGAAATTCGCCGAAACGTGAACTTTTTGCTGTACCAATTTTCTTATTTCATTACTTTTTTTCATTCTGATTCACTTCTATTGATGTATCTAGTTGTTTCTATTGTGATAACCTTCGTTTATTTTTTCACAATAAACAAATAAAAAATGCAGTAGTTATAGTGTACACCACATCAGTGAGAGTAATTTCGATCTAGCTTTGTAAAAATGTGTCATATCTGAAATGAAGACATCTGGAGACTTTGTAATTCTTCGTTGTTGTCCCTGAAGGATAACTCATATCCAATGATAAAACCACGTTAGTAATGTCTAGGTTCTGCAGTTTTCCAGCAGTGAGACACCATCTCTCTTGACCTGGACATGGTTTACAAATGTCGCATCAGCAGCTTCTATACAGCGCACCATTCCGTATCCTGGGAGGTAAAGAGTCTAACATGACGATCATTTGTTGAAGATAATTTTATAAGACCGAAGTTCATATATTTATCGTGAGTTTAGTCAGGGTTTTAAGTATTGTGGCTTAAGATTAAGAATGACTCAGAATAAAAGCCAGCAGCAATCCTTTCGGTCTTCAGTAATAAGGATAGTAAGTTGATGAACCTGTATTAATCCTGACACACTGCTTTCCAGTGAAGGTCCAGCTTCTCCTTGAAAGTATTCAATGATGAGGCTGATACCACTTGTTCGGGTAAGGCGTTCCAATCATTGACTACTCGATGAGAAAAACAAGACCCCACTTTAATTATTTATTTATATTATTATTATTATTATTTATTACATCTTGGTTTATGAACCTTCTTGCTAT